AAAAAAAAAAAAAAAAAAAAAAAAAAAAAAAAAAAAAAAAAAAAAAAAAAAAAAAAAAAAAAAAAAAAAAAAAAAAAAAAAAAAAAAAAAAAAAGTAAAAGAAAAAAAAAAAATAAAAAAAATATAAAGTATTATTAGAAAAATAAAAAAAAAGTAAATAATTAAGAAATTAATATTATTATTTTATTATTTTATAGAATTAAAGAGATAATAATAAATATAAAATAGTTATAAAAACTTCTTAATTTTAGAATTATTTAGAAATAAATTTAAATCTATACTAAACTTATAGTATATAAACTCTAATCAAGATATAAAAAAGTTAAAATAGTTTTAAATTATTATACTATATCTTTACTAGTATAAAGGATAATTATTAGTTATAATTAATATATAACTAACTATAACTATGCGTAACCTGCTTACAACCTCAGGCTACTAACACCCTCGGCCTGCTATGTATCATATTCGTGTCTGTCAGGAGTATCGATACCATCGAAATTGATATATCTTTATTATACAGGAACTTGGTACTGGTTGCACCATTACTGTCTTAGATAAGGACTGGAGTATCTGCGGAAGCTGTATTTGTGAGGGCGAGTCAGTTTATTTTAAAATTCATTCACACAGATGTTGTCATCGTGCCAAAGGATATTAATATTTTTGATGATGCTTGTGCCTATTTCGATTCATACGCTAGCATCTAGTCCTAAATAAAATGCAATGTCTCCGTAGCTCTACCACCTATCCATGATTGATGCTTTGCCTTCTTAACTCGATATGGATACTAGCCAAAACCACTAAAAATTCTACGTCAAGCTCAAACTCGTTCAGGACTATGATGGCGACACCACTAATACAATTCTCCGAGAATAGACTTGCTCTGGTTTCAAATTAAAATATGGGTGATTGATGGCAATGTGAAAAACGCCATAATTTAGAGTTTTCCTATGATGGAACGTGTGGTATGTTTTTTGAACGTTCTGATTTGTTGTCACAGCTGAAGGTGACTCTGTATAACATACATTTGTAATGAACGTACTATGAAAAATGAGGACATCTAGGCACCGGATTTCTTAGCGCGTCCTTGCGCTTGGACCAGTAATGCCTTATATGAAGTTAATAGACCTAGCCAACATTGGTGCGCTTTCAAGAACATAATCAATTTATAGGCAATGTGATCATGGCTACTGTACCATTAGAACATTGTCGAACTCGGCAATCAGCCGTCTTCAAAGATTGCCAACGTTTCGATTCAACCAGAACATATCGCTACGCTATCCACACAGAATACAGCCCATGTAATATGAGTGGTGCAATTTCAGTACGAGAGCACTAGGTCAGCGCATCATCGCATTAATATACTGTATATATAAAGTAATGGTGCTTCTAATTCGGTTTGAACATGCTCATCATTCGAGTTGCCCAGACTGAGATTTTGATCAATTGGATGCCTAGAAGGCTTCCATGGGCAAACCGCCACGAACAGATAATGTGTGCTTACGTTGTCGGCTATTAAAAACAAGCATTAGGGAGTTGAAAGAAATGGGGGTCTGAGGGTTCTTCCCCAGATTGAGCATGTCTAGCCTCCCTGCAGCTGAGCCGCGTCGTAGATGACGTGATATATTGTTCGCTGCAGTAAGACTGCAGCTACGAGAATCTCGTATCCGCAATAGGTATATGGTGTTTGGCGATTTCTGGGCTTACAACTGTCGATGTCAACATAATGCACTACACAAGGCTACCTTATCAATATGCTGATTAGATTAGTGTAGTGTCTATGAACTCATATCCACATTTTGTGGATAAGATAGTCCGTGACGGACAAGAAATCCGTGCTTAGGACTTCCCTCAGAGATCATGACTCCCGAATTCATCGGACGGAAAGAAAGTCTTGCCAAGGAGCTAGTATCAGCCTTGCACCAGCACTGCCACACATCGCGAGCATATCAGCCTGTCAGAAGCAGCGGCTGCATGGGGCGTGCATTCTTTACCTCTGCTATTTAGCCGGTTTAGGGTTGGGCCGGGGACTATCTCCTGGACCCCGCAGAGACTATTCCAGTTCTGACGAACGGTTGAAGACCTTGGGGCCCCTCGGGCGCCTTGAGACCTCGAGCTCGATAAAGCGGCAGAGGAAACGCAGGTGCGTTTCTTTCTCGGGACTAGACCGTTCCTTCAGCCCTCCAAGCGAGGAGAGACACCTCGCTAAACCTCAGCCCCAGATTTCACCGCATCCAACCGTCCACTTGACCTGCTTCTCAAGGTGGGGCCACAGATATGGACGGGTCGGCAGGGCCTAAGGCGGCTCACAGCGTGCTGCGAAAATACCAGTGCCGTTGGGCAGAAGGATTGGGTGGTCTGGTGGGGTGCCGGTCAGATGAAGAAAGAACTAGAGTAGAGCAGACCTAATTATAACGCTTTCGCATTAAGCTGAATGGCTTCCCATCGTAAAGAGCGAAGCCAGGTGAAGTGTAAAGACAGGTCTTCGAGGAATGACAAGTCCCCAACGACATCAAGCAGCCCTACGGCAGCTGCAGTCCTGAAGTAGAACCACGCCCGCGCTTGAGGGTCGCTGGAAGCGGCCGCTCCAGTAATGCATGCCCAAGTGAGCGAAGAGGGGAAGCTTCGTAGCCATATCTCATCCTCGGTCAAGGCTAGCGCGTCTCGTAGTTCCTGAGCCATTGCGTCCAACTTTTCCGCAAGGTTGCTAGCGCTTGGCCCACCAAGAACTATCATCTGGAAGATTCTGAAGGCCAGATAGCAGCACTGGTAGATGGGATTGTTGGTCGTAGAAGATGGCATTGTACTGCCCTGTAGGGTGTCATGATGCCAGGCCGCTGTTGGTGATTGAGCCATGAATTGAAGCTTGAGTTGTTGAACGTAATAGAATAAAGACATGATCGAGCATGTAGAGTCGTCTGACACAGGCGTGCTAAGGATTCGTTCCTCGAGCCCCAATGGTGGCAAATGTTGAAGGTAGGATGAAGACCCCCAGCCCAGGTCAAAGATGATGTTCGAGATTATTCCATTCCTGTGGTCCACTCAGTCACAATGCTCGCGGAGAACAGCATTTTATTTCAAGAACGACGTACACGTAGACGAGAGATGCGACTAGTCCATCCAAGCCCAGCTTGTCTAGACCACCTTTGAGAAGGACGATCTTCTCCAGACCAGCTCGATGCACATCGGCGGAAACTCGATCCCCGTGAAGGTTCTAAGTCATTGTCAATCAAGCCATCTTCTCAAAGAGAAGGTACAGGTGTATGTACAGCAAATAGTGCGAGTGGAGTAATGGACGCGATTGTACGGTCGTCGAGTGCGGTGCTTGGGTCTGAAAGACGCTTCTTGACCATCTGGATGAGTTCGTTATAATGGTATAGGGTGATCGTGCTTTGCTTCTGTCCTCGGCAGAGGTCGAAGTTCGAAGAGCCAACGAAGAGGGTCGCATGGAACAAACAGGGATCGCTCATTGCGCTTCTCAGCCAGACAGTTTGCAGTTTGTAAGCGCTGCAGTTGGCGTTCATCGGGACCTGCGAGACATTGTGGCAATCGAGAACTAAGACGCCATTGTCCATTAGCGTGAGTCAGGATGTGTTTGGGGAGACGCTTGTACAGTGCTTGATCAGGCGTGGCATGTACCAGCGAGGCGCAATAGGATATGATTCTGGGATAGCTGGTGACTGTACGGCCCATGCGAGATAAAGTTGATCTGAAACGGCTTCCCACGAATCAGGACTGATGCTTTTGAGGCTCCTCTCGCGGTGGCCGTCGTTAACAAGGGCCCTCGGCTTCTGATTCTGAGCAGTCTCGGTCACACGATAAATGGCATAGCAGCACGGTCGGGCGGTTCTGGGAAGAATCGGTTAGGACTTGCGCCTGAGACCGTCCCGTCACGACGAGGGGAAGTATAGGCGAGACTGACTTCTGACACAGAGAACAAGATGGATAGGCTCTGTCACATTTTCGCTTTCGCTGGCGACAGGGCTCACAAGCAATGAGCATGACCTTCATTTTTGGTGAGGCTGAGATGCGAAGTAAAGCGAGACGAAGCCAGACGAAGCGTGTTGATGGAGTCGTTGGCGGTAAGAAGATAGAAGATAAGCGTGACTGACCCTGAGCGCAGTCTAGCCGTTTTGAGGCAATCCTCGCTGTCACAGGGTTCCTCAGGCAGCCATCAATACTTCAATCTCACTTTCTGCTTTGAATTGATTCTATCCCGTGTCGGCCCTCTCAGTAAAGTCATTGTTCGCGGGTCTGCTATTTTGAGTTGTTTAAATGAGCAAGGTCTCAAGTCAATGCTCTGTTTTAAGGGCCATCGTTCTTGTCGCGCAAGCAAGAGGCATCTTTCCTGTCCCAACTGCGTGAGTGGATGAAGAGAGCGTGCGTCTCGATGAGGGCTTACCTTCTTGAGATACCCTTCATATCTGATCCAATGGTGAAGTCGTTTCAAGTGCAACTCACCTTACAACCCATCTGGCATACCCATAATAACTGCAGAGCAGATATACCGGTCGCGTAGGGCAAAAATCAGAATCGATGTCTCTTGAAGATACAGGAACATCTCCGCGCTGCAGGCTCGACGATTGTCTACCTGAAGCCCATGAGCCTGGCAAATAGCGAGCTGGCTCGCTCCAGAAGTATCTTCAAGCTGTAAGACGAGGGGCGCAGCACAGCTATCCCTATCATCTTCCGTGACGTTGAAGCCAACTTTCCGGTGTCTCTTTCTTTACAGGCGGAAGATCGGTGCCTAGAGAAAGATTTGATGAGCAAATTTGAGTCAATTCGATCCTTCCGACTTATAATATATGTGCATGACCTGGCCGTGGATCAGTTCGTCTCTATCATTAGCGGAAACTAGGCTGATCACATTTCGCAACACCCCAGAAGATGTAGCAACCTATCAACAGCCAATACAAATATTCGGTAGGACCAGAACTGAATTATAGTCATCTAAGCACTGGGAGTTTTGGCTTGTTACCAATGCTTCTTGTTCTTTCGGATTAGCGGATGATTAGCGGGCGGACTAGCCCGCCCGCACGGAGCATGCAAAGGTTACACTATAAATCATATCTGAACCCTTCTTGCCTTTGCAAGTGCCGCCAGCACCAAGAGTTATTCATACAATGAATGTTGAGTATGCACCCCATGATAAAGAGGAAGGCAGATCTCCTTGTTTCATACTCTAATCCGTGCTTTGTATGGCCTAGTGGAATCCATAAAAAGCAGCAACATGAGCATGAACTTGCCTTTCGATCGAGATCAGCACACAAAAAGAGAAATGAGTCCAAACAATAGAACAATGTGGTTGTATATCAGTCATTCTTTGTCGATCCTCGACTTGCTATCATTAAGCACTTGTGGTGGTTTGGTGGCCGGCGAGGACTCACTATGGAAATTTGCCAGCAATTCTTTTGCGGACATGGAGCAAGGATACTGTGAGTGAATGAAAGGTGTCTCTATCTGATTGGCATCACATGGCGCTCTCTCTATATTTATCCCTCTTCTCCAACTCTCAAGCCATCTCATCGTCTTCGTTTCTATGTCCAGCTCTTTCTGTTGTACCATTTTCTCAAAGTTACTGCTTGCAAGCACCGCAAAGCCAATCGCCAGACCTTGGACCTGAGTTTCCAGGTCAGAATCAAGCAAGGCAGAGATAGGGGAGGACGCACCTGGGACGCTGGGAAAAGATGATATCCCAACTATGGAGGAAACTATCTACAGTGGCGACACAGGCGGCGAGTGAGTCAATCAATCCGGGAACGCCCGTGCCCGGAAAAGAAGAGGTCGAGCCTGAACAAGAAGAGATCGAACCTGAAGAAGAGGTTGAGCCCGAACAAGAAGAGGTCGAGCTCTGCCCCTTCAGCCGCCTTCCCGGTGAGCTTCGCAATATGATCTGGGAGTTGGCCCTCCTGGATCTCGTTGACGAGAAACCTCAACTCTGCTTCTATCGCGCCGGATGCTGGGTCACGGAGCTCTCCCCTGAAGGCCATTTTAGCCTCACATTCGATCATAAGCGTCTACACCCGATTGCCGTGTCGGTCCCGCTGTTCTTCGTCAACCGCGAGGCGCGCAGCTATGCTCGCGCCTGGATCCAGGAGCGAGGACTGCAGATCCGGTTCGACAAGGAGACGCAATGCCTGGGGATCTATCGTCCTGTAAATCCCGACCGAGATACCCTCTACGTGCCGGAAGCTAGATTCGAGTGTTTCCAAGATGAGCCCGCTGCGTTGAAACATGGGTTTCGCGCGGCCGGCGTTCGTATTTCAGGATGGCCACGCTCATTCATGCGCCTGGCGTTTCCGGCCGCTTTGTTTTCGAACGATGGGGAACCGTATATGTTACACAAATCCTACTGGCGCTACTATCCTTCACCGGAGATCACGCTGATTGTGAATGACCCGCCTGGGACGTTCCTCACTGCTAACTGCCAGGCGCGCGTGGGACAACCGTGGGCCTTGGAGAGCGTGCCCGGGTTGTCGAAACCACTGGTCCAGTGGCCTCAGCTACGTGAGGACATGGAGCGATTCCGTCGGCCGCCTGGAAATCCGGCTCAGGGTGGGCATCATCTCATGATGGTGCTATCGAATTATGATCGCGATGGCGACGGGGCCGCTCGTGATGTAAGGAGCCCTTGGTTACAAATCCGAGCTGCCACTGCTGTGAGAGTCGGCTAACATGGCCGCTATATAATGAATGTTCGCGTGATGCGCAGACGTGCAAAGAGCCTACTCAAATGGTATTCACTCATTGATCTACGCCTTGCTCTACGCCCGCACTTTCTCACCGATTGATTATCATTTGCATTGCAGTATCAAGACTCCTCTACAAGGTGCCCTACAATCGAACTAGAAACTCTCGACGAAGGTATAAATATATCCCATTATGGAAACATTTCAATATTGATCATACATAATACATTAATCATGCCGGCGTGTAAAATAGGCCGTCTTACTCATCCGGGCCACCAAGCTGGTTCAACTTCTGTGCGGCGCTCTCCTTACCCTGCTGCGATACACCAGGGTTGTTCTGGGCACTGGTGCCAAGTTAGCATATGCACCTACCCCCAATAAAAAACGGAACTGACGCTTTCAGGCCACCAGCAACGCGGTTGGGGTCCTTCTGGTTGTCACCACGGAGGTTGTGCAACTCCTCCGAAGGCTGAGAGCCACCGAGCTGGTCGAGCATGGACTGGGCGTTTTGCTTGGCCTCCTCGGAGACGTTGGGGTTGTTGATGGTGCTGCGCAAGTTTCCCGTCAGACATATTCTTGCCAACATGGAAGGTATAACTCACGCCTTGTAGCCACGCATGGCGTTGACTCTGTCTTCAGCGGAGGACATTGTGATAGACTTTGTGTGAATTGTTGTGTAGAAAAGATACTTGATATAGAATGTGTGGTAGCGAGCTGGTTTGCACAGATGTTTCGATGAATTCATGGTATACTTATACCTTAAGTCGTAGTTGATGTCAGAGCACGTCACCAGCCGTCACCACCCCCGCGTCGTCATTCTTTCATCGTCAACCACTGAAGTCTAAGTCAATTTGACTTCATTGCGGAGACATGACGGTGGGGTTAGGTAATCTGGCCAGGGCTGATCGTGGGTGACCCCTGGGGCATGGATCGATTCGCCCATCGCGCGATGGAAGCGATTGAAACGTCCATGGGGTTGACGAGTGGGATTCTAGAACTTCTGATCGACAGGCGATGTTTGTCTAAAAAACGTACATGTATGTGGTAGGTAGTAGAGGCAATCGATTTACGAGTACTTCCCGGATCGCTCTAGTTGTGACACTGAAGAATTCGGCGTGTCATGACGATCTATCACTCCACTTGCTGGCACAATACAAAGCTGGGCAGTTGAAGCAGGTTGATATTATGGATGAGCGATGGTTTAATGGATAGTCGATTGGGCTTTTATGGTTACTGGTGTGCGACTCTTACAATCATCGTTCTGTTGGTGATCGGTAAGATTGCAACTACCACCCAAGACCCGCCGTGCTGCATCCAATTCCTCAAATTTGCTGCTTGATGAGCTGGATCCATCTCGGTTGACACAATTTAATCGACTCGTCTAAAGATCCCATGCATGCATTTGAGACCCTGACAATAGATCGACGTCATGTCGATTTTCTCCGCCTTCTCCTTCCATCGACCTCATAAGTCCGGCATAATCCCACCGCCCACTCCACTCCCGCATTCCTGTGACGCCAAGCCTCTTGGGATCATTCATATCACTACTACCAATACATGGCTCTTCTTTTCTTTTCTCCAGGTTCAATGTTCTATAGATGTCTAACGCATTCAATGTTTATTTACTGTAACTCAAATGACCGCTCTGACGCGCTTGCTTGAGAGACAAGAACCATCTTTGCAATGCCTCCTGTTCTAGCAGGGTGATGCCCCCTTGCAACCTCGGAAATACCATTCTAGGTCCCTGATCGATAGACGCGTTTACCCCTTGGGGCCCTGCAGCCGCCATTCCTCGCTACCCCCAGGGTCCACAGCACGCGTTACTTGGCCCAGAAATTGGTCTGGCTAGATGTGTGTAGTAGAGTCGCTTTACGCTGCTTGTCCAGCCACCAGCGGCATAATATCAAATTCCTGAGCCAGGGGGACCCCTCTCCTCCATACCAGAGCACATCTACCGGTACATAAACACCAGCAACCCCAGGACCGCAGTGACCAGGTACGTTACCTGGCGTGAAACTTTCTTTCCCTGTTCTCAGATCCTTGGCCCAAAATGTGAGTATCATCGCTACCCACACCCGAACGTCTACTAACACCTGTAATAGACTGACAATCCGCTAAACATGCGCTTCCTATACCAAACGCTCGTCGTCCTCCTCAGCGCCCTCCTCCTGGACACCGCCGCGGCGGCCGATTGCCGCCATGGCGCGACGCGACCGGACCGATTCGATTGTCACGCCTACCACCGGTGCCACGCGGGGGAATTCGTTCGGCAGCATTGCGGGGCCGGGCAGGCGTACAGTGCCTTCACTAGCGTCTGTGAGCCGGAGTGGCGGTCGCCTGCTTGTCGGCAGGGAGTGCCGGAGGTGATTAACTGATTGTCGCTCTCTTTGATACGTGTTTTAGTTTGTTGGGTGAGTTTGGTGTTGCTGATTTTCTGGCTGTGTCTTGGAGCGGATCTGTGCACGGTTCGAGTGGCCTGCGGGTGTGTCGGGTTGTTAGATTACGGTGGACGCGTCGTCTTTCCATATGAATATTCGTGCAAACGGGATTGAGATTGGTATCATAAATCTATACTGCAACTCTGGTTACTGTGCAAATGTCTACAAGTGGTACTGAGATGGTGCGCTCTCCTGGAATCCCAGGCGATTCCACCACCGATCCACTCCCATGTCTTCCTGCGAACTGCGACAACGTTAGCTTTTGTATCGGCCACAGAGACCAGAGACCAAAATAAACTTACTCCCATGACTCCTTGACCTCCGGCTCTGTCTTCCCTTCCGCAGGGTTAGGATTGCGGAACACGATGTTATATTTCTGACGCGCCCCTATTAGCATTGATCCGAGAGAAAATCAACGGCAAAGCTTACCAGTCCAAGTGTGATATGGATTGCCATCGGGAACGGCGGAAACACCTCCTCGGGCTTCTTCCCCTCGATCATCGCCTGGATGTTGTGGGCCACCGCAGCGGCCTGGCCACCACCGGGGCGTGCGGCCTTGCGCAACCCCGTGTCGGCGATATCGCCCACGGCGAATAGATGCGGGTACTGGGGGTCCTGGAACTGCATCGTCGGGCGAATGCGGATGAAGCCGTTGTCGGGGTTGATGAGGGAGTCTGGGGACGAGGCTGGGAGAGAGCGAAGCAGGTCGTTGTTGGGTTTCTGGCCGGTGGCTAGGATGACAAAATCGGTGGTGAGTTCGGTGCCGTTGTTGAGTTGCACGGTGAAGGGCGTGCCGTTGTTGGGGAAGCCTGAGGCTGGGACCACAATGCGGGCGCCGGTTATGGTTCTGAGGGAGGGTTAGTGGGGTTGGGACAAGATGGAAGCTGGGGGAGCCAGTCATACTTGATTCCCAGCTCGTCGAAGCGCTTCTTCACAATCTCGTGAAGGCCCCGGTGGAATTGAGGCATGAGCTGGTCGCGCGACTGCACCACCGTGATCTCCTTCTCTGGGTATAACTCCTTCATGTCTGTGGCCATCTGTACGCCCACGGCGCCACCACCAACAATCACGACGGACTTGGCTCTCTTCACGTCTGATTGGTGATTTTGCAGATACTGTACGGATGATACCTTGTCTTCGTCGCGCATGGCGGCAGGTTCGGCGAGACGGGTGCCTGTTGCGACGACGAGGTACTCGTAGGGAATCTGGCTCTGGCCCTGCCAGGCCCGGTCGAGGTTGATATGCTGTGGTTGGACGGAGAGAACGCGAGCCTGCACGACGGCGTGTTGGGTCGAATTGGGTGAAGAGGAAAAGAGGCGGGTGTAGGGAATGAACGCTTTATGTTCGTGGCCGGGAAGAACGGCGAATCGGGGCTGGTGCGCGTCAGATTCTGTGGTGACGGTAGTGCATGAAAGACTATTGACATACGAAGGCGAAAAGATGGTGAAAGTGGCTGTGGGGTTCGATCAACAACACCTGCGGCAAGATTAGTACTGGAGTATGGATATGACAGTTCCGCTCCAGGTTGGGGCTTGCACTTACTCTGTGCGTGCTGGGGATCACCCGCGCCAGCTCCTCCGCAGCTCCCTACTACTGTCAGTATTCATTCTGTAGCTTGTGGAGATGCTGAGGCACAATACCCTTCCGACGTACGATCCGCCAACCACAATGACATTCTTTAGCGTTGAGGCAGCCATTGTGTCAAACTGTGTGTTCCGACTGTCCAATGATCGGGGTGCAGCAGTCGATAACAGGAACCAGATAATCAGCGTTGAGAGTAGTGTCACAATCCAAGAGTCTCGCAATTGTTCGTTCAGAAAAGGCATGAGCAATCAACTGGAATTGCGCTGTGGTGGTGTCTGAATATATAGGCGGCAGAAGACTGAGCCGGGTGGCCACGCGGGGGGGTGTTCTTGAGAATCCCTTATCTGATCGCTCGGTCTCGGTCTATTGGTCGCCTGCCTATCCTGGCTATCTCCGAGCCTGAATTGACTGGATCTCCACTTCGGTTCATATCCGGTGCCGGTGGCAGCATCATCATCTGCGCAAAGTGCGCTGAGCCTCGGTGTTAGGACTTCCTGGAAGGTCGGACATATTGACCAGCAATATTCGGGAGACGCATGGCTTATGCTAAGGGTTAGACTATATATCCATCAAGGATTGTCCCGTAGCCTGGCTCCTTACGAGATGCGCCCGTGAGAACGAAGGGTTATGGTCAGGAATGGAACCAAGAGCCTCGAAGCCTGAGGCAACGCCACCGGCCAAGACACGGCAGTTACACTCGGCTTTAGACTCCCGGACTTGTGACTTTACAGGTGAGAGTGGGGGAAACTGTGCCCTTCACCTGATTGCTTCGGCTCCGCCATCCAAACACGCAGATCCGAGTTTCCGGGTCGTATGTTTCTCTATCACAGAGATGACGAATGGTGCTTTGGGCTACTCGTACATGATTAACTGATGTGATGATCTGATAACGACACTCGCAACCATATACCTTAGTTCCACCCCACTTGCTCCCGACAGGCAGAGATCCAGCTGATTGATAAGCCTCGGCTTGGTGGGGTAATATAACTATTCCTTAAGGAAGCCCGATAATCCCCTGTAAGTAGGTTCTGGAGCCAGTCTGGGTCGATTTGCTGGACACGTCACGCGCGCGCGGATACTCGCTTCTTTGGCTTTGTGGCTAAGAATTGATTGCTCCGCGATAGGTCTAGCTCGGGGTCAAAAGTAAGCCAGATTCGCATCAAGGCTTGATGACGACAGGTGATGAAGTGTCCCTAGGTGTCTTTGAGCCGTTCTTTAAAGGATGCTCATGCACGTTGTTGGGCGACGAACTGCCAATTGAGGCTTGGGTAATACAACGGTCACGATTCGCTGCATCGTGGGCCGGGTTCATCCATACATGCTGGTTTCAACTAGAGTCGTTAACATGGGAAGTGGGAGTACTGGAATACCTGAATAAGCATGCGCTCTGACTTTCTTCATGCTTTCCTTTCTTCTTATGAACAGTCAGGCTAGACAAAGCTCATAAGGTTGGTAATTCTAGCAAGAAGGAATAGGGTCGGTTGGTGCAACATCTCCGGCGTCTCATGTCATTCAGATCTCCTGAGATGTCATAAATGACTTCCTATACTCATTGCTTCGAATGCTGCTATACCCGGAGTCAAGATTGTCCGCCTGGGCTTGGTGTCAGAAGGGGAATGCACCTTCTCCGCATTCTTCTTGTTACACATCAAACTCGAACGCATATCGGTCAGAGAACCGTAACTCAAGTTCCGCCAGCCCCCGACCAATACAGTCTCACCAGAGCGATAAGCATCGTGTTGGAGACTGTCAACGGGAACGGACGGGTCGGACCTGCATTATGCAACCGAGACAAGATCAAGTGCTGGAGAAGCAGCCCCGATGTTCTCATACTCAGGCATAGGAAAAGGTTCGATGCACCCCGACTCCAGCCCCGCGTTTATAAAAAACACTACATCACATTGAGATACCCGAATCAGTCTGTACAATCACCCTCGAATCCTCATTGACTGTCCATTGCCAAGATGCTCCTTGCAAGCCAAGTCTTTTCCTTGACAGCTTTGTTATGGGCTGTTATCCCTTTCGTCGGGGCCAGTAATCAACCTCGTGGATTCAAGAAGCCACTGACGCCAAGTGTCGATCCCTTCTACACGCCCGACGATGGCTGGGAATTGACGCCTCCTGGTACCATTCTCAAGTCACGTCGAGTGGCAATCGCCTCAATTGTTCAAGGCGTGCCAACGGCCCTTGAGTCTGCGCACCAGCTGCTTTATCGAACCACCAATGGCCGAGGACTTCCGAATTACGCAATGAATACGGTGTTGATCCCGTACGGTGCCCAGCTGGATCTCCTAGCCTCCTATCATGTCGGGTACGACTCGCCAAATAACGATTGTTCTCCATCATACGGGATTCAGCTTGGCGCCTCAACTAACTCGAGCGAAACGCTCATCGAGCTGGTAGTGGGAATGCTGCCATACCTCAAGAAAGGAATTCCTCTCAGCGTGCCGGACTATTTACAACGCACCGCCGCGTTCATGGTCGGTCAGTCAGCTGCATACGCCGTGCTGGACTCTCTCAGGGCGGTGCGCAATTCGAAGAATATAACGGGGATATCAGAAGACGCAATAACCACAATACATGGATACTCGCAAGGTGCCCTGGCTGCGTTATACGCAGGTTTGTATCGCCGCTCGTATGCCCCCGACGTCCGCATCGACGGGGCCGCCCTTGGGGGGATGCCTACCAACATCTCCGAGGTCTTTTACGCCGTAGAAAAGACTATAAGCGCGGGTCTCGCTGCTGCTTCTCTCATGGGGATCGCTCATGTCTATCCTGAGCTGAGAGCGTACATTGACAAACATCTCCTTCCGAAGTATCGACCGCTGTACGAAATCACACAGCAGGAATGCATTGCCGACTTCTACAAACCGGTCTACGGCTACGCTGTGCATCTGATCGGGCAAAATGTGTCAACATGGTTCGACAACGGCCGAGCCATCATCTCTGACAACATAGAGCTGTTCAACTTCGTCGGGGTGCCGGGGCTGCTTGGGAAGCCGGACTTTCCAATGTTCATCTGGAGGGGGACAGATGATGAGGTTGCGGTGGGTATCGAGGAGCATGATGCCCTGGTGCAGCGCTATTGCGATGAGGGACTTGCGATCGAGTACCTGCGCGTCCACAAAACCCTCCACACTCCCACCATTCCATTTGGACTGCCTGGGGCTCATGACTTTGCCGCACGTGTCTTCAAGGGGAAACCCCCGACCAAGTGCACGACAAATGATTTGTGGCCATGAAACGTGTTAGTGTGGAGGAATCAGCCCTGGAATCATGTGCCTTCTCCAATACTTGTGATCAAAATTGACATGGCTAGTCCTATGAAGGGTGGCGCTGATGGCTCGATGTTTTTCTGGGTAGGGTAGTGAATATGCTGCACAAGCTATTGTTAGACCGGGGTACTCTGAGTACCATGGTTGTGACAGGCGGAGACATCCCTTACAGCCCCAGGTTACGATCAGCCTTGACACTGTTTCTCCAGCTGTATATTGTTAAATGGCTGGCTGGCTTTCTGTCCCTTATTCTAAGCGGCTCCCTCACGCGCGGTCGTAAATATTTGTAGGATATATGGTACTGCAGCGCAAGAGTACCCAGTCTCATGCCGCATGATGGTTTACCTTCCGTTCGGCCCTAATTCCTCTATCTCATGATCTTGGGCAAATCCCGGTTTGGGGGAGCTGAGGTATGAATTTCCTTTGCCCTTTGCCAGGATGGTTGTAATGAAAATAGCTTCCTTCAGTTCAGAACACAGATAAAGTCCGAATTCAAGTATTCGTTAGGTGCTTGCCTCCGCAGATGGAAGAATGCTGGGGATTTGTTGTCCCATACACCCAGATCCCACTAATGTCTCTCCACCGCCATGTATCTGACTTCCGCACCGTAGAAGAGCCATCAACAACTGAAAAGCCATTGACAAGCAGGCTACCGGGTCTTATCTATATGCAAAGATAGACTTCATCCAATCTCCGACCGTGGAAAAGATCCTCCTTTCGCAGGGCGCTTCCCCGGACTGCACGCAGCCACCTATGGCTCGGTGACTATACCCGTCAACAGATCTGGATTTCCATCACGCTAGGTTAACCCTTTTCTTGGATAACTCAAAGACCAGCTCTGGAGACTGGGGCCAGGTCGATATGCGTGGGTGAGACATGGCTTGCTTAGTTAGTAGCTCACTCGACGGCTTGTTTGAGCTCCTGTGGTCTGCAAAGATATATTCGCGAGCACGTTCCCACCCGCAATGCCTGGTTCTCATCTCATGACCGATCAGAAGTCGTCGCGATGCTTGTTTCATTGTTTACCTCGGCTATCATCTGTTTAGCAGTGGAGAGGGCTCATGCTGCCGATATTCCTAACTTAGTACTTTTGTCCCTTGTCCTGTTAAATCATCGGTGCTTCGTCTCAGACCCTGTGGGGTAGTACGACTGTGCTCGTATGCATACATCGATATCCTCCTTGGGGGTGATTCGACCCTGAAGGGTGGGGTTGAGTGGTGTTATAAGACCAATCACCCGATAAGATGATCAAGGAGCAGAAGTGAGAGTGATACAAGCAAAGTCCAAAGGATTCCTTCGTGCTTTGTGATACGAGCTCTATGCCACCTAGTAAGTTTGCGAGAGGTATGTCCGGAGATAGACATGCGCATGACTTGTTATGCCCAACGCGAGTCGATCCGTCATTTGCCCAGGCTGTACGACTGCATCCTCACAGGTCTGTCTGCACGGTCCAGAAAGCGCACCCTTGAGGAGTCTTCAGATCTTCCGAGCACCTCCGCCAGGGCACATATGGCAGGGCGCAAGCGCCAATCATTCGAAAGCGCAGCTTGTTCTTTGCGGTACAGCTTAATCAAAGCCTCATGAACAATCATGCAAAATGGATGTATGGAAAGGCCGGTCGGAGTGTTACACTCACTCTGCCCTGAGTTTTGAAGCAACTTTCTGCAGTGGCTGGGAATCCAGGTCGCGATACTATAAGTGAGCCTTTATTATGCTTCCTCACCCCCTTCCGCCCAGACCATCTCATTTATTGATGAATATTGCTATTGACCATTGTCCCAATGTCTGAGCGCAAATCACTTGTCCATGGGCCATGCGATCCCCCTCTGAAAGCCCTTTCGATTAGCCAGCTTCTCGACGAGCAAGACAACAAGTACGGGTCCAGAGAGGCGATCGTCGCGTTCAAAACTGGGGCCAGATTGACGTATCACGATCTCAATCTCAAAACAAAGCAAATCGCACGAGCCCTTGTCGTCGACGGTGTCCGATCCGGCGACCGGGTTGCTATCTTCCTCGGAAACTGTGAAGCCTACGCGGAGATCTTTCTCGCCATTGCCCGGATAGGGGCAATTGCAGTCCTGCTAAATAGGACCTATACCCCCGACGAGACGCAAAATGTGCTGCGGAGCACCGGTATGATCCGGTCGGCTTCAACGTTAAGGAGGAATGCTGAGAGATTTGTGATAGGATGCTCGATTCTGTTCATCTCGGGTTGTCTCGGCAATAGTGGCTCCAATGCATTTTTGGCTTACCTCGACGGATTGGACCAGGAGCCAATAGCCGCTGGTCTACCGTCGTTAAGGCGTATTGTGTTAGTCGGTGATGATCACCAGCTCAACAGTCGTTTGACTCCATGGAGATCCTTCCTTGCCGGCGCAGATGCGGCGAGCCTGTCTCAGCTGAGCCGCCTCGAGAACTCGGTGCCCAGTTCCACGGCGTGCAGCTTCTTTCTGACGAGCGGTACCACCGGCGTTCCGAAGATCGCCATGCTGACACACGCGTAAGCACCTCCTAGTCTGAGTTCTTCAGCTACTGGATTGATTGTCTGCGAAAGTGACTGAGCATGATTCCATCAGAAACATTATTAACAACGCCTTTCTCACTGGGCATCGTATACCGATGAGCGAAGAAGATATTATCTGCAATTGTCTCCCACTGTTCCATTGCGGTGGGCTTGTCCTAGGGCTGATTATTTGCATTGTCCACGGAGCGTGCGTGGTCTTCCCAGCACTGAGCTTCAGTGCCTCGAGCACAGTCGAGTCTCTTGCGGCGGAGAAGTGCACCGGAATGCATGGGGTACCTACAATGTTCGCTGCCGTTCTCCGCAAGAGACAGATGGAGCCCAGTCGAGGCCCTCTCCGGCTCAGAACAGGCATCATTGGGGCTGCGGCTTTCCCCGAGACACTGTGGCTTCAGATTAAGGGGGAGTTCGATATCGAGAATCTATCGCACACCTATGGTACGTCCGTCTCCTAGAACGAGGTCCTCGACCTACCACTCATGACCCTTGCAGGGATGACAGAAACATCATGCGCTAGCTTCACGTCCGATCCAATGGTCAATTATGCGAAGCGGATGCCACACGCTTTGACAATTCTGCCTCATACGAAGGCCAAGGTAATTGACTGCGGGGGTAACATCGTCAACGCCGGACAGCGCGGCGAGCTTTGTATCGCTGGCTACCTAGTGCAGACGGGGTACTTTCAGAACGAAGAGAAAACGCGCGAGGCCTTGATCCGGGACGATGACGGCACCCTATGGATGCGCACCGGGGATGAAGCATTTTTTGACGAGGATGGACATTGCATTGTGACCGGTCGAATCAAGGATATCATCATCAGAGGCAAGCGAACTATTGCCTTTTATCTGGTTGGCCGATCGCTAACGAAATAGTTAGGTGGAGAGAATATCTACCCCACCGAGATCGAAGATCGCTTGAGCCAACATCCCTCCGTGCTGGAAGCGTGTGTTGTCGGACTGCCGGACGATCACCTTGGCCAGGTGGTCTCGGCGTTCATCCAGCAAAGACCAGCGACAGAGCGACCGTCTAACATCGACCTGGCGGCGTGGGTTTGTCAGACTCTCAGCTGCCATAAGGCTCCTGTCTGGCTCTTCTGGCTTGGAGATGAGGGTGTGCCCAGCGAGTTCCCTCTTTCTGGCAGTGGCAAGATCTGCAAGAATGTGCTTGAGGAAATTGGACAGCGGAATATGCATAGTGAGAAGGGGTGCCATACATGACATTAAGGATTTGTTTAATAGCAAGTAGAGAAGGGGGTGTTCTTCAAGGAGTCTGTCTATAATGATTGCGACTAGTGGGTGGCCCTAAGGCTGGCAGTGAATGTAGTCATGCACGATGTAAGCACTAAGCCTTAGGTCTGCACCGCCACAGGGGGCTAAAAGACAAGCTTCAAACATGCTGCCTGATTTCATCTCACGCATGGACCCCCTTATTTTCACTCAGTTCAACACCCTTCCATCCTAGTTGGTCCTGTTTCTTATCGCATCTGATTCAAGAGTATTCCCCCCACTCCCTCGGAATGGTTGCTAAGACTAATCCCGGTGGCCCCGGTAATACTGCTCTCGTACCGCGCCGGAGATCCGGGGGGAAGAGATCAGCCACGGGCTGTCGCACCTGCCGGTGAGTCTTTCTTCCATAAGCACACCAGTGAGACTTGCCAAACTGATCTATCGCGCCAAATTACCAGGATTCGTCACAAGAAATGTGACGAAGCCCCGGGTGGTGCATGCTACAATTGTACTTCGACCGGTCGACGTTGCGATGGATACGACCTGTCTCGCTTGCCCCGTGCAAGCAAAAACAGAACACTAGATCTCTCTGAAACAAAGCTCGTTCCGGGTCTAACCGTAGGTCTGCACCGGATGATGAACCGGGATGAACAGCGGTGCTTTGCTTACTTCCAATATCGCACGATGCCCGCCATGGTGGGCTTCTTCGATTCATCCCTGTGGCAGAAACTCATCCTTCAGATTAGCCACGACGATGCTGCAGTCTATCATGCCGTGGTCGCTCTCAGTGCCTTTCATCAAGACTCCGAGAGACAAGGCATGCCGTTGCCGAAGGAGGACCTGGGCAACACGTGGCATCGGTTTGCGCTGGAGCAGTCGGCCCGGTCGTTCGCGCTCCTCAGCACGCGACGGGCTTCGCATGATCCTCGACTGCGCGAAGTGACCCTACTGTGCTGCTTGGTCTTTGTTCTGCTGGAATGGCTGCGGGGTCAGTATGACAAGGCCTTCGAGCATCTGCGAAGCGGTGTCCAGATCCTCAAGGAACTCGGTGTCACGCTGACGGAAGATGACCTATCGTCTACCCGGGCGGTTCCCATCGACCACTGTCTGGTCACTCAATTCGCATACTTGGATACGCAGTCCATTCAGTTTGGGGAGCAAAACTCGCTCGTGGGCGATAGAAGTGGGCCAGGCCCTGACCAACCGCATCTGATCGATACCGACACCCTTACATTGCAGAGCATACCCGATGCGCGTCAGGCACTAAACCACATCCTCGGACCGGTAATGAACCTGTCCAATTTCGCCCAAGCCCTATCGCCTGAACAGATCGCGGCGAGATACGAATCTCTCTACCTCGAGCAGTGCAAGCTCTGCGCCGAAGTGGACCGATTCTCCCGGGCCTTCGACCACTTCCGCCGCGCAAAGCACGCCGAGCTGAGCGCCAAAGAACAACGCGGCGCGGACCTCATCCGCCTCCATCAGGCAACGGCATCATTACTTCTGGAGACCTGTTTCTTGAATGGGAATGACCCCCGGTTGGACGTATATTCTGCCGACTTTGAGCGGATCCTGGCCCTCGTGGATGGAGTCATCGACGCGTTCCCCGACCGCCCGAGTGTCTGCCTGGACATGGGTGTCATCCCACCCCTTTTCTTCGTGGCCACCGGTTGCTCGAGCTACAGGCTGCGCAGGCGGGCGATTCAAGCTCTACGCGCCTGGCCGCATCGCGAGGGCCCGTGGGACTCCAACCTTGCCGCTCGCGTCGCGACCGAGTCCATGGAGGTGGAGGCTATGCTTCGAGCGAGCGCCAGTCCGCTGCCGCTCGCCAAGGACGCGTATAGCCTCGGAGGGGACATTTTCTCGTTGCGGGGGATCTTTGTGTCCGTTTCCGAGGATCAGAGCCATACGCGCATGTCGTACTACGTGGGCGATGAGTGGATTGAGCGGTGGTTTCGGCGCGATCAGACGTGAGAAGCCACATTGCTTGATCCAAGATTGTCGCGGATGCAAGCGTTTTTCTTGCCCTCGGTGGCTATACCCCAAGTGTTCAGTTTGCTCTGTTACTTCACGTGGATCTCTGGTCGGGCTTGGACATGGTTTCTGAACAGCAGAAAGTCAAAATTCATTGGTCTTATGCATTCGTTATCATCAAGTCTAAAGTAGTATCAAACTACATCACGCTTTAATAGTCTTCCGTCTACCAATCAACGCTGGAAGGTCCTCGACCTTAGCAGTGCCCTCGAGAATATCTGTGACATGTTAGCATGAACCAGTCAGACCGGTCACACAGCAGAGAGACATACCATGGACGGCAACAAACAAGGGAAACTCCTTGAGCTTGCCCTGCTTCTCAAGGAACTCATGTACATCGTACGCGGTCGAAGTGCCCTGCAGCTTCTGTCCGTTGAGCTCCTTCTCCTCGATCTCCTGCACGCTGACCCCCTGCTCCACCGCATGGCAGGCCGACCGGTAATTGCGGCCCGCGCTGCATGAGGAAACCAGGTCCGCCATGCCGGCACTTTCCTCGGTAAAGGTCTGCTCCTTCACGGACTTGGGGAACCAGGTCCGGCCGAACTTGATCATCTCCAGGACGCCAACGCGCATGATGGCGGCCTTAGAGTTCTCGCCCCAGCCCTTGCCGGCGACAAAGCCGGACGCCAGAGCCACGATATTCTTCAGCGCGCCACCAAGGGCGACACCCGCGACATCGTGCACGTGGTGCACGTGGAAGTACGGGCGGGCGAACAGGGCCTCGAGCAGGTCAGCGCCCACGTGCGGCAGATCCTGCGGCACGGGGGTGAGCTCGACGTGCGTCGGCTTGCGCTTGGACTGCCGCTGCTCGTCGATCTTGATCATATTTTTCTCCTTGGAGCCATCAGGCGGCTTCAGGTCCATGGGCGGCACATCGTAGCCGATGGTAGTCTCGCAGAACTTCTCCGCTGCGACCTCAGGCGCGATGTTGGCCCCGGATAGCGCTCCACAGTAGATCCCCAGGCGTTCCATGATCAGCTCCGAGTGCAGCGTCACCGTGCCGTCGGACACATCCACCCCCTTGATGCAGGAGATGGCGCGCGCGTACGGCAGGATATTCCCCGCGATCCCATCGAGCGTCTTGCCGATGAATTGGTGCGGGAGGTTGAAGACCAGCAGCGTGGCGTCTTTCACGGCGGACTTGAGGTCCGGGTCTGCCACCACATTATCCGGCAGCGCGATGTCCGGCAGGTACTTCACGTTCTCGTGCACTTCGTTGATCACCTCCGTGAGCTTGCGCTTCTGCCCGCCCAGCTTGCTGTGGTGTTTCGAGGACTCCGGCACCTCGATCTCCTCCTCGAACACCCACATGCGCACCTCTTGCTCGAAGAGGTCTGGGTGCTCTTTGGTGTTTTCTGCGATGATCTTGGCGATCGTTGAGCCCCTGGTGCGAGTGATGTCAGTCGCGGTCTGGGCGTTGGCGGGGACAAGCGGGGGTGTTCGTACCAGTTGCCGGAGCCTACCACGGTAACCTTGTGCTTTCGAGTGTGGTTGGCCATTGTGATTGAATGTACTGAAAGGACGATAATGTGTAAGTAAACAGATAGAGAGAAGAAGTGTCGACAGTCAATTCATCGTTAGACAGACAGGTTTATAGATGCTGGCAGCCAACGCGGTGGGGAGTGGCAGATTGCAGGGCGGTGACGTTGATGGGACGGACGTCATCGTGACTTATACTCTCTCTCTCTCTTTCTCCTTCTTCCTCACAGTCACAACAACTCCCAAGGCTGCCTTCCTTGACTTGGCTTCCACTTCCTTGCTTGTCAAACTAGTTTAAACTCCTTCGTCTGCCAGTCTTTGCTATCAGCTCGCGGCTGGCGTCGGAAGTCATGTCCCCAGCTCAATTCTCTCGCCTGCATTCCTCCTCCTGTTCGAGGCAAGTGACGATCACTTGAGGGCCAGTGCCAGTGCCATCCACGGATGCTAAGAAATAGTCCAATCTTGGCCACCGCCACCGACCGACGGGCGGCTTTATCCCTGCTTCTGCATCTTTCGTGCGTCCTCTTGCCAGTCAGTGCGAAAGAATTGACCAGCTGATCAAGTGGTTTTTATCCAGAGGGCGGATTTGAGTCTAGCGGCCATGAATTCCGAAATCTCCTCCAGCGTTGTATGGGCCGTGGGGATCCATCGAGAGCGACCAACAGTCACTGTCGAACAATGGGCAAATTGACCCCACTACGGACGAGCTTTTCCCGTGCAAGCTTCAGATAAGGAAAATTCACTGGCCCGTCGGCCACGTGAGCCGCCGAAGATCCGCCGTGAAATTATTTTGTTGCTCTCCACCAAAGCCGCAAGCAGTCAATTCCCCCGGGAGCAAAACCCAGACCAGAAACCGATTCAGTCGGACGCTCAATCATGGCTCAGGCACGGTCCGTTGACTAAGTTTAATGTATTGCAGCGAATCATCGCCCTTGCAGCTTGCCAGGCTAGGAATCATTTGGCGGATCGCGAATAAGATTCCACCGATAACGCCATCTTTCATCCACCCGTCTGGCCCTGCGCGAAAGCCCTTGCATCCACAAATCCCTACTTTGCATCCAGTCGCAAACCGTGTCGTCGGAATTCGCCCGAGCGACATGGATGTCCGTGACCGTTTTGGGCTTGAAGCCTGCTGTGTCTGCGAGCACGCCATTTTGCCCAGAAACTAATGGCAAACCTCCTATCCCACTCTATAAGGCGGCTGCAGGCACCATGCTGTCGAGATGTTTTTTTTCTTCGTTGCATTTAGCAAAGAATCACCACTCCCTGGATTGGACTGTCCAGGATGGGTCTGTCCACCATCTTTCGTCGCAAAGGAGACTCGGACGAGTCCGAGGACGCGGCCCCCTCGGGCGCCAAATCCACCGGCTACAATGAGAACTCGACAATCACGTCCATATCTGAGACGCCTTCCATCACAAACGTCCCAGTGGACAATCTGAAGCGCGATCCGGAGCGCGATCCGAAACCTGGAGAGCCGACCGTGGCCGAAGCGGAGGTCGAGGAAGATCCTGAGATCGCCGCTCTGCCGCTCGAGGTCCGCCAACTAGTCTCTCTCACCGACGATCCGACCCTACCCACTATCACCTTCCGCTACTTCGTGCTATGTATCATCTTCGTCTGCCCCGGAGCCTTCCTCTCGATGATGAGCCACTTCCGTACCCGCCAAGCACCTTATTCGGTCTTCTTCGTCCAGATTGCGTGTCACTATGCCGGCCACTTCTTGGCTCGAGTGCTTCCAGCATGGGAAGTTCGGTTTCCTTTCACCCGCTGGTCGTTCAACCTGAATCCTGCGCCGTGGAGCATCAAAGAGCACGTGCTTGTCACGTTGACGGCCGCGTCCGGAGCCACCTACAATCTGGGCTACACCCCCATTGCCATGGCGGAGCTATTCTATGGTGAGCGGGTCAACGCCGGGGTTGCCATTTTCTTCATGTTTGCCATTGTATGGATTGGATACGCTTTCGCCGCCTTGGTGCGCCAGGTCTTGCTGTACGACCCCATGTTTGTATGGCCCCAGGCCCTCATGCAGACCACCCTCTTCGAGACCTTTCGCAAACAAGACCGATCGTCGCCCCTTGCCCGCCGACAGATGAAAATCTTCTTCTTCTGCCTCTTAGGCATGACACTCTGGCAATTTCTTCCCGAATATGTCTTTCCCTTCACCTCGTCTCTGGCATTTCTCTGCTGGGTCGCCCCCCGCAACCCGGTGGCCAACTTCATCGGCTCTGGGATCGGAGGCATGGGCTTCCTCAACCTTTCGCTTGATTGGTCCAACATCAACTGGAACGGGTCTTCAATCCTGTTGACTCCCTGGTGGACCCAAGTCGTGCTGTTTGCGGCATTTGTATTCAACTGTTGGGTGCTCCTCCCTGCTGCGAAATGGGGCAATTTGGGGTCGTTCAAGCACGGACTAATGTCCAACTCGTTGATGATGGCAAATGGCACCACTTACCCCACCCTGAAGGTGCTTACGCCCAGCTTCAGTCTGAATGAGACCGCCTATGAGCAGTATGGTCCGATGTATATGGGTCTCCAAAATGCTTGGGCGACATTCTTCGACTACGCCAAGATCACTTCTGCTGTCACATGGATCTTGACTTTCGGCTACACCCAGATTGCGACCAACGTGAAGAAGTTGATCGCTTCCCGGAAGAAGGTCTCGGAGTCATCCAACCAAGGCCTCAACTGGCAGTACCACGACCGGTTGAATGTGTTGCAACGGGCCTACAAGGAAGTACCTCTTTGGTGGTATATTGCTCTCTTCATGGCAGGATTCGTGGCTCTGATCGTCATCATCGCTTGCGGCCACCTCTGGATCCCCATCTGGACCCTCTTTGTCGGACTGGCGACAGCGGGCGTGCTTGTTTTGCCGTTTGGCTTTTTGTATGCCATCTCGAACTACCAGATTGCTGCTGGATCGTTCAATGAGCTGGTATACGGATACATGGTGGAGACGAAGGCGGGTGCTGGCCACCGACACCCTTGCGGGCCCTCTACCTACGGCTCCATCGCCGGCGATGCGTGGTACCGAGCGCAGTACATGCTTCAAGACCAGAAAATCGGGCACTATATGCACATTCCTCCCAAAACCGTCTTCTTCTCGCAGGTGTTCGGCACCGTTCTAGGCATTCCGATCAACTATGCAGTGATCCGATGGGTCCTCAACACGAAGGGCGACTATCTATCCGGAGCGAAGACCGATCCGCTCGGACAGTGGTCCGGACAGTCTCTGAAGTCGTCCAATACGCTTGGCGTCCAGTACGCGGTGCTCGGGCCCAGCCGCCTCTTCAAGGAGGCGGAGATGAGGCCTCTGCCGTGGGCGTTCCTAGTGGGAGCGGTACTGCCGCCGATTCTGTACATTGCGCATCGCCTGCTGCCCAAGTCGCTGCGGATTGATCTGTGGAACGTCAGCATCTTCTTCTCGGGCTTGTCGGTCTTCTACGGTAACTTGAGTACGGGATACACATCGGCCTTCATTGGCGGCTACGTCGTGATGTACTGGGCCTACCGCCACCGGTTTGAGGTGTGGAAGCGGTACAGCTACATGGTCGCCGCAGCGTTCGACGCGGGCTTCAACCTCAACATGCTGCTGATCTTCCTGTTCTTCGGAGCGGGCAAGCGGATCTCGATGCCCAACTGGTGGGGAAATAATGCGGATTCGGTGGAACGATGCTTTGCACTGGATTAGGGGGAGGTGGTGGACGGGGGGTGGAAAATCACGAGCGATGGTTGACTGTATATATAATGACACGTGCTCGGTTGGATGTATAGATGAGAAGAGTGAAAACGAGATGATTAATCTACTGATGAGTGATACGAGTAGTTAGAGAGCAGATGACCCTGGCTATGAACTATGAGGATAACCATAATTATATGGTTATGACATAAGAATGCCGGGGGACCCCGATCAGGGTTTGTGATTGGAAAAGTGTTCCCTCGGATGCCATTTGCCGATCGACCAACGGCCGAGTCGATGATGCGTTCATCCAGGAGTCTCTCGCAACTTTAATCAAGAGCCACTTTTATAAAGTGTCGTCACCAATCATCTGCACCTGCAGAACACCAAACATCCTCCCTGTGGAGCAACCATGCACTCTTATCTTGTTTCTTCTACGGCACCTCACCATGGAGGCCGCCAACGCAGCAGCTTCAGCGAGTAACGCGACCGGCAGTCCAGGCCGCCCCTGGCTGCGAACGACAAACTTGGCCCTGGCAACGGTGGGCATCGCGGTGTCCACGACGGTGCTGGTCATGCGGATCTACACCAAGATCCGGATTATGAAGAGGTTCTGGTGGGATGACGGTACGTCATGTTGTGACACGAAACGAGGCGGTCGCTGATGTCGCAGTCTGTCTGATATGCGCCTGGGTATGATTCCTCTTCGCGGGCTAGCAGAAGCGCGTGCTCATTGGGAACAGTTCATTTCCATGGCCACTCAGGGGACTATCATCTGTACGTTGCACCTATCCTGGGGAGAAGGGGGTAGAGCTGACCGGCGCAGACGGATTGGAACACGCGTACATCGGCGTGCATATCTGGTTCTTGACGCCGGAGAAGATCAATACGCATCTCAAGGTAGGTCGTCCGCACTCATCGTCATCACCAGCCCAGTTTCACTGCCACTCCACCTCCAGCCGCAGAAACAAACACTGATGACTTCTTCACCACCCTCAGGTCGTCGTCCCCTCCGCCACAATCTACATCTCCAGCCTCGCCCTCGCCAAGATCGCCCTGCTCATGCTCTACCACCGCCTACTGAGCATGATTAGCATCTGGAAATACATCATCTACGCCGTGGGGATCTTCATCGTCGCGTACAGCATCGCGCTCACCCTCGCGCTGATCTTTGCGTGCCACCCCGTCGGCAAGAACTGGGACGTCACGGTCACGACGGGGTCGTGCATCAGCCGGCAGGGGATCTACATGGCGACGGCGGTGACGAACACGTTGAGCGACGTGATTCTGATTCTGATTCCGATCCCGATCGTGTTCCAGTTGACGTTGCCGTTTGTGCAGAAGGTGGGGATCTTCTGTATGTTTGTCGTGGGGTGTTTGTATGTCTTCCTTACCTCCTCTTCCTTCGTTTGGCGTGGCAGTTGTGCACGGATAAGTTGACTGAAGGGTGGAATAGGACGATCGTAACGAGTATCGTGCGGTTAGCCACGCTGTGGCCGTTAGTTACAACGCAAGACCGGACGTATAAACTCGCGTTGGCGAGTGTGTTTGTGTGCGTGCCCCCTTGTGTCTCCCTGGTTAGTAGGCGTGTGTTGACAGGAGTAGAGTGATTGAAGCCAACTTCATCATCATCTGCGGCTGTCTGCCGTACTTCCGGCAGTTTCTGCGGTTCCACTGCCCGCGGTTGATCGGCATCCACGGCATCAGCGCAGGGAGCCACAGTCACGGGTCGTCGTTGGGGGAGACGCCGCCGTGCAAGATGAAGAAGCCCGGGCTGAGCCAATTGCAGGATGATATTGGGATGGCGTTGAATGAGCCCGTGATAGATCGGAGAGAGAGTTATTTGTCTGCTGTTTGATTTGTTCTTTCTTTCTTTCTTTCTTTCTTTCTTTTTTGATTCGAACGATTTTCTGGTTGGAGATGATACCTCTTGCTTTGGTTTGAGTGACTCTCTGGCTTTAGCTGATACTCATTGTTTATAGTGTGCTTGTCTGTGGAACTCAGTATACAAATACATCGCCGTCCAGCCTATACACCCTCTCTCCCTCTCTCGCTCTCTTTTAGGGAACTTGACTAAGAACAAACAGGCTGGGTGGTAGGCTTAACCGCAGCATCACTCGGATTTGTCTGCGAGCAGCCCTCCACCAACCCAAGCAGAAAGTCATCGCGCGCAGCCGCAAACGCCGCGCCGCAGTTCGGATCACTACGCCAGCCATTAGCATCCAGCACTACACCCCACTACCCCAGAAGTCAATAAACATACCTCGCACCCCCCGACGCATTGTTAAAGTAACTGCAAATATCATGCGACCAGCAATCCTGCGTGTAGACATTCCCGAGCCCCAGACCGGTACATCCCGCGCCGCAGCGGCCGTTGCACGAGTATCTTTATCTCCGGTTAGCTCAAGATGATGGCTGGATGGGTGGTGGGGTGATGGTAGCAAAGAGACAGGCAGGGGCTACCGGACAACGTACTCTCCGCCGGCGCTGTTGGTGCCGTAGTTACTGCCCACCACGCCCGTGTAGGTGCATGTTTTGCCGGCGCTGTTGGTCCACGTTGCTGTGGCGGTCGCGCCGACTTTGAGGCAGGTTACGCTGCGTTTGTGATGCGTTGCGGGCGTTGCGTGCGTGAGGGCCGTCGTGGCCAGGAGGGTGAGCAGGAGGGTGAGCATTTTGGCACGTTGTTCGGGATGGTGGGATGGGCGGTTATTGTTGTACAGGATTCTCTGTGTGCCTTGGGGATTGTTTCCGGGGATGGCAGATCTTATATGCTGCTGTTCCGTACATACCCCCTGCTGTTGAGGACACCATGCGTCTCCTCGGGGAGTTTTTCGGGTCTGTGCTTTCTGCTGGTGCCATGGCATCAATCCTTCGAAAATGGCGAGTCAGAGTTGCCGAGGTGTATAGTACTCCCTGCTAAGAGTGGAGTGGAAGGATCCTGTCGGCGTTGAATGACTGTTTCCTGTCTCTTCAACAGACTGGTACCAGGCAACTGCAGAATGGATGCACATTCTACTGAAATTGTCTGGACTGTGAGCTCTACGGCTCTTTTCGAGTTAGCATTCTCAAGATATATACTTTGAGGCCCTGCTAGGGCTACTGTGAACGGCTCGCGTGGCACAGGTGCTGCCTTTGCACAACTAACCCCCCGACCCAACCCAACCCAGCCTTATAACCAGTATAAGCGTCCCGGGGGAGAACCCCCGGACCCCCCTTTTCTTTCAGCTTCCTGGCACCTCAATTCTTAGGCCAAGTGTGTAAGCGTTCCGGGGGAGAACCCCCAGACCCCCCTTTCTTTCAGCTTCCCAGCCCAACTCAGTCTTATCAGCTTATCACCACGTGCCCACAGGCCATCCCCGCCATCCTCGGCTGTCCGTTCCATCCCATCACACGATCTCAGTCACCACTCTCCCATCTTAACCCACAACAGTAAGCCCACTCCCATTCCCAAACCAATCCAATCTAATACCCAGCTCACAGCTCACAGTAACAACACAGCTCACCCAACAATCACTTCATACCTCAAAGATGACGAAACCAAATGGAAGAATAACAATAATCGGCTCCCTGAACACCGACTTCGCAACCTACACCCCACGGTGCCCACAAGCAGGCGAAACCCTCACCGCAACCTCACACAGCATCTCCGCCGGGGGCAAAGGCGCGAACCAAGCCGTCGCGTGCGGCCGCGCCTCCTTCACCACGAAAACCACACAATGCGCAAAAGTGAACATGGTCGGCGCCGTCGGCGCCAACGACCCGTACTATTCCGCCCTGATGCGCCCACTCCTCGAGACCTCCGGCGTCAGCGCCGCAGGCGTCACAGAGAGAGAGGATGCAAGTACCGGGTCGGCGACGATAATCGTTGAGGAGGTGACGGGCGAGAATCGGATTGCGGTTGTGCCGGGGGCGAATCATTTGGGGATGGCGGATCTGCAGGAGGTTGTTTCGAGAGTGGAGGGTGGTTCTGCGGCGGGAGATACGGGGAGTCACGAGGGAAACGGAGATGGGAATGGGGCAAAGGTCGTGGTGCTGCAGGGCGAGATACCCCGGGACACTGTGCTGGGATTGCTGCGGCATTATAATACTCCCCCTTCGTCCCCTGCCTCCGAGGCAGAGGCTACGGCTGGGCCAGCAGCAGCAGCAGCAGCACACGTCGTCTTCAACCCCGCGCCCGTCTTCCCGGAAGGAATCCCCCTCGATGCGCTGCGCGGCACAAGTGTCCTCGTCATGAACGAGACGGAGGCTGTGCTGATGGCGCGATCGCTTGAGGGATTCGCGGTCGCGCACAACGATGCTGAGATGGCGCCCGAGGAGCTGGCGCGGCTGCTGGCGCCGCAGTTTCATACGCGCGCTGATGTGGGCATCGTGCTGATTACGCTCGGCGCTAAGGGGGCGTTCTTCTCGACGCGCAGCGGGGTGTCTGGGTTTGTGGGTGCCGCGGCTGTGGAGAAGGTCGTCGATACGACTGCCGCTGGCGATACGTTTGTCGGGTACTTTACGACTGCGTTTGCGCGCTTCGTGGCTGAAGGAAAGCCGTTGGGAGAGTTTGATGCCCTTGTTGAGGGGGCCGTTCGGACGGCGAATCGCGCGGCGGCGCTGTGTGTGCAGCGCAGGGGCGCGATGCAGAGTATTCCGTTTGCGTACGAGGTTGATGCTTAGGTGCCTTAGACTCTACTCTGTACTATAGATGACTGACATGACGTTGGGTGTATGGTCGGGAAAGGACGGGCTCATGCAGCAGTGATTATACCATTATGCACATAGACTAACCCACACCGTCCATACTTATTACATTTCCATCCACCGACTCGGCATAACCCCGAATCCTCACTCATCCACTCTTCACCTTCGCTTTCTCCTTCTCAGCCGGCGACGCCGGACTCGTCGATTCCGTCTCCTCATAGTCCGCCGCATCGATCATGTACTCATCGTCGTTCAAGTACTTGAACCGGAACCAGAACAGCACGCTCTGCACGGCCAGCGCGATGGCCGGCGCGGCCCAGATCCAGATCAGATACGGGTCCTGCGTGACGGGCACCAGGATCTCGCCCAGCGCGCTGCTCAGCGCCGTCATGAACAGGAAGATGGCCATGACCAGCCCGCGCATGCTGGCCGGCGAGCGCGCGTACGCCAGCTCGTAGGCCGTCACGTTACAGAAAGTCTCCGACAGGGCGCTGAGGATCGTGTTCGGCAACTGCCACCAGATGCTGATGGGGCTGACGCCCGTCTCGCACGAGGAGGCGTAGTAGCCGCAGGGCGAGGTCCTGTAGACGCGGTATTGCACGATGGCGCCGGCGATGGCGCCGACCGTCGCCAGGAAGAAGCCAAAGGTGATGCGCGTGATGCGGCCCGGGTGGATGTTGTTTCTGTGCAGCAACGGATAGACTAGGTAGTTCAGGATCGGCACCGCCACGATGATGGTCAACGAGTTGAAGTTGCTGAGCAGGTCGTTGGGCGCGCCGTTCGTCGTCATCGAGGCGCCTTGGTTCGACAGCACCGACCCGATGCCGCCGTCGTTGAGGTTGTAGATCGGGAAGTAGAAGAAGATCTCCGTGGCCACTGGGTGTATATTAGTGACTGCGGGTGCAGCCTGACCAGAGAAAGAAACTTACCTAAAGTCCGGCGGACGTCGTCCACCAGCTTGTCCGACCAGTCCACGGTAATGCCCTTGGCGGCCAGAACACTGGGCTTGGCTGCGTTGAAGAAGTTCTTGCGCCAAACCTGGAACTTGTTCTCGCGCAACGCCGTCACCGTGATCTTGACGGCTTGGCCCAGCTCGGAGTTGCCGCTCGGAGGCAGTCGGTAGGTCTTCTTGTAGACCAGAGCCAGCACAATCGGCAAGAGGAAGTAAATGAGACCCGCCAGAAGGAAGGCAAGCCAGTATCCCACGTACTTCTCGGCGTAGGTGGTGGCCAGCATGTAGAAGGCTCCGACGTTGACCACACCGTAGAAGATCAACATGGTGCGAGTGGCCGTCATCTCCGGATCGACAATCACCTTCTCGCCCGACTTCAGGGTCTTGGTATACTGCTTCTGATGGCGGAACTGGTCCAACACCGTGGGCGCGATGTTAGGCTTGAAGATCCCCGCTCCGAAGGCAAGCATCAGCAGTCCAATGATGAAGGGCGGGGCCGAGTGCGCGGTGCCCTTCTGCAGCACCGACGGGATGGCGCCGATGACTTGGATGATGTGTGCGACACCGCAAATCGCCACACCAATGCAGATGGCCTTGTACCGACCGACGTAGACATCGGCCCACCTGCCTGTGTTAGTGATGGTAATGGTAACTCAGGCGTGACGAATACATACCATCCACCCAGAATGGGAATGACATAGGCCAGGAACTGAAACAGCAGGACCAAAGCATCACTCGCCTGCAGACCCATGTTCAGTGCCCCGGCTGTCTCTTGGGTTCCCCGTGGGGGCGCACCAGCACCATTGCCGCCTATACTTCATGAGCTAAGGCAAGTAAGAAGATGCGAAGAACATACCTTTAGGAAGCGGGAACTCGATGAAGTTGGAGAACACCGTCTGAGCACCGTAGTAGGACGCACGCTCGGCAAACTCGACTAAGCACAGCGAGTAGGCCACAATAGGGAGGTTGGCCGGGACCTTACGCAAGCTACTCAGCTCCTCCTCTGTTGGGACGGGATAGTCCTCGTCGTGACCAATGGCAGTGGTGTTGACTTCGTAAGGCAACTTCTCCGGGTCAGGGTGGGTTGAAGAGCTGACAATAGTGGTCACTCCGCCCGTGTTGATGGCGTCGGAGACATGGGTTTCCCCGGCTAAGGCAGCTGTTGCATGTTAGCAAGGGAGATACCATGGGTAACAGGAGACATACGCATTTTGGCAATTGAGTTCGTCTGGACGTAACACACAGCAGCAGCAGGTAGACACTGACTGCACCGCCCGGTTCTTTATATCCCCATGACTCGAGCAGCGGACGGACTCCCGGCGGCGATAAGTATGGCCTTGCCAAGCAGGGGAGGGCAAACGCGAGCAATCTCGCAACTGTCGGACAGTCCTGAATGTAACCATGGTGTGCTTATCGGGCGGTCACCTGGGCTTATTGTAGCCAGACTGACAACACCAGATAGGAGCTAGCAGCCTAGATAGGGTTAGTTGACGCTTATTAAACGCCAGGGTGGAGGATGCACCAATCCCTTGACATAGCGAGGTCTCCATCCTGGATGATAAGAGATGAACCGAAACTTGCGCCATCGAGTTCGGCTCCGGTGGCTGCAGCGCTGTCCATACCCGATTCTGACAGGGCTGCATGGTCACAATCATCGGCAATGATACCATTCGTGTTTTTGCGCACCCTGGTCTCTTGGCCGGCAGCATCGAATGACCAGGACGGTCGCCTCTGAATCTGTTATTTGTGTACGATTGGTGGCTTCACCACAACGTTCAGCTGATAGAACAAGCGACCCTGGTCGGACTATACGTCCACTACTAAGGGTGGGTGGTTGAGGCCAAGAGGGGACCAAGACGGCAGTCCCTGCCCAGCACCCTTGGCTCCCGCGAAGCTTTCTTGTCGTTGCTTATGTGTTTGAGCCGAAAAGAAGGCAAACTCCTCGCTAGCCGTGAGATATTTTTAGTTTGGGGAGATGAGCACGATACGACGAGTACGTCGGACTTCGTAGCGGCGATGCCGGTGTAGCAGGTAGCACCGACTGAGATGCTCATTTCCCCTTTATCCTATCGCACGCGATCGATCCAGGTTGCCACCTATATGGTCTATTCTTGCGCTAACTAGGATGCCAATCCTGGGAAAGTAACACGGACTGGCTCCTCGTCGATGGCTTTCGTAGCCCTAGCAGATGCGTCGTGGAGAACATAACTCCGACTCGATCCAATCGAGGAATTTCTCCGCCATGAGCTTGGATCGGTGCGAATGTCCATCGACCGTCGCGTGGCTTTTATCGCGATAGTGGCCCTGTTCAGTGTGACCACGTTGGCGCATAGGACAACTGTATCTAGGGGATGATAACACTTCTAAGCGTCAATCGATAAGTTCTCGAATCGTTCGATGTGCGATAATTTGTCTGGCGCTTGCCACCAGATGTCACTTCTCGGGGGTGGAGGGTGGAAGGACGCACCCACAGCTGGTGTCGGTGCGCCCGAAGTATGTGCTCGGGGCTGTTAATGACGTGCTGCCAGCTGAGACATTCTGTACAACCATGAAATCTCTTCCACCGTGACCACACCGTCAGGCCACCAGAAAGATCCGTCCTATTCTCATCTCCTTGCCCCCAAGGACAAGGACAAACAGATGCAGAAGTGTCTCGATCAAAAGTCTTCTCTTTATTATCAACTACCTAAGGTATCATATTAGATCAAGATAAGGATCTAGTTGTCCAGTCCCGGACAGTTCTCGCTCGTGACAGCCGTGATGTCAGTGTACGGCGAGGGATCAGTCCAGATGAGGTTGAAGCTACGAGAGAAATGACGGTCAGTGAATGCCAACACCATGCAGGACGAACACGAGATAACTCACCTATCATCCGGATAGGTCGGAGGGTCGTCGTTGCCCAACTCCTCCACGATGTCGGTCAACATGTGATGTTCCCAGCAGATGAGGATATTGCCATCGCCCGAATAGTTCTCAACCACCTCTCTGACACACTTCTCGTCGGTCTTGGCGCACGAGGTGTCGACGGTGATGCCCAAGTCCTGCGCGAGAGGGAGTACCGTCAGATACGGACGGGCGCGCTTACCGTCTGAGGGCGGATTGTCAGCATGAGGCTCGTCACGAGCTGTGAGATTCACAGAAAAATCGACTTACTGCTCTTGGGAGTCTCGGCCATGATGTACTTGATGTTATAACCCGAGTTCGCCCCGAAGACATTGCGCACACACTGCGAGCGCTCGACACCCAGCGTGCTCAGCCCTGTGCCACCGTCGCTGGGCTTCTCCCCGTGACGGATGAGATACACGATCGGGTCAGCCAGGGCCGTGCCTGCGAGGAGGCAGAGAGGGAGGAGGATGGATTTGGCGAACATGGTGGTGTTGGTGGGGGGGTACTCAGTTCCGTGTTGCTGGGTAGACAAAAGAGTGCGGAGAGACTGGCTCGTATTTATGGGAGGAGGGCTGAGCTTAGCTGAAGTGTGTTGAGACCCTGCGAAAATGGCCCCCACAGATAGGCTGCATTGTCGCCCAGCATCTCCGGACAATGAATCCTTCAGCAGAACTTCGGCACGTGCGGCTTTTCACCGTCAACAATGGCTGTCGATCTCTGCGTCTGATTGGTGGAGGCGTGTAAAAATTGCCGCCTAGCTCAGGGCTTAGCCTTGATCGCTGATCATACTCCTGTCGATTGACAGGCAACGCGGAGAAGGATGAGACATTGAGGAGGTAGGCAAGAGATCATACTCTTCGGGGTTTCCGGTTGATCCGCCGGGTTGTCCTTGCTGGGTGCTTCACTGTTGTCTTTTCCATTGCCTGATTGAACTGAGGTGACTCAATCCGTCAGCCTAGACAACTAACTTGGCTGTCGGTGGCTTGGAGTATGACGATCAGCTGTCCAAGGTCGGGCTGCAGCCACTGCTGCCTGGGCTGAAGGATTCTGGCAAGGATCTCCTGCCTTGGCAAGGCTTACTTACTCTAGGCAGATGGATCCTGGTGGCAAGGGTACTCGGTTCCTGTTTTCTCGTGTACAGAGTAATTCACGAAGGACAGGGGGCGGCGGTTGATATTCACCACGTTTGTATACATTATTCAGACCGAGGTTGGGAACGAAGACAAGAAAATTATGTATATTGCATGCATTTTATATTATATAGCTCAAGCTTACCAGACAACTGACACCGCTGCATCTGTTATTGAACCTGCCTAGATACAGTCAGGCCGGTGATTCAAGCAATAGCCACGGAAAACCCAAGGCGGACTGACTGCCTCCGTCCGACAATTGTCACCACTCCCAGAACCGCTAGGACTATCAGCCCAGCCATCAGGTTAATGAACCGGTGAGTCCTGCGGTGGCCTGCACAGTTGAGGCTCGGCCTGAAAGGGCTTGTCATGAGCGTGCTGGCCTAGGCCGCCAGCGCGGAACCTCTCCAGCTTTCTCAGACACCTTCGCAGACTTCTCCTCAGGCATCGCTTCATGCACCTCGGCAGGTATTTCTTGAGGGATTTTTCCAGGGATTCCTCCGGACATGTTCCCAGATGTCCCTTCAGACATCGCTTCAGGCATTTCACCAGGGACTTCTGAAGGGTCCTCTTCAGGTGACTTTTCGCATGATTCTTCAGGTAGATCTTCGCCTCTCTCTTGAGATATCGTTTCAGCTTGTAGATGAGGAGTGTGAATACGAGGTCCCTGTTGCGGTATCGAGCGCGGCTTGCTTGGTTCCATGGAGTTATTGACTGGTGATGGACTTCATCTGGCTTCGGTGGTATTTTTCGAGGTCCTATTTATGCTTTTCATTCGGATTTGAAAAGAGGGTTGGAGAGGAACTAGACTGCCTTCTTTGTCCAGCGCATACAAACACCTGAAGTCGGCACACAGCGTATCCAAGTTAGATCTTTATGTCGCATATACATGGGGGACAAAGAACGTAGACTTCCAAAAGAATCCACGGACTGACAAGGATTAGACACTTATCACGGCAACGCAAACAGCGTCTCTGAGCACTTTCCTAAAAGAAAATCTTGTTTCCTTTCAACTGGAGCGGTAGAGGGACTCGGGGTTCACGGCAGACTCCATCTAGCTCTTTCATTGCTTAAAACCTGTGCACGTGACAGAGGTTCATCGGGATCAGGAGGCGTAGCTGGCTGTCTAGATGGAGGCTTTCAGACTCGTCAGTGGTCTTCCTGTTTCTGCTTGTTCGTGCTCCCATCTCTGAGAGAATCTCTGTCCACCATTCAAATCACATAGATGTATATCTAAGCGCTGAGGCATAATACAAATTCGGGTATTAGGAGATGATCGTATATCGTAAGCGGTAGCCATCGAAAGCAGCCTGGCAGATCCACCTCTCAGCCAAATCCCCCCGTAGTCACCGCATCCATCGACCACGCACTATCCGAACCTGCGAAGAAGACATCGAAGTCCCACAGGTCGCCTATCGACACCGGCAGCTGGCCCTGTAATTGCGTCTGCTCCGAGTAACCCGGGTGCTGAGGCAGCTGCTGACCGGAAAGGGGTTGATTCGCCTCCTCCAAACCATGCTCCGTAGCGGCTGCCGGTTCACCGAGTCGCGCCGCCCAGGTCGCCCGCAGTCGCCGCACCGTGACCGCGAGCTTGGTGAACGGGTCCTTGTCGGGATCGTCCATACGCAGACTCACCACTTGCTCGAGCATGTCGCAGATTTGGTCGGAGATACTGATGACGTCGGCGGTGCGGCGGACAAGGCGGGTGTCCCAGCCGGGGATGTCGGCGGTGGTCAATCGCGAAAGGGTCACCAGGCAGTGAGCGATCAGAATGCTTTGAATGATGGGGAACGAGGCGTAGACGGGTATAGGGGTGGTGAGGAGGTTGTCAAAGAAGGAGCGGAGAGAGGCTAGGCATGCGTAGAGGTGGTCGAGACGGCACGAGCCCAGAGCATCGGGAGTGTTGTTGCTGTCGGTGGAGGGGCAGATCAGAGCCGTCTCGTATAGCGTGGTTTCCGCCTGCAGGATGTAAAAAATAAGGGGGTCTTCTTTGAGGTTAGCATCGGGATGCGTCACGGATGGATAGACTCGACTTACGACTATTAAGTATGGTGGCAGGGATATCAATTCGGAATTGGGTGAGCTGAGGCTGTAAACTGTTCATGTAAAAGGGCAATGGCGCACGCGGAATGCCACTCGAGCTTGAATTCTCGTTCCACGGTCCCTCGCGGATGCGCTCGACGAGGAGCCGTGCACGCGCCAGGTAGGCGAGAGTGGCATCGTGCGGCGATTCGGTGCTGCTTGACAGGATCTCCATAGACTCTGACATATGTGGTGTCCACCGCATAACTTCCATGCGGCCAAGAAACTGAGCAATGCTGTTTGGATTCACGATTAGACTCAAGACTTTGTGAACAAGGTGGGAAGATATTGGTGTGTAAGGCAGTGTGGTTGACATCGACTTACACTGAGCTGACAATGAAACAACCCAATACAGCTCGTCGCTCGTTCATAGTTCTGGGACGCGGGACAGGCGGCTTTGGCGGTGCCGGCACGAGGTCGTTGCACACTGGGGGCAGCATCGCGATATCGGTCCGGCTCGGACGATTCAAGCCGAGCTCACAGATCAGTGCAGTGGCAATTTGACAGTACATGACCATAATGGACTTGGGAGGGTAGCTTTGAAAGGAGATCCAGGCGAGATGCACGAGCAGTCCCTGCAAGAGATCCAAGCTTTTGTCGCAATCGACCATCGCAATCTGGGCAGCGGTCTGACGAATGTCGACGCACCGCAACGCCTGCTGCGCGGCATCTTTGGTTTCAGTGGTGACAATACAGCGCCAGAGAAAGGGAGACTCCCGCTGGAGGTCAGCCGGGGTGCTTGTGCTGGGAATATGGACCAGAGGAAGACAAGCCAGCTTCTCCGTCCGGAACGACTGCAGCATTGCCTCCGCTTCCGCTGGGCTGGGGGCGATGATCGCCGTGGGCGGAGACTGGCGCGGGCTTGCACTACTGTCGGACTCGATGCCCGTATCGGGCGTACGCAGCGGATTCGGGAGATCTGCGCGCTCTTGACGAGCGGAGTCGGGGGGATGCCGTCCGCCTGGCAGCTGACCGGTCGATTGGAGCAAAGACATTAGACCATCCATCTTCTGCTCAAGCTGGGCGGCCTTGGAGAGCCGCTTGGGACGGCGACGGCGCGACCCGGGACGACAGTCCTTCCCCAAGCGCAAACATCTGCTCGTCATTAGCGGTGGGTTATCCAACATCCTTCTGCACAACCACACATACCTCTCGCACGGAGACTCGGGAGTCCGTGGGATGCAGCGCACCTTGGCGCGAGCACAGGTACCACAGGCGTGGCCATATGGGATCGATAGAGGTGAATCTCTATCCATGACGAGTCTAAAGCACACAGACTGTCTATGACACTGATGCTACGAACGATAGAAACATTTTGAGAATGTGCAATGCAATACACGTTCTGACAGCAGGGGTGGTGTTGTTGATGCGTGAACGGAGTTGATGTCCGTTGCTTCCCGAACACCGCGCGGGGGAGCAGCGGACGAGGCAACGAGAGGAACGGACTTCCGCTCCATCACGTGAGGCCACCATGTAAAGTCTGCAAACGGTGCAAACGATGCAACAAGATGGATGCAGTGCCGTGCCACCAGTTGGCCAGGGCCATTAGACTACGGTAACTATAGAGTACTATTTAGTGCCAAGTGATAACCTTGTGATGATCACGATAAGGATGGGATTGTGGACTGTTGACCATCTGACATGGTGGCAGTACTGTACCAGATGTCAATTATGTTGTCAGGCAGAAAGTCGGCAATGGGTCGGCTCCGCAGAGGACGGGCGCAGAAATGCAGTGTAGTAGTAGTAGATGGAAGTGATTGGCAGGCAAAGATGGAAAGTCTCCCCGCTGTGTATTCTATTCTCAAAAAGTGAAGAAGTGAAGAAACCCCGAGTCTGGAAAGTACAATAATCCGATCCGAGACTCCGCCCTCAGGCTCCACGGTCGCACCACCCAGAAATAACGATTGGCAAACACTGCTGCGTAATGCCTTCTTCACTGATAAGCACGCCCCGCGCCCGCTCTCAATTGCTGTTGGCTTCGATCGTCTGCTGGTCTTCTTGTCTCGTTGCCTCGCCGTCTCATCTTCCCGTCGGCTTGCCGCAGCCCCAAACAATTAAGTAACAGAATCGGAAGAGACGGCCCCGACTGTCTCCAAAATACGAGACCGACCGGCCTTCCCCTCATCTGAAGTGAGCCCGTCGATACAGTCTAAAGGTTAAGCTGCAAGCGGATGGGGAAGTCCTCCGCGTGAGCCTGGAGAGAGAGGATTACTCATCCTGCCCTGCGCGGTGCAGTTGCAGTGGAACGTGTCCATCTGTGCAGTTCTGCTCTGCAAATTAGACTTCTTGTGCGACCATGAAGTGGATGGAGGTGTAAAGTAGGCCGTCGATCGCAGTGACGACTCCAACAACTAGTGGTTTAGCCTGAATCCTTTCGGGACACAAATCCTGGGGAAAGGTTCGGTGTTTGAAGTGCCCTAAAGAATCACAGACGCATGACTGGCCAGCCAGCGCCGTTTATTAATAAGGTGACTGCTCAACTCCAACCCTAAGTCCAACACTAGACCGACTTCGGTGGAAATCTCCAATTCTCCTTTGGTTAACGTCACACACCCTAAACTAAAATCAGGATTCTAGACGGTATAACCTTCAATCTATTGGCCATTGCAGCGGATAGCGGATTGCTTGAGCTCCACGTGGGAGGCAAATAGTATCCTATCTGGCCAATCTGGCAACCTCTCCGAATTTCTTCTTTTCCGCCACCGATTCTTATTAGTCAAGAGTTTGCAGGTCCCGTTGCCTGATCCGGATTATCGCTGTATCAGCCTCTGCCCGGGTTCATCCGATGATGGTAGTAGTCTGTCTGGTGCTGCGGTGAAGCCTGATCAACCACCACCACCGCCGCCAACAGCACTGGCCCGGAAGGTCATCGACTCGAGGAACACACACAAGAGGCAGTGGCAGTGGAAAGGAAAGGAAAGGAAGGCAACCACAGCGGAATAATTATCAATCCCACTTGGCGGGTCTTGCTTCCTCCCACCGGTGCCCTCCCAAACACTTTCTTCCTCTTCCCCCCCGCCGCCGCCCATTATTCAAAACCCGTGTGGCTTCCCTCTCGCCTGCCACTTTTCTCCTACCTTCTCTCCCTCTTCTCTCGTCTTCTTCCTTTCTCCTTCCCCCATTACCTCTTCCTCCTCTTCTTCCTCTTCCTTCAACAACAGCCATTAGGCATTCGGTGCGACCTGGGCAAAGTCGAATTCAACCTCACCTTTCCCCCTCTCCACCACCTCTCGCCTGTGTTCTGACTGTTTGAATTTCCTTCGTGCTTCTTCGTCATGGCTTACGGTGACGATATCATTGGGGACCGCAAACCCCATTCCGCGATGGATTATGAGAATGAGAAGAAGGGGGACCTCTACTCCCCGCAGTATGAGGGCGACATGGTCGACAAGATGAGCGACACGGAGCGGAACATTGTCGAGGCTGGCATTCAAAAATACAACCGTCTGGGCTGGAAACGCCTGACGGTGGTGATGATTGTCGAGGCCATTGCCCTGGGTAGCTTGTCGATTCCTTCGGCGTTCGCTACGCTGGGGATGGTAGCTGGTGTCATCACCACGGTTGGTCTCGGATTTGTTGCCATCTATACCAGTCACGTGATCGGTCAGGTTAAATTGAAGTTCCCGGATATTGCGCATTACCCCGACGCTGGCCGCCTAATGTTCGGCCGTATTGGTTATGAGATTATCTACGTCATGCTCGGCCTGGAGTTGCTATTCCTGACCGGCTCCCACTGTCTGACCGGCACCATCGCCTTCATTGACATCACTGAGAGCAGTGTTTGCTCGATCGTGTTTGCGGTCGTGTCCGCCATCATCCTGCTGCTGTTCGCCATTCCGCCATCTTTCGCCGAAATGGCCATTCTGGGTTACATCGATTTCGCCTCGGTCATCATCGCGATCGGCATTACTATGATCGGCACCGGGGTGGAGAACACCAACCAGCCCGGCGGTCTGTCGGCTGTGAACTGGTCTGCGTGGCCCAAGGAGGATATCAGCTTCACTGATGCTTTTATTGCCATCACCAACATTGTCTTCGCCTACAGTTTCGCCCTGTGCCAGTTCTCTTTCATGGATGAGATGCACACGCCCAAGGACTATATCAAGTCGATTTGGTCCCTGGGTCTGATCGAGATCTTCATCTACACCTTGACCGGTTCCATCATCTATGCTTTCGTTGGTCAGGATGTCTCCAGCCCGGCTCTTACCTCGGCCGGTCACCTCCTCAGCCGTGTCGCCTACGGTGTTGCCCTCCCCGTCATTTTCATCAGTGGTTCGATCAACACGGTGGTGCTGGGTCGTATGATCCACGGTCGCGTCTTCAAGAACTCACCCATCCGCTTCATCAACACCAAGATGGGTTGGATTACTTGGTTGGCCGTGATCACCATCATCACCATTGTTGCCTTCGTCGTCGCCGAGGTGATTCCCTTCTTCTCCGACTTGCTCTCCATCTGTTCCGCCCTCTTCGTGTCCGGCTTCACCTTCTACTTCCCTGCGCTCATGTGGTTCATCCTACTCCGCGAGGGCAGCTGGTTCACGCCGAAGAACATGGCGTTGGGTGCTCTCAACCTCATGTGTCTGTTGATTGGACTGATCACCCTCGGAGCGGGCACCTACGCCAGTGTGGATGATATTGTAAGTTTATGCTGTTGTTCGTTGCCCCTTATTCTCTTGCTCATTGTTTTTCTAGGTTGCCAACTACCGTCAAGGCACTGTGCGTGGAGTGTTCACCTGCGAGGCTCCCAACTAAGCGCATCTTCTCTCCATTATTTCTGCTAGCCGTCTACGCATAGATTAGCGTTTTCATTTTCATTTCCATTTTTTTTCTTTGACGTTGCAGGCCCGGGGCCTGTGGCGACGTTGCATGGTTTGCCGTGAATACCCACTGCGAGATGTATATATACGTTTGACATGATTGTGAATATGCCGCATCTGATGTATAATATGTATATGATTATGATTACATATTTGATTTCTGATTAATCCCCTAGAAATAAGTCTCGCCAGGTTTAATGTAGCAGTGGACGAGAAATCGGGGCGCAGACAAGTTTGTTGAGCCTGATGTCATGCTGCAGATAGATTGATGTCAATCCGGCCCGCCCGGAGGAGCAATGAAGTCAGCGGGTGACTTTTCCTCGGTCAGGCGTGGCAATCGTGGGGTAAGTTTGGGTGTACCTCTTCTAGAAGATGGAGGGATATCCGCCCGTGAACTATGGTTCTTCAATGAGCGAATGCTTGCTTTCTTATTCCTGATCTGGTGATTCCGGAACAGTGGCTGGAACTACTTATGAGTATAGGGCGGTGGAGATATATAACCCCGGGGCAAAGCACAATTGCTGCACAAACAAGGCCTGATGCTGCACCCTTCGTCACCCACCACACATCTCTGTAATTCCTAGTGACTTGTCTTGTGAGCTGGCCTACTCCGCCATGCTCTGCACGGCTTCAGTGATGGTCATGTGATATGATGTGTCAAGTAAAAGCAGTTCCACTCTATACATCATTCTTTTAAGACTACCCCTTTTCATCTCAAGGAGCGTCGCACTGATCATAAGGGCACTTGTATAGCCTAGTAGATTGTATCCCTAACTCCATTTCACAGTCAACAGTCAATGCTTTCGAGGAGAGTCGTTTGAAGCTGCCCGCGAATCCTCCACTGCTCACTCCTGCCCAACCGACAAAACAAGCTCAGGGCTACCGGGACTACCGGACGCCTCCCTCCGCTGTACTCCGCGGGGCAGCAGCAGCACCTATCCGAGGCTCGCTGGCTCAGCACCCCAGGCTCCAGTGGATCGCTGATCGACACTCACTAGTCCTGCTTCTCAAACCCTGCCAATGACCGTCCGACTGGGGCAAGGCCATGTCTCAAGCCGAGCTATTTCGGAACCAGGCTGCCAGCATGTCTGAGCGATGCTGTCATGGAGAGCGATATAAAGGTGGTGTATCATCCAGAACACAGCAACTAACATCAGCAGCCAGCCCCCTCCAATCCTCTTTCATTCCCTCATGATCCAATCCATCCAATCCCCAAAATGAAGACCTTCACCGCCATCACCACCCTCGTCGCGACAGCCATGGCCCAAAACGCCGCCATCAGCCTCCCAAAGGCCGGCCAAACCGTCAAACCAGGCCAGAACCTAACCGTGCAAGTCCAGCGCCCAGTACGACCCCTTCCCTTTCGCACCCATGTCCCCATTCTAACAGAAGTAGAACACCATAACCGGCTTGCAAGAAATGGCGGTAGCCATCGGCTTCCAGTCCTGCGGCAGCGGCAAATGCTTCGCGGCCGACGAAGACATGGGCACGATCCTGTACAACGGGGCCTTCAGCCCGGCCTACCACGAGTACTACCTGCCGCCGTACGAGAACTTCACCGTGATGGTGCCTGCGTCGGCGGCGGCGGGGCAGGCGGTCATTGGCGTTGCGCATGCCACGCTTATCGGGGTGAGTTTTCTAAAAATTCTTGCTGGGGGGTGGACTGATTGTTGACTCTGCTGCAGGCTTCCGCGAACCCGCACTTGGAGGTTTTGAATCGGACTGTTACTGTTGCGTGAGTTTGGGATCTCTGTATTTAGCTTCGCGGTTAATATTATACATCGTGATTTTGGTGAAATGTCTATGTTCTGTTTGTAGGTTGAGGTTGCCAGGAAGCTGAAAGAAAGGGGGGTCCGGGGGTTCTCCCCCGGGACGCTTTACTCAGTCAAGTATATGAGTGTTTCCGGAGGAGAACCCCCGGACCCCCCTTTTCTTTCAGCTTTCTGGTAACCTCAATCCTTAATGGCTTGTTGATCGCATTAGACAGGCTTGACAGGATGCTGCCAAGGGCAGGTGAGTGGATCCCAGGGGTGCTCAGGATATGCAGACTTTACATGAAATCATCGATATCAGATCAACTCTAGTTTTATTGCAGTTTCCGTTGGTTAAAAAACATCTCTGAATCATTTTTGATAGAGAATTAAAACAATCGTCGTCAAATCCGCTTGTGATGCCTCATTATCCCTCGCAATCGCAATCCATATCATCCCTCCTCCAATCTTTCCTTCATAACACCAGCGTTCGAGTAGCCCACATACAATCCCTCGCCTCTGTCCTCCGATACCTGACTATCTCACCTCTCCAACATATCGCAACCCCGCGTGGTGAGCTCAGATAGCATAGTACGCCTCCAGGGAGGCGAGGAAGACGTAGGGATCCAGGATTTTAGGGTAAACGCAAATACAGGACGGCTGCTTCTTGGCCCAAGCGGCAAGCCGCTCGATAGCCGCAGTATCGGACCTGTATGTGTCCGCGATCGTGAGCAGACGAGGCAGGAGGAGCCGAGGACCATAGTGGGCTGCCTCGCAGACCAGATAGTAGAACCAGTGTTGCTGCGCGAAGGTGGCCCGGGTGCTCTCTTCCTGCAGCATGTACATACAGATATCCTCGTCGCCAGACCGGAGCGCGTAGGTGAGCGCATTATATCCATAGCCGCTTTTCAAGGCGCGGTCGTCGGCCAGCAGCGCCTCCATGATGGGCTGGAGGGGGGTGATGATCACGGGCCCAGACAGGACGACCGGGTCGTTGCGGTTCTTGCGGTGGCGTCTGTCGACGATCTCGGCGATGGTGTTGACGAGAGTCGATCTGTTTCTGCAATCCGGCGCGTCGATCTGCGCACCGCGGGCGAGGAGTGCGCGCACGGTCGACGCCTGTCCGTGCTGCGCGGCGATGGATAAGGCTGTCTGACGGTGCTTCTGCATCCAGACCATTTGACGGTTCCCCGCGAAGACCCAGAGGAGTGTGTAGCGATCTGAGGTGCGAGCACACCAGCGGGACTGTGCGTCTTCTTTGGTACCGGTGCGGCCCCCGATTTCGATGTCTGCGCCGTGGTCCAGGAGCTTGTGGACGAGCTGCTCCTTGCCGTGCTTGGCTGCCCAAAGGAGCGCGACGCCGTTCGTCCTGGCGATGTGATGTCGATAGAGTTCGTTCTCAAGGAGGTTATGGACGGCACGGCTGGTACGAATTAGACTGGCTATGTCGTGTTCATCCATGTAGGATGAGATCTGTAGGAGGAGCTCGACGGGGAGGTCAAGAAGCCCCATGGTTGATGGTGAGGGTCGATGGTAGAGAGATATGGTGTGTGAGGATGATTTGGATCGGGAAGATAGATGATAAGACGAGGTGTGTTAGTGTAGGAACGAAGAGTGATGAGAGCTGGTGTAGCCTGGGTGATAATATGATTGAACGTCACGTGGTCTGTTATGTTTGGATATTCTCAACAAGACTCACAAGGCAGAAGGCAGCAATTGATCATTGAGACTACCCGGCCGCCTCGGTGTTCTCCTGATCTGGGCTGTTTCAGGCTCCTCAGTATATTCTTCCAAGCGTGCGATCTCTGTTCATCCATTTATGCCAGAGACTAGTCATTATCCATATCAGCGGTAAGTAAGGTTGATATCTTCACTAGAGGAATTGTATATCTGTTGTGTAACCTGCTAACCACGTGCTGCTGTGCACAGTATCAAGCCCACGCCGAGGAACTCAATAGCATATCGAAGTTCGTGATTCTCTCTATTTGTTAATTCCATAAACTCATGATTCTACTCGACGACATGAACACCTCCTTCAGCCACCTTCTCCGCGTCTCGCTTCTTATTCTCGCGCAAAGACACCCACCGAACCAGACACAGATCCAATGTTATCAACACGTACAGTACAACAATCGAGATCTTGGGAGGAAGATATCGAGGTGCATCCTTGGCCTGGAAGGTCTGTGGGGAGATAATGTTCCCGACAAGATAGACCACTGTCTGGATGCATGACACCGTGATCTTCTTCGTCGACCCAGCCACATTCGTGCTGGTCAGTCCGAGAATGGTTGTCCATCCAATTAGGATGCCCCCTGACAGATAATTACCTATCAACGCCGGGTTCTTCCTTGTTGTCGCCATGAGGTTAGCCCCAACGATGGACGGAATATGGCCGACGATACACCAGAAAAGCCTCTGCTCCGTCCTCCTACCAAGTTAGGTCAATCCGATCAGTACTACCACCTCGTACGCCCCCAAAGGCGTGACAAGCAACAAACTCTATCGTGAGGAGTATCCCATGCCGGTGACGAGGATATTCCCGAAGCTCGTGGCGATGGAATTCGGCACGTCAGCCGCGAACACTCAGAACTCATACAACCAGGTTAGGGGATCTGTCAACGCTTCCAGCACCTGAGCTCTTTTGAAGACCGTACTGCCAATGTGCACCACAATCCCATGCGCGATATACCCACCGAACATCTGTGCGAAACCGCACATTGCGAACCAGATCCCTACTCGAAACGCCTGTTCTTCCTTGCGGTACCACTGCGACGTGAAGACTACCCGCGCGGGCACGATCGCCGCTTCCGCCACACCGTTGGGAAGCTGAAAACCAGTTGCCCGACGAAGAAGATGCTGAAGATCCAATTGTATTGGTTCCCGTGGAGGTGAGCAGATTCCCGCAGTCCTGTGACGCTGGCATAGCTGATGGCGATCTTGTCGAGATACTGGGGGAAGTAGACGATGCAGATTAGTGGCATTATGTATAGGTCGATCTTCCGGACGAGCTTGTAGGAGGCTTCGCAGTCCAGGGTGGTCGCGCTGCTGGCGGCCAGGAGCTGGAGGGCGCCATCGTGCGATGCATCTTTGACCTGGGTCGGTCGTTGGATGCTTGGCTGTGTCATCGACATTTGGCTGCGATAAATATAAACCCATGGCGTGTGTGTCTGGAGACCTTTATTGGCACATTGTGCTGCGGAAGTGGGCTGGCTGGTTTTCAGGTGCAGAGTGCTTGCGGGCGCGCCATGATGGTGTCAGATCACGTCATCCCTGCTATCATAAAGTGCGTCGCTCGATAAGCCAGTTAAGTCTGTCCACAACATCAAGCATTAAGAAATTTGGTGGGGTACAAAGATGTGCAGGTTGATTGAGTGCAACAAAATGTGGGTGAAGCAAGGGAACGGGCGGCAGCACATAGAGAAGGGAAGGCGCACGGCCCAGCCTGGAATACTTTGAGCCAGTCTAGTCTCTACCTAGTCAGATAATCACTAACTAATCATGTATTACAAGTAAAAGTCAGATCACGATAAGGCAAACTAATCTATTTCTGACTTCCACACAACTTTCCCGTACGCATCATATTCAATGCACCACCTACCATACCAGTGAATCATGGCCCAACCACATACCAAACAAACCCACATCTACAAAACCGTAGGAACAACCAATCTCTATCTAGACATCTACTCTCCCTCAACCAAGAATCCCACCCCGGAACCCAAACCCGTAATCCTCTGGTTCCACGGAGGCTACCTCGTACGTGTTCCCTCCTAAACACCCTCTCTCCCCAGCCAACTCTAACTCATACTCCTCAAATAGATAACAGGCACCCGCACCGCGATCCCAGGCTGGCTCCTCACCCACGCCCTCACCAACAATTACACCCTAATCTCCCCCGACTACCGAGTCCTCCCCGAATCCCGGGGGCCAGCCATCCTCTCCGACTTCCGATCCGCCTACGAATGGATCATCACAACCGGCGCTTCCCTCCCCACTAACCCCCCAATCGATACCAACCAAATCATCCTCGCCGGCGCAAGCGCAGGAGGCTGGTGCGCCCTAACCACGGCGCTGTACTTCGCGAACCCATCCTCAAGCCCACAAATCGAGGCCATCGCCCTCCCACCCCCGAAAGCGCTCTTCCTCCTCTACCCGCTACTCGACCTCGCAAACGAGAAATGGGCCAGGGGATTCAAGTTACCCGGTTCCGAGATGTTCGAGCAAGGAACCAAAGACCTGCTTATCGAGGATCTCCCGCGTCGGATTGAGCGCGGGGAGGTGAGTGTAGGCGAGGCGTTTCCTTCTTCGGAGGAGGAGGTTCGTACTCGCAAGCGGTTGCCTTTGTTGTATGCTGTGATGGAGAATGAGGTGTGGTTGGATTGCTTGACTGGAGTGGAGGGGTTTGGGGCACGAGTTGTCGAAGGGGGGTTGACGGGGGCTGTGGATGCAGCAGCAGCAGAGGTAGAAGCAGCCAACTTGATGGAACTTTTTCCGCTTGAGTGGGGAGTCTACGGGTCGTCGTTTCCGGCGACGGTGGTGGTGCATGGGACGGCGGATCGGGAGGTTTCATGCGCTGAGAGTGAGAAGCTCGTGGCGCGGTTGCAGGCGGAGCAGCGGAAAGTGCGGTATTTTCCGGTGCCTGCGGCTGATCATGTCTTTGATCTAGGGGTGGAGGAGTGTCAGGAGCAGAGGGAGGGGGAGGGAGAGGAGGTGAGGGTGATTCTTAGACGGGCTCTGGAGGCTTTACGGGGGTTTGTTGGAGAGGTATAGGTTCTTGATTGGGTCATATGTTCTATTCCTTTGGTCTATAGAAGCATAGCTAATATCGCGAAGTCAATGCTGTCGATGGGGTGATTAGGGCTCGGAAAAGCCGGATCAAGAGAGGTTATCTACGCCAGCAGGGTTTGCTTGCCGCACTCAAAATAGGCATAAACATAAAATTTTTAGGGACTTTATCCCGCTAGTGGTACCTGCACCAAGACTGATGAGCACAAATGGATTCCAAGGATACCCAGTCATGGCGCCTATGGTATTTCAAGTATAATGCGACTGTATTATATCTCACATGGAAGATAGTTCCCTACCCTTTCGATTCCCCACAAACAGCATCCAATTCCGATCTTCCGACATACCCAGCACCGACCGCTGCACCCGTCGTAGAGTATGCCTGAATCGGGAAAATAACTCATGCATGACGGATTCCCCTTTAATTCCCCTCAATCGAGTCAAGGAAGAATAGAATGCTTCCACTCAAGGCGGGAGCAATGACACTTCCATGATCCTCATCCAAATACTCCCTCTTTTCACACACCACTCGGCCACTACACACCAGTCTCTCATACAATTCTTGACAGTTGTCTGTCATGCGACGCTGCCCAGCACCCCTTTGGCGTCGCTCGTACTGCTCCTGCGATTCGCCCCGTCGACGCGCCGGAAATTGCTCCTGCGATCCATACGAAATACGTACTCTGGGCAGACGGTGACGATTGGGGTGGTCATAGAACCCGGCCTCTTCCGTCAATATGAACCTGTCGCTCCACCAGATCGACGGGCTTGCCACCAGGTAGGTGTCGAACCACTCCGGTTGCGTGAACAAGGCGTGCAACGCGAAGAGGCCCCCGTAAGAATGACCGAACAGCGCCGTCCGAACCGTCGTCACGTTAGGGAATATCGACGACAAGACGAAGGGCTCGACAGTCTTCTTGATGAAGAGCAGAAAGTGGTCCGCTCCGCCGTAGGGCTCAAATCGGGGCTGGCCATCAGGTCCGTTCGGGGGAACATATGTCTTGCAAGGTGGGGTCAAGTCTACCGTCCTTCGAGGACTGTACACTCTGTCGGTCAAGGGGTAGCCAATCGCGACGACGATCGTCTCCGACTCATTGTCTGAAACAGGTCGCCGACGACGAACGGCATCCGACGCAGTCCCAAACGCGGCGTTGCCGTCGACCAGGTAGCTAGACAGCCCATGTGAGTCGCCGATTCAATCCTTCGCCTTGGCAGAAATGTGCTGGCAGACAGACGTACAGTAGGTTGGCCTTAGCCGAGACATCTAAACTAGTCCAGCTGAGAGGCCATGCAAGCTGGATCAGATAAGACAACCCCTGCGCGTTGGAAACATTCCAAGCCGCCACATTGCGGATTCCGCCGTTATCGGATCGGATGAAAGTCCACTGGGTCATGGTTGCTTGATTGATCAAGCTCACACCCACAAGCAAGACACCGGCACGTCTTTTATGACACACACAATCGACGGGAAACCTTCGGTGCCGGGTCGGAAGCCACTTCCATCGTGTGACCCCCACGCCGCTTCCGACGGATGCTTTTCTATTTGCCTTCAGCGGACTGTCTTGGCTCCGCTTGGCACCCTTGGCATTCATTATCTGATCCGGAATTCAACTCCCTTCGAACCAGTAAGAATAAAGTCAGGGAAGAGAAGGGGGGATCTGCGGGTTTGGGGCGCTTAAACACTTACGGGGGTTGTCCGATATCTCGCGTGGCATCGCCAGATTAGATTAGATCCCCGGAGCTGCAGCTCACGACTGACCGACTTATACGAGGTGTCGGTGGAGGCATCAGGATTTATGGATGCATGAGTCAGGCCAGGAGCCGGGGACACGCGCAGGGAAAGAAAAAGCTCGGCGTTGGCTGATGCTAATCTACGCCACTGCTGGGCACGCTGTCAAAGTTTTCTTATTTCTTGCCGACCCTTCCTCCAGGCCCACTGCTGCGGTTTTTGTTCACGAACGACAGCAGTGACATGATGAGCGGCGCCATGCATTTGTCCAAAGAGACGAGGGAATCCATCGCTCCCTCCTCGACTAACATGACAGAAATCACAACTCAGCAATCAGCCGATCATACCAAGAATGAAGAAAACCCTCAGGCGGATGCCGAGAGCTTCCAGGCCGGCGTCCAGAGAGCCGAGCAGTTGCGGAGGATTTGGTCCAAGACAGGAGTGATTGTCGCCTTTGTTGGGTAGGGGTCAGATTCTGGAGGTACCATGCTCGTGGCTGACAGCAGTAGCCTATTCCTAGCCACTTTTGCCGTCAATTTCGCCGATTATTCCACCCAGGTTTACACCGCATACACAACGAGTGCCTTCAAGCAGCACTCTGCCATGAGTGCTGCGCGCGTGGTCATGAATATCACTCGAATCGCTTCGTATCCGATCATCGCTAAGCTCGGCGACGTATGCAGCCTCCCAGCTTTGACATAGCTTTATTGACGACGGTCGCAGGTGTTTGGTCGCGCGGAGATGTTCATTGTCTCGATCTTCGCTCAAGTACTTGGTTACGTTATCTATGCATGCTGCAAGAACATCTCACAATACATGGTATGTTGCCCTTTGGTCCGGGGCGTAAATTATCTGACCTCTATTCTCCAACGAGTAGGCTGCCGGGATTTTCGAGGCCATCGGTTCGACAGGCTATGCCCTTACACAGCAAGTGTTCGTCGCCGATGTAACGAATCTAGTCAATCGAGGCATTTGGTCCACGCTTCCCGACTCCCTCACCACTATTCCGACATTATACATTGGCACAATTGTTGCGCAGGATATCCTAGACCACTCGACCTGGCGCTGGGGCTGGGGAATGTGGGCCATTGTGTTGCCCGTCGCCGCAGGCCCGCTGATCGGAAGCATGGTGCTGTACCAGCACCGTGCACCTCGCCGCGTGAAGATTAGTACTGCACTGGGCTGGAAAGACACAGATCCCTGGTGGCGTCGAGTATATGATTTGTTGTGGATCCAGCTGGATCTGCCGGGGGCGGTGCTTCTCCTTCTAGGGCTGTCGCTGTTCTTGATTCCATTGTCGTTGACTGGATCGGGTAACAGCGGTGCCTGGCGCCACAACGGGTCCTTCATTGCCATGCTTGTGATGGGTGTGGTGTTCGTGATCGCATTTCTTGTCTGGGATGCCTGGTTCGCGAAGAAACCATTTGTCCCATACCGAATGATCAGCAACCGCACCGTGGCCGCTGCGTGCCTGCTGGGCGCCTTGGACTTCTTCCACTATTCCGTCTTCACAGTGTTCTTTACCAGCTACCTGCAAATAGCTGGACACTTTGAGGCAGGAAATGCCACACGTATCGAGTATGTTCCTCTCCACTCTCTTCGCGAACCCGACCAAATGCTAATGTTGACGACCGTAGTAACTCCCTCCGAGTGGCCTTCCAAGTGGCGGGCATTTTCGCCTCTCTCTGCATGAAGTACACCCGTCGCTCGCAGATATGGGTTCTGACCGGAGTTCCCCTCTGCGTCCTGGGCATGGGAATTGTTCTATACCTCGTGGACATGGGCAACGGCAAAACAGGAAACGAGGCAGCCTTCGTCACAGCCAAGTCGCTGATCGGTATTGGACGTGGGTTCTACCAGACCGCAGCTCAGGTTTCCGTCCAGGCTGTCGTCTCCCGACAAGAAGTTTCCGTCGTGACGGCAGTGTTCTTCGCCTCGATGAGCGTGGGAGGCGCAATTGGAACTAGGTAAGTTATCAACCCTGCCTCACTTGGCGAGGTCGTCTAATGGGTTTTGTTATAGTGTCGCCGGCGCCATCTGGCGAAGCACTCTCCCCAACAAGCTGAAGGAGTACCTTCCCGATGCCCTGAAGTCCCAGGCTCACACCATCTTCAGCTCGCTTGTTGTTGCTAAGAAGTATCAGCCGGGGACTGCGGCTCGCGAGGCGATTGACCGGAGCTACCGCGAGTCGCAGCGTCTTTTGGCGATCGCAGCATTGGCGGCTCTGGCGCCTATGCTGATTGTTATGTTCTTCCTGCGCAATGTCCATCTTGATGACCGGGAAAAGGAGGAGGTTGTTCTTGAGACACCGGCTGAGAAAGGGGCTGAAGATGTCCAGACTAAGAAGGCAGCTACGGCAACTGCGATTCCTTCCGGTGGTGAGGATAGTCATCGGGCTGAGTAGTCTGAGTGCCAGAGTGACTTTACCTGTGCGAAAGGAAGGATGTACTTAGTCTGCCTGACAGGAGAATGCTCTCGGGATACTTCCTCGACAATTACAGGCTGGTCTTGGTCATAGATTCTCGAATCAAAACCCAACTCAAACTCTGTCCTTCATGTAGAATGTATTGGTACAGAGCTCGGTACAATGCAAGTGGTGGCTGTTCTCTTGTATTTGTTCTTGGAGGGTCGCTGACTAGCGTAGCGGTGCAAGGAGTTGCAAAGTCGTGATGTTGTTAGAGCCTCGCTCTGCGATCTTTTGTAGTAGTAACATTACATTATACACCCTAGGGTCTTGGCAGGCAGTTCATAAATAGTATCATCCAGGAAAATCGCAATCAACAGTCCGCACAGCGCTAACGGCACTTCCGTTCCTCACAGCGGGATATGTCGAGATTTAACATAAGGATTCAAAGCAGCTTTACCATCAAACTCAGAGGACAAATTCCTCTTCAGTCATGATCAAGATAGCCAATGTCAAGTATTTCCTCTGCCGTCATCCGTTTTGTGGGATCTGACTGCAAGACAGCGTAGAGAAACACGACATCATTCTCCGGGATTCCTTGAGAGTGCCAATGGTCGGTCCAATGCTCTTTTCTAAGTTCAAAATCACCTCATTGGTAACCGAGAAATCGCAATCCTGGTAGTACTCGTGCTCACGAAGATTGAAATCATGGATCTGGGCAGCTTGACTGCCTTTGCTCTTTGCTCGAGTGTCCCACCTTTAATTATCGAATCATAAATGACAGGCGAGGCAAAGTCACTTCGAGCTTGAAGTAAATGAAAATACTGCGACAGCGTGAGTAACGAGCCTGTCATAGCAGATTTAGTAGATTGACCACAATCCTCCAGGCCCAAATGTCAATGGCGCTGGACCAGGGCTTGTTGAAGTAGGCCTCTGGGCTTCGGTAGGTGATAGACGTCACTTCCCCGTGGCCTGAAGCCATCACTGCATGCTTGTGAGTGACGAGCTGGTGATAGTTGCGTGACACGAAAAAGTCCTTACTTGAGCCAAGATCGGAATCTTTAGCATTGATCCTCAGCGGCACCGACTCATCAGCGCAGGCTGTATCGTTATCGAACTCATTGACCCGAACATTCTCCATTTTGAAATCTAACAATGCTCATTAGCTCTCTTCAACGAGTCTGGAGCATGTACACTTATCACAGTGCACACGACCTTGTTGATGGATTTCCCGCAGCCCGGATGGTACTGCTTTCAGAATGAACTTGAGTTCGCGCTCTCTCCCAGCAGTTTGAGGCCTTTCTGAATCCGAGGAAATGATGCCATGGTTGAAGACTGATTGAGGATCCAAGATGGGTGAGGAGGTTTCAAGGGATGGTGAGCAGAGACTTATGCAGGGACTATTATGAATGGTACTGCACGGTATGCAGATCTGGTCTAGCCTCAATAATTGCTTATGTTGTGCTACCTTAGCGATAGACAGCAGTCACAACACATCCAAGCCAGATGCATGCTAAGATATTGTCAATTGTTGTGATTTAGTTAGTTATGCATGACATCACAACGGGGGTGAGTCAGCTATGTATCCGTTCGCTGGCCACCAGCACGTGATCTGGTCTTCTCCTCCTCTTCGCTCAATCGACTTCATCTTCCTAGCGGTCTGCAGGAACGAGAAGGTTGAAGACTGGCGAAATCGACAGCCCGCGCATGATCCATAACCTTATTAGGCTTGCGCACTGAATTGATACACTTCCTCCCTATCGGCCCGGGGTCAGGTCCAGCCAAGGGCAGCGGTGGCGTTTCCTGGTGTGGCCACTCACTTCGGCCCCCTTCGGATGGAGCCAGGGGGGGGCAAAGCCTGCCTCCGTCGATCGGTCGCAACACAGCAAAGACTCATGGAAATTTGAGATTCAGGGACCTTCTCGGTTGTTGCTTGTGGCATGGCATTGTTGATATCTAAACCTGTGTGCCTGCCAAGGGTCTCTCATTCGAGGCTTTGGCCTGTCCGTGGTTGCAATCTGAAACACCGAATCTGACGATAATTAACCAACCCGATCAAAGTAAAAGAGCGTCGTCGTCGTCACGGCCCGGACGTTCTAAACTTGGCACTCCGACCAATCTTTCACTGAAGGGGAATAGTTCGCCCCAGCGGATGGACAAATGATAGCAGATAATCGCTTGTGCCTGACCCACCCCTGAAGCCTGTTGTTGCCTGGCCTTCACTCCTCTCTCAACTCACTCATTAACTTGGAAGGCTAGAGTTCTTTCCTCCTGAATCCCGGCTCACTCTCTTACCACCGACCCGACCCGCATATCCTTTCCTCCTCACTCTCACTCGCAACACTGCCCGCGCAACCGATTCTTCCCCTCCATATTCATCCTCCAAAATGCAGCTCAAATCTCTCCTAGTCGCTCTGGCCCTCAGCCTCTCCGTCCAGGCCTATGAAATCAAGGGTTGGACCAAGAAGGACTGCTCGGGCGATGCCGATTCCAACCCCGCCAGTGGAGAGGTGCCCGTAGACTGCAAAGACTTCGACAGCTCCAAATGGAAGTCTGTCAAGGGTACGCCGGGCGACCTGGTCTTGACTGCCTACAAGGAGAAGAAGTGTGCGGGTGAGGGATACGCCCTGCAGCCCGGCAAGTGCGTCAACGGCGAGTTCGCTTCCTACGAGGTGAGTCGACCTTTTCCCTAAAAGTCCCCCATTCAATTAAGAGCATGAACTGACGCAGAGGATCAACCCCAGGTGCAATTCATCTCCACCATGAAGAAGCGCAACGCCACCGAGTCCGCCGTCGACGGAACCACCACCGAGTCCGAGGAGGCAGAGAACAACGACGAGCCCGACACCTCCCTGTAAGAAGGGCCGGGCCACACTCGGAAGTTGAAGTAGATGTCGCGCGTTAGTTCAGTAATTCGACTTTGGGATACCACTTTTTCTTGCGGGGTACTTTGCATCGCGCCCACGGGGTGTCAACGGTCTTTCCCGACCTGGGCGGCAACGATACGTCACTTACATTGTTGTTTGGGTGAGGCGCCTCTGGGGTTCTTTAATGTTTGTTGTGATTGCTTTCAGCATTTATCTGTATAGTTGCATCTTTGGACAGGAACAATAGATTGTCGGTTTTTCATGCTTCAGCATGTGGTTTGCAGACTTGATGAATGGCATGGCCCGAGTGTTCGGAGACATGCCACTCCAACTGACACGGCCATCTCTGGCCCATTGCACAGGATCCCCAGAATCAATTGCGAAAATGACAATGTGGAAGGAACGTAGAGCATGTACTGTACATGATCCAATGCAGGACACAAATTTTCATGCACAAAACTTACTTGCATGCAGGGCTGCAGCAGCCCGGGACTGCATACCAATCGACGCACTAATCGGTCTCGACAGATTTGGTCACTCCAAGATTTCATTGCATGTCCAGTTCAGAGAACCAGTATCGGGCGGTACCTAAAGATGCCCCTGCGCAGCAAGGAGGGCTGATCTCGCAGCGAGCCATCCCGGTATGCAGAAACACCACCGTCAAGAACCAATTGCACAGCGATGGCCCGCGAAAGATTACAAGCCTGGTACATTTGCGCTACAATGCAAGGAACAATTGCATAACACTCGCCCAAAGCTCATATCAAATACTATTTCTCCTGAGCCTGATAACAACCACAAAGCAACCCCGCTCATTCCAAACTTCGTTTCACGTGTGTTGATGCAACGAGCCGGTTCCTCATCCAGCCAGCCACAAGCAGCGGAGCGATGTTGAAAGCCCCCCCAACCCACCATCTCCATCCAAACCATTCTCAAACCGAGGTAAGTGGCCTGCATGTTGAATACCAGCACTTCACCTCAACTCACAATCCAACACCGCCCGACTTACACCCGCGCGACCCTCCGCAGCGTCGTAACAGGACACATCGACTGCGAGGCCTTGAAGTCGCCCGACTCAGCGTAAATAGTATTAGGATCCGAGCAAGACGCAGCCCGCACGCGATAGGGACTAAACACAGCACATCGCATTCATTACCCTGTATTTTCCAGAAATAGGCATAGAGTCTACAGAACACATACCTCGTCGTTCGGAGACCGGGATAGCACTTCCCGGGGATCGTCACGCACCCTCCGCCATCGGTGGTGATGGGCTGGCGGTTGAGGAGATCGAAGATCTGCGGGGGGTACTCGATGAAGTTGGTGAGGTAGAGGCAGAATTGCGGGGGGTCGGTGCTAATATGGCATCGTCAGTGACGGGTTCTGTCTATATATGGGGCAGGCTCTTACTTGACGGCTGTCCAGCAGACTTGCCAGTCTTTGGAGACGTCGACGGAGTCGCCTGCTGCCGGCTTGGTGATGGCGATGGCTTCTGCTGTTGCCAGGAGGGCGGCGAGGGCGATGGCCTTGAGGTGCATTCTGGTTGTTGTGTGTCTTGTAGGGATAAGAGTTGATGTGTGGTTCTGTGGGTTGAGAGGTCCGGGATTGAGGCTGTGCTGGAGGGTATCGAGGGGTACGCTGGCCTTCTTATACCTTCTCTTGCGGGGGTATTGGCTGGTGCTAGAAGCGATAGACATGATTGAAGGATGGCTGGGATATCTACAGTGTCGCACGAGTACAGTCACTTGCAATGAAAAATGAGCCGTTCATACGAAGGGACGAACTGGAACTCGAATTGCAGCCGACTGAACGCCTAATGTGAGACCAGTCATAATCGGATGATTGGATAGTTACGTATCTTATTGCCTGTCACGCGGAGATAGCAGGCTATACGAAGCTGCTGGGATGGTAGAGTTAGCAGCAGCTGGGCATATTCTGTCTTGATTGACTGGGGATGCTTCCAGTCATTGACATGCTTTCGATTTGATAGGGTACATTAGGCTTCCTTTATTGGATCCTTCCCCCGCCATTACAGGACTGGCCTTCTTCGGGGTAAGGCGGGCTTAGGAACCTGGAAACGAACTTGAAGGATTCAGATCTGAGTCACTGGCTTGATTCTGACTTGATTCTGACGGCTTCCATTGGAGCTAAGGCAGGGATGCAAAGACTTGTTCGTCAGGCTTTTCATTTACATTTTCGTGAGATCGTTGCACCGCGCATACAAGAGAATGAAGATGGCAATCTTTGTTGCATCTAACGATTGTCTACACAATTGATGTAAAGATACTTTCTAGAATCAAGTAGGTAGAAGGCTTATAGTTGCACTGCACTGCTAGTTCATGGAGGCCATAGATCAAGTACCACGGTTTGTCTCATCGTCGAATTCCCAAACCCAATAGCAAAATTCTCCGGCCTAAATGCCAATCTCGATCCTCCCGAGGAGATGGGTCAACTGCAGTGTACGGTGCCACAGACTAGGACGGCAGAGAGTGACGTGAAGCTGCACCAGTAGCCGGCACCTGCAGCAGTTGCTTGACGAGTCGTCCAGTGATCCTACGAGCTTAGTTGGGTCCTGTGTCAATCATCCACGATGGTGCTACTTCAGTCGCATCAACTAACCAGGATTAGAATGTATTCGATCATATATGATCACGCGGTTACCAAGCCTGAAGCCTGGGATAGGACTTGGCATTCAAGCTTCGTGGACGGCCTCACCGGCTGCTCTCTAGGCCTGTCATATGGGACGCCGCCTGAATTGGGGTTGTCGGCACCCCAGCAATTTGAAAAGTTCGAGCTGTCATGACGTAGGAGACAGACATGGATGGACAACAGAGAATGTATTCGTACCTCGTATCCTTGTGTAACATCGTACCGCACGTGGAGGCCTGGGGAGCAGTGCAACTGCACTCCCTGCTTGGAACGGATGTTGCATTGCAGATGTTTATGCAGGTCTTAGATGGTCTATGTCAGCATAAGCTAATAGAGCTCAGTGTCTAGAGACCTCATTTCATTTGGGTGGTGGTACACAGTTTTTGTAATCAGAGAGCAAGACTCATTCTTGCAAATTTGGTGATGTCTATGAGACTTGGAAGGCATAATGTTTTAAAAAAGGCGTCACAGTCTCTTGTAGTTTGGAAGACCAAAAAGAGTCCATAGATAAACTACTGATAGCGAGAGGAGAGAGTTCTACATCTGTTTAATAAACAGTAGCTGCACAGCAGCGTACGTGCTGGTTCTACTGCGTGATTCATATACAGCTGCCCCGGAAACCCGAATGCCTAACCAAGAGTTGCACCAGCGTAGGCACGGGAAAAAATACTCTTTTTGGGGGTTGGATCATCCTGAACCCGAACGATCAGTCTATCCTTGATGTGCCTGCACAAAATATCAGCCACATGTCAATTCACTATCAACATTGACACCAACACGTCCTATCTGAACAGCATTCACAATGCCCCTTCCAAAGCCATCGTACTGTGTTTTGTTTCGCTTACTCCCTCGTAGGTTCGAGTTCCGGGGAGAGTGGGAAACTTGCTCGTGACGCGGACAAATACGAGGGAAAGTATGTTTACAGTCAGTGCTTTCGCGACGTGTGACTTAGTACTCCCAAATTATCAGTGAGTTGGAGATCCTGCTGATACTGTTCACACAACTCATATAACACAATGCATTTCATGCGATGAAGCTATCTATCGGAACGAAGGAATAAGCCTCGCGCTGACCATCCTATCAAACACCACCCGATAGCCCTCAACGGTGTCAATCGAATCCTGGAACCCCGCCGCCCGAGCTCTACTAGGCGAATACTGTCGATCGAAATCAAAGTCCACAAGCATGAAATGCACATGGTCCCAACTCTGCGCCTCCACGGAGCCCTTCTTCAGCTCATAGCGTTCCACCAACGCCTTCCACGTGTCCATATGACCCTCTACAAACTCCTGCATGGAAGCCTTCTGCTCACCATCCGCAGGCTCGCACCCGACCAGGCCAAAATACTCACAAAGCCCCGGCCACACCTGCACCCAGCTGACCGCCTCGCCATCCGCAGCATTAAAGCTCGAGCCATGGCCGCACCGATCCCGGTTCAGCGCAGCGAAGATTTTCATCTTTGACGGGATGTCCTGGAAGGTATCGCTGTGGGAGGCGTGATACCCGTGCCCTTGCCGGGAAAGTGATCTGTGCACCGATGCCGTGGGCCATGTTCATCGCGTTGGAACCCGGTGCGAATCCCACAATGCCGTCCGGTCGGAACTCCGAGAAGGTCCATTTCTTCTGGCGCTGCGAGAGCTCCATCAGGAGGTCGTACTGGTTGTAGTAGAAGATCTTGCTGCTCCATGGCTCGGGGATACGCGGCAGACCCTCGTGCAGAGGAGTTTAAATATTGGCCTCTTTGGGGAATTGGAATCCGTATCCTTTGCCGCCGGTATTCTAGAATGACTGCTTCTAAATTAGGCGTGACCGCGCTGATAGCTTCGATCGCCGTGCGGAGGATCTGGGGGTTGACCTTTTTCAGGGATTCGAAGTTGTCGGTCTGGATGTATACTGCACAGGATGCATGGTCAGATTAAGCTAACAGAGATCTTGGCCAGAGTGCACAGGTCTTAGAGCTATAAGTACCATAGAAGAAGACAGAGTTTACTGTTTCCACTTTCTTAATCTTTGCCTTTATCTGCTCCGCCACGGCGTCCATGCTGCTCGCGAGATCGATTCCAGAAACTATGCTCAACCGAGAGTCTTCTGGGAGAAGGGTATCTCCCTTCGCGAGAGGGCAATTACAAAAACCAGTAATGCGTCTGTAAGTAGAAGGGGAAGGGTACGAGAGACACTGATTCAAGAGGGACTATTCCGAGATACCAGAGGCACTAAACACAAGGGTATGTTTTCCATCGCCAGGTATGATGACAAGATATTTGTTCAAGGATAAAGGTCTGAGTTTTAGAAGGCGAGATTTGATTAAGGATGTGTGTTAAAGGGCTCCTACTTCTGCCTGGCTTGCCCTTTTGTATCTTTATAATACATTTGTAATCTATGCCGGGTTTCGTTTCCCAGATAAAGCCATGCACACGTCAGTCTCCACTGGACAAGTTTGACCAGAACACAAGTTAGCACAGTGCGCGCACTCATGACCAAAAATAGGGAGCAATTACACAGATCGTCAGGTGCTCTCTCAGAGAAAAGCTGGTGAAAGAGAACTGGTGAACGCGGCCCACAAAGGCTTACACAAAAGACCTTGGAATTTCTTGGCTAAGGATGATATTGCATAAGTCGGACTCCATGAAGTCTAGAGGGCATGGCTCTGATGCTGAAGTCAGGATGGAACTTTTCATCGCAAGGCCATCGCATTCGACTCGACTCCGAGGGCATCAAAAATGCTTTTGATCGTAGAGTAATCATTTTCGTCCATGCCAGGAACTTCCAGGCCGTGCTCTTTGAAAATATATGCCAGCTGATTTATTCTTTTTGCCAGAACACTGCAGCTCACTCGTACTGGTATTCTAAGAAGCCATCAGGGATGATAGTAGAGGAACGATGTTCGCCAGCAACTTACCTGCGCCTGCCATCCATCTGTCGATAGGAACAGGTTTTTCCTTTTGTCTGACAGTTCCTGCAATCTGGCGTCGCTCCATCGCACGGTAGAGATGGATGCTGTTAGCAAAATGTACTCTTGTCTTCTCACGCCGGCCGACTACTTTCCTTCACCTTACTCTCTCTACAGGGATTACACGCCGTCGTTACATGTTTTCGAGCAGATTTCGACGACTTGGTTCTGGAAGACATCGCGGCGGATGTGTGAAGCACCTCGATGAAAAATTCGTCAGCATGATTGCTGAATTATGGCCAAGAGCCGAACATCATCGACACTTCGGGATTCGTATTCCGTGTGTTGGGGCAGTCGCTGGTGAGTCGGGATCTCCGCTCCGTTGTTGCCACACCTTTCTGCCTCAGGCATGATAGACGACGTCATAACTCTCATTCTGCGAATTTGGTAATGCATCCAGGATTCAGAAGGTTTAATGTAAGTAGGCTAGGACGTGTGTGAGCCAGCCGCTTGCATCAATTGTGATTTCCATAAGCAGCATGCGAGTGTTACCTTACGTTAGTGTGCAGTGATGATATATTTTCCCCTTGTACCAGCTGCACCTTTGCAAGGTGCCGAGGGCAGGCCATCAACAACTGAGATCTCGAGATTTATACTACCTCTATAGCACTGAGCCAGAGTTCCTGCAAGCTGTAACTTCTGGAAGGATTCTTCCTGGCCAAATTCAGTTGGTTGGCTGCAATTCCCCTAGTTCGAGGCTAAGCATGCTGCAGAATGATCGGCCGGGCTAACGGAGAACCCTAGACGATCAACCCTAAGGCGGGGGCCCTAATCTTATCGATCACCAAGGCCCCGCGCCAGTCGGCGAGAGCGGCGGCTTGACTCATCGCCGCGACCGGCGGGGCAAAGATTCGCCAGCGGCTTAAATTCTGCATCGTGTCAGGAACAACCTTCACAACCTTATTCCTTACCCCCCCTATTCTCCGCGCGCGCCAATCCATTCCTCCTTTTACCCCTCCCCTTTCCCACCTCGATTCAACATCAATCGCCCCGCCAAAATGAGCTACATCCTGACCCTCTCCTGCCCCGACCGCCCGGGCATCGTGCACGCGGTGACGGCCTACCTGGTGCAGAACAACCTCAACATCATCGACTCGTCGCAGTTCGGCGACGCGACGTCGGAGCGATTCTTCATGCGCGTGCACTTCAAGTCCGAGAGCGCGACGGCGCCGACGCTTGAGGAGCTGAAGCAGGCCTTCCAGGCGACGGCGGACAAGCTGGGCATGACGTTCGAGCTGGTGTCGGCGACGGCCAAGCCGCGCGTGCTGATCATGGTGTCGAAGATCGGACACTGCCTCAACGACCTGCTGTTCCGGGCGTCGACCGGCCAGCTGGCGATCGACATCCCGCTGATCGTGTCCAACCACCCGGACTTCGCCGCTCTGGCCGCCACGTACAACATCCCGTTCATTCACTTGCCGGTCACGGCGGCCACCAAGGCCGAGCAGGAGGGCCGCATCCTGGAGTTGATTGCCGAGCATAAGATCGACCTGGTGGTGCTGGCCCGCTACATGCAGGTGCTCTCGTCCAAGCTCTGCGAGGCCATGTCCGGCAAGATCATCAACATCCACCACAGCTTCCTGCCCAGCTTCAAGGGCGCCAAGCCCTACCACCAGGCCTACGACCGCGGCGTCAAGATTGTCGGCGCCACCGCTCACTTCGTCACCAGCGACCTCGACGAGGGCCCCATCATCGAGCAGAACGTCGTCCGCGTCAACCACGCCCTCAGCCCCAAGGAGCTGACCCACGCCGGCTCCAACGTCGAGAGCAACGTCCTGGCCACCGCCGTCAAGTACTTTGCCGAGCACCGCGTGCTGCTCAACGGCCACAAGACCGTTGTCTTCAACTAGATTATTTGAGCATGATCAAAAGTGATATATATAGCATCTTATGTACTGTATTTCTACTGTGCTTTTTGGATTCAGCCTCGTTCGGAACGAAGCCATGAAGGGGGTGGGAAAGAGAATGGAAATCTAATGTACATATCTGCCCCAGAATGTATAGTTAATCATTACAAAATAGCCGCCTCAAGCCCACTTCAACCCAAGACGGTCACCAAATTACAGATACTCCTCACCGTTTTCGCGCGCCATCTCTCGCTGGCGCTGCCTTTCAATGCGATCCAAATTCTTCTGCCATAGACCCTCCAGATCGACCTCCGCCCTCTTCTCCTCCGTAAAGATCTGCACAACAACCCTAGTCCCCAGCCCGACACTCCCAAAGCCTTCGAACGCATCCTCCTCCTCAGCCTCGATCTCCGTGCGCTCCGGTGCCTTCTCCACAATCCCAGCATTCACGCAGATCCACCCCGTAGTGATCCCATCGTCCTTGTCGTCAAACAACGTACCAGACTTACTAGCCAGACGCGCGCGCTTCGCCTTACGCCGGAGCTTGATCTTCAGCTCGTTGCGGCCCAGCAGCCCGTCCGCGAACGGCGAGAGCTTGTACGTGCTCCGCAGCCAGCGGCACAGCCGGTCCGCCGACACGTTCAGGTGCTTGACGCTGCGCGCCGTGCCGATCAGCATGATCACGTCCGCGCCCAGCGCCGGCGGCGTGTCCAGCCCGCGCAGGTCCAGCAGCTTCAGCCCGTCCAAACCCAGATCTTGGAACGTGTACTCCACCAGCGGCGCTAGGAGCGCCGGTGGATTCTCCGGCAGGGTTGGGAGCTGGTCGCGGGATGCTGTCCGTCGCGTTGTCGTGGCCTCGGGTTCGTCTTGGAGGTACCATGGGATGTGGGTGGTGGTGTTGAGGGTATTTGATTCGGGGTCCGTCGCCGGTTCGGCGCCGTCGTTGGGGAAGGCGATTTCGGGCGGTGGCGTCGAGGTGGCGGACGGGGGTTCAGCCTCAGAGTGACGGGTGCGCGTGGAGGTGAGAGGGCGGGTGCTGGTGTGAGCGTGGAGCGGTGTGAAGCGCGTGATGACTGTTGCTGATGCTGCTGCGGCGCTCGCTGACTGTGGTGCGCTGAAGATCCCTGGTCGGAACCAGGGCGTTCGTAGTAGGGCTCTGTTCATCGTGGCGTTGGGACGACCACTGCTCCAATTCTTTATGATCTTTCAGAGGAGGCGTTGTCCCGGGAATACAGCAAGTGATAAATTAAGAGAATGAATTAAGAAGACGGAGCTGGTTGGGGTTCGCAATGGTGCAAGAAGTGGCAATAGTTTTCTGAGCTCCGGAATATTTTATCAAGAAAGAAGCAGTATCGGCGAGATAACGAAAGGCACGTGATAGTGCAAACATCACAAACCTGTGGCTGACCGCCTTGACTAGCGTACTGCAAACGCGGCAAACTCCCGCGGAAGCGCTTGGACCACCGTCCGATTTCCGCAAAAAAAACTGCCCGCCTGTCAACGAATCGCAAACTTGCACCTCAGTCCAAGACGTTAACATGCCGCGCGAGAATCAGAAGCGAGGCCGTCGGGCCACCGACAAGGCCAACAAGGAGGCTTCCAAGCGGAAGCGCGACGAAGTGCCCGAAGACAACCTGCCTAAGCGCATCAAGCCCTCGACCGACGAGCCGAACGATTTCACCCAGGGCGCAGACTATATCGCTTTGGACGCGGAGCCGGAATTTGACCAGGCCGACCAGGGGTATGAGCAGGAGAATGAGAATGGCGGTGCGGGCGACACGGTGTTCTTCGGTCTGCTGGACCCCGAGGAGCAGGAATACTTTTCCCGGGCGAGCGAGGTGCTGGAGCTGAACCAGTTCGGCGACGAGGAGGAACGGCGGGTGTTCATCGACAGTGTCTACACGGAGGCCAACGGCAAGGAATTGAAGATCGCGTGTAGTCAGTCGTGCTCGCGGCTGATGGAGAAGCTCATATCGTTGTCCGACATGCGTCAGATCCGCCGCCTGTTTAACAAGTTCATCGGCCATTTCTTGCACCTTGTCCAGCACCGATTCGCCAGTCACTGTTGCGAGACCCTGTTCATCAACGCGGCACCCGGTGTCACACAGAAACCATCAAAGGCTAAGGCGGAGAAGATGGTGGTTGACGGAGAGGAAGACGAGCAGGAACCCGAGCTGTCGCTGGCCGAGATGTTCATGACCGTTGTGGAGGAACTGCAAGGAAACTGGGGATACCTCCTTACCGAACGATTCGCGTCACACACCATCCGAGTCCTCCTTCTTGTCCTGGCGGGAGAGCCGGTAGACTTGTCCCTGAGCGACTCCGTTGTTGCTAGTCGGAAGAAGGAGAGACTGGGTCTCGCCAACGCAGACACGCCGAAGGAGAACCCCGTGGCTCAGAGGAGGGGCGTCCCCGAAACTTTCGAGTCGACACTGAAAAAGGTCATGAAGGATATGGTGTCCGTGCTGGATGACACTTATTTGAGAGCACTGGCAACCCACCCCGTCGGGAACCCCGTGCTCCAGGTGTTGGTGTACTTGGAGCTCTCACATTTCGGCAAATCGAGCGCCAAGGACTCGAAATCGATTACGAGAAGACTGATCCCCGACGAAGAATTCACGGAAGGATCTGAGAGTACGATCTTTGTCCGCGGACTGCTATACGACCCTGTTGGATCGCGACTCCTCGAAACCATCGTCAAGTGTCTACCTGGCAAGCTTTTCAAGTCGCTCTACAAGAACCTGATGCGCGAACAGATGGGCTCCCTCGCGCGCAATATCACCGCTGGATACGTTGTCCTGCGGGTGCTCGAGCGTCTGGGCAAGGATGACCTCCAACAAGCCGTCGAATTGATCATCCCCCAAATTGCCGGTCTCATCGAGCGGACGCGTCTTATCGTGCCGAAGGCATTGATCGAGCGGTGTCTCGTACGTGGGGTGGATACCGCTCCCATTGCGCGTGCGTTGGAGTCGGCATACGACAGCGACCCTGCTCGCCGACTGAATCAGATGCTGTGGCTGGAGGGCTTCTCCCAAGACAGCGTCGAGCAGCCAAGATACGGCGAGGAGGGCGCCAGCGCCGGCAACAACCAGAAGGCGCTGGCGGCGGCCAGACTGCACAGCTCTCTGCTCGCGCAGACGATGCTCACAGCCCCCGGCGCTCTGAGCGGGCTGGTGTACTCTGGCCTGCTGGCGCAGTCGACCGAGTCGCTCGTCAAGATCGCCACGGATCCCACCGCCTCGCATGTTCTCCAGCAAGCCCTCACTCTACCCACCTCGACCACGCAGTTCCGCCGCCAGTTGGTCACGCGCTTCACTGGCCAGCTGAAGGACCTTGCGCTGGACAGCAGCGGCTCCCGCGTGGTGGATGCTTTGTGGCAGGCCACGAAGGATATCTTCTTCATCAAGGAGCGGATGGCACAGGAGCTGGCGCTGCACGAGATGGCGCTGCGCGACTCGTTCGTGGGACGCGCCGTATGGAGGAACTGGTCCATGGATCTGTACAAGCGCCGACGCGGCGAGTGGGCGGCCAAGGCCAAGGGGTTGGACTCCGGCTTTGGCAATGGCAGCGGCCCAGGCGAGCGCCCCAAGTCGCGCCTCGAACTGGCCCGCGCCAAGTGGGCCGCGAAGGCCGAGGAGAACGCGCAGAAGGCGTCTGCTGCCCAGTGAATGTGACGGAGTCCTGACCGATGCTTTCGAACCTGTACATAGTGTCCGCTAGAGAGCATGTATAATAAATTAGCGGAGAAAAGTTGCATCTGACGGTCTCTTATTTTTAACCCTTTCAACTTCCCAGCTTCCCAGCTTGTATCACCCTCACAACTAATATATACCACTCCAAGAACAACGTTCCGGGGGAGGACCCCCGGGCCCCCCTTTTTCTTCAGCTTCCCAATGCGCCTTATCCTTTGGACCAGATAAAACCTTGTGTACATCATGCTCTCCATAACCAATTCCTCCCTCCCCACCAGCAATAAACTCTAGTATGCAAACTTGTTCGTGTGGAACTTGGCAAAAGATCTATTATGAACTATCTAGTAACGTAAATCCACCGCTTGCGCTCACTTCAACTCCCTCAAAATGGAACGGTTCAGGTGCTCTTTCCTGACCGAGGGCACCCCCGACAGATGCAAACTCAAGTCGATATCGCCCAGCAAACACTTCACAACATGGCTGACACCAGCCTGGCCGCCCATTGCCAGGCCATAGACATACGGCCTGCCGATGAGCACCATCTTAGCCCCGAGCGCCAACGCCTTAACAACATCGGCACCACAGCGCACGCCGGAATCAAAGAGAACCTCAATCTGCTCGCCGACGGCATCGACAATCTCAGGCAAGACATCCAGCGACCCAACGCCGCCATCCTGCTGCCTACCGCCATGATTCGACACCACAATGCCATCCATCCCATGCTGCACAGCCAGCTGCGCATCGCGCACACTCTGGATCCCCTTCAAGACAATAGGACCCTTCCAATGCTCCTTCAGAAACTTCAAATCCTCCCACCCATGACTCTTCCCCGGGAACACAGTATGCGCCCACTCCCTCGCCGCGGTGCCCATATCCTCCTCGACCTCCTTCCCATGCTTCTCCCTGAACTTCCGCCGATACACCGGGTCCGTCAACCCTAACTCCACTCCGATGTTATCCGGGCGCAGGAACGGATTATACGCATTCCCGAGATCACTCGGCCGCCAGCCAAGGATATAGGTATCGAGCGTGACGACCAGCACCTTATAGCCAGCGTTCTGGGCACGCTGCAGCAGACTAGCTGTGATGTCATTGTTCTCGTTCAGCGGCCAGTACAGCTGGAACCAGCGTTTCCCGTCCCCAGACGCCTGCGCCACGTCCTCGACGCTCGTCGACGCCGCCGTCGAGTAGATGTACGGCACGCTCTCGGCCGCTGCGGCGCGCGCCACCGCCGCCTCCCCGTCCCGGTGGAAGATCCGCTGTACCCCTACCGGTGCCAGCGCGATCGGATACGGGTATTCTTCGCCGAAGAGCGTTACGCGCAGGTCTGGGTACTCGGATGGCACTAGTCGCGAGGGCACGATCCCCCATTTGGTGAATGCGTGTCGGTTGTTTGCTTCCGTTTGGCCGGTCCCTGCGGAGCCGTGCACGTAGCCGAAGCTGTCGGCGGAGAGGCGCGACTGCGCCAGTGGTTCCCAGTCGTGTGGGTGCGGAGGGAACGGTGGTCGTGTGTCTTCCAGCCCGTTGCTGTATATCGTGTTTTCGTAGGTGAAGGGTGTGGGGTTTGGTTGGGCCATCTTTGGTTTGCTTGCTTGGGTGATATATGTGGTGCGTGTGATGGAAGGGGTTCTATGATCTACGGGGGAGGGAAGGAGCTGGCGCTTTCTTATACTACTTGTCGTATGGGGCTGGGGCTCGTGGGATTGACGGACAGTGCTGCATTCGAGCAAGGCCCGCTGAGGTCATACTGCCTCACTGCAATCGGCCGAGACCATGTCTCTGGGTTTGAAGGCAGTCGGTGACGTTGAACGAAGCGTCGACATGGAATACCGGCGGTGATGTCACATTGCAGGGAAACAGAGAAAAGAATAGGGCTCGAGTGGAGTGCCCAGGAACAAGCGGATCGTCTTTTCCGCAGATCCCGCAGTTTCCGCTGGCTGAGTTGGTTTACGGCCTGGCTGAGTCTGCGCATCTCGATGAACCAAGCATTGAGCTATTCTCGGCATGCCGATAGATTCAGCTTGATCGGGTGCTGTGTACCGTGCATCAAGCTAAGCTTTCTGTCACACTGCTAACATGTTACATTATACTTGGTAGCATGTAGGTACTGTAGTACACCCCACGTGACTAACAAGAATTTGCCCGATTCCTCAGGCACTCACGTAAAATATCTCTCCCGCCAACCACGAAACACAGGGAATTAACCCTCACTGCGCCACTTTATATACCCAAGCACTGTTACTAAATTGTTGAGCTGAACCCACCAAACATCAAAATGGACCCCTCCTTCCCCGTCTCCCTATCAGCCCTCCACTTCCCCTCCTCCGAACAACAGTCTATTTCGCAGACGCTATCGGCCCTCCGCCGCTCGGCGCTCTCGGTCACCAACCGGCTGCACTCTATAGAGACGGACGCGCAGTTCGTGGCCGAGGTGGCGGCGCACTACGGACTGCCGCTGATCGCCAACGAGCGGTGCGGCAGTTGGTACATTGACCCGGCCGTGAAGACCGGCAGCGTGTATTTCAAGAGCACGGATGGCCACACGGGGCAGTGGGACTTCAGTTTCCGTAGACTCAATCTGCAGGTCTTGAGTATCGCGCGTGAGCACGGAGGGTTAGTTCTCCTTCTTCTTCCGTGGGAGAATTCTGTACTGAAATGATACGGGGAATAGATGTATCATCGTAGACTCTACCCGTCGGGGTAAATGTAAGTTCTCTGCTCCCTGTCTGACTATCCATTCACCATTCACCGGTCCTATAGAGCGTTCTGGGGGAGAACCCCCAGACCCCCCTTTCCTTCAGCTTCCCAGCTACACTCAATTCTCTAATCAGGATAGAACCTGTTCTGGGAAGAACCCCCCAGCCCCTCTTTCTTCACCTCCCCAAAACACGACCTAAACAGATAAATAACAATAGAACGGAACAGTAATGCCCGACTCCCTCTCGAAAACCATCCCCATCTGGACAGCCGTGCTCAACCGCGCCCTCTTCCCCGACGAGCCGGCCATGCACTCCGTGCAATTTCCGCCGAACTTCCTCCCAGAGTCCGAGGAATCGCAGATCGAGCGCCGCATCGACTCGTTCGTGAAGTCGTTGACAGTTTGTCCCCCTCCCCTCCCATCCCTCCTGATGAGATACTAACGCAGGGCAAGGACTTAAATCTCTCCCTGGAAGCCCTAAAAGCCCAACTGCAGCGCCCTATTCGCCTCGCGTGGGCAAACAGAGCGTACTTCCACCCGACCACCCTTCTAAAGAACAGTGAGGAATACAACCTATTCGTCCTGTGCTCCGCATCTAAGCGCGTGCACGGTGCCGAAATGTCGGAGGGCGGGTATATCCAGGGGGCTGGTGACGATAGCGAGAGCTGGGCGCTGGGGCTTACGCCTCCGCTGTTCTGGGAGCATAAGACTGAGATCCTGAGACGGTCGGAGGAGGATATGCCTGGCTTTATTTCTTCACTACTCCAACAGGAGAGGGGTGCTAAGGGGGAGCAGGGGCAGGCGGTACGGATTGCGCCGACGAGGAATTTGTTCCTTGGTGTTACTGCTGATGTTTCCGGGGCGGGGTTTGATCTGGTGGTGGATTGCAACTCCAAACCCGAGGAACAAGAGCCATCGGATGGAGATGGCAAGATAGGGCCGAAGAGACTGAACCTAGGCTGCGCATCAGCGAAGCTAGGCAGTCGCGATCTGCGCAAGCACCTCGACCGCGTACGGGCATTTGTGCGCGAGCACCTCTCTGCTAATCCAGAGACGAAGCTGCTTATCTGCTGCGAGACGGGACGCGATCTCTCCGTCGGGGCCCTGCTGGCTATCCTGTGCTTGTTTTACGATGAGGATGGTATGTTGGTCCCTTCCCACCTCAACCGTTCACCGGGTTTATAAGGTGTCCTGGAGGAGAACCCCCAGACCCCCCTTTTCTTTCAGCTTCCTGGAAATGTATCAGAAGCGTGCTGACTGTACTGTGTCTAGGGAACTTCTGTGCGGACGAGAGGAAGAGTATTGGGAAGCAGTTCATTCGCCAGCGTCTGGCGTGGATTACCCTTTGCAAGCCCGATGCGAATCCGTCGCGCTCGACGCTGCAGTCTGTTAATGCGTTTTTGATGGAGAGGCCGGATTATTGATGTACACACTTTCGGTTACGGGTATTTATATGCTTGAGTGGTTTGCGTTGGGCTGTGAAGCTGAAAGGGAGCTGGGTCTGGGGGTTCTCCTCGGATACACTTATTCTGTCAGTGTTAGATTGAGGTGCCTGGGAAGCTGAAAGAAAAGGGGGGTCCGGGGGTTCTCCCCCGGAAATGCTTATTGTGGATAGGGTATCGAGTAAAGCTGGTTAGCTGAAAGAGAGAAGGGGCAGGCACTTTCTCAGTCCTGACAGGAAGAAAAGACACAATAAGAAGAGTTCAAGTGCGGAGCTCGAAGCACAGTATCAAGGGGATGAATGTCCAGTGTAGAGAAAGTAATTTGGAATAAGGTATTTTATACATCATGCATGGCACCCCATCATTGCAGTCAAATCCCAACTCCATCCCATAAACGCCGTAGTGAAGTCGCTCTCTATGTTACATGATTATCAATAAATGTACAACCCCTCCGAAAATCAAGGAGCCTGCGTCAAGACATCCTCCGGCGTCTCTTCCAACCCCTCCGCGGCCACAGGCGTGCGACCCACCGTGCCAGACCGATGTACATGCATCAAGAGCCTCAGCACTCCGGCCGGCGTGACGCCCTCGAGCCGCCGCGCCATCCCTATGCTCACTGGACGGATGCGAGTCAGGACCTCCACCTCGCCCGCACTGAGGCCGTGGACGGCCTTGTAATCCAGCTGCGGCGGGAGGAGCAGATTCTCGTCCTGCAGAGACCGGCGAGTAGCGGCCTCCTGGCGCGCGACATGGGGCGCGTACCGGCCCTCGATCGCAACACGCGTGCGGATTTCCGGCGCGAAGGAATTGGCGTTGTACACGGTGCCCGTCGGGGACTCGATGTGCGGAAGCAGGGATTCGATGTCCGTTTCGTGGAGGCAAAGGAGATCCATGGCGGAGCGGGCGGAGCCGTCGATGCGCGAGCGGAAGCCCAGCCGGTTCCAGGCGGCGGACGACATGCGGGTGTTGGTAAGGAGGGAGCGCAATTCCTCGATTTGCGCCTCGGTCTCGGTGAAGCGTTGCCAGCGGGCGTCGGACACCACGCCGGCGTCGCGGGCCATGCGGGTCAAGCGCAGGTCGGCGTTGTCTGCGCGCGTCGAGATGCGGTACTCGCTGCGCGTCGTGAACATGCGGTACGGCTCGGAGACGCCCTTGGTGATGAGGTCGTCGATCATGATGCCGATGAACCCGTCCGAGCGGCGCAGGGTGAGCGGCGCGCGGCCCTGCACGGACAGACCCGCGTTCGTGCCGGCAATGATGCCCTGTCCCGTGGCCTCTTCGTACCCGGTCGTGCCGTTGATCTGGCCGGCCAGGTACAGTCCACTGATAAGCTTGGTTTCCAGCGTCGGCCACAGGTTGCGCGGGTCGATGTAGTCGTACTCCACCCCGTAGCCGGGCTGCAGCATCGTGACGTTCTCCAGCCCTTGGATCTTGCGGAGCATGGCGTATTGCGCGTCGGCGGGGATAGTCATCGAGATTCCATTCGGGTAGATAACATCATTGGGCGCAAACCCCTCCGGCTCAAGCCAGATAACGTGTTGATCCTTATGACCGAATCGAATAATCTTCGACTCCAACGACGGGCAATACCTAGGTCCCTTGACCGTCTCACGAATATGAATAGTCTTATCGAGGTTCGCACGCACAACATCATGCACCGCCTCGTTAGTATAGGTCATCCAGCAATTGAGCTGGCCCTCATCGTCAACTTGGACGCGGTCATTGAGGTACGAGAACGGCTGCGGGGGATGATCGCCCTCCTGGACCTCCAACGGCTTAAAGTCAATCGTCTTGCGATCCAAGCGCGGCGGCGTGCCCGTCTTCAGACGACCGAGCGTGAAACCCGCCTCACGCAGGGACTTACTCAGACCAAACGTAGCAGCCTCGCCCATCCGGCCCGACGGATACGCATCCAGCCCAATATGAATCTCTCCGCCGAGAAATGTGCCAGTGGTAATCACGACGCGACCGGCGGGAATCACCACGCCAGACTCCAACCTCACACCCACGATCTTGCCCTGCGGCGCACCCGCACCACCATCCGTCACGTCCTCCCTCGACACAACAATATCCCCGACCTTCCCCTCGACGATATCGAGTCCTGCCGTCCCCGACAACTCCTCAAGCATATACCTCTTGTACAAGTCACGATCGATCTGCGCGCGCGGACCCCAGACAGCCGGACCCTTCGAGCGGTTCAGCGTGCGGAACATGACACCGGCCTTGTCGATGATGCGGCCGGCGACGCCGTCCATGGCGTCCACCTCTCGGATCATCGTGCCCTTGCCGATGCCACCGAAACTGGGGTTGCACGAGCAGACGCCGATGTTCGAGCGCGAGGGCGTGATGAGCGCCGTGCGTGCGCCGGACCGCGCTGCCGCCGCAGAGGCTTCGGCGCCTGCGTGTCCGCCACCGATGACGATCACGTCGTAGCCTCTAATCCAGCAGACAGGGAAACGTTAGCATGCAGCCTTGAATGGGAATATTGACAAAACTGGGGCGACGGGGAGGGGGTATCGCCTACACCGCGGGATCCGTCACAGTCGCCAGTCCACGAAAACTCCCCACCCACCGAGATCGGGACCCCATGCCCCATCTCCGGATGGTGCCAGAGTATGCCCGGAATGCCATGGTGTGTGGCGTCAATGGAACAGTTGGGCAGATTGCGCACCAGATGGTGATAACAGCTTCGAGTTGGTCCCGGATAAGAAAAAAACGCCGCCCTCATGGTTGTTCGAGGTCACGTGTGATGGGCTTATTGCCGGTTATCACCGAGGGCGGTGAGGCTTGTGTGACAGGGAGGGTTACAGCAGGGTGCCTGAGAAACAAGGTGTAAAACTTTAATTAATATTGATTTTATCTGGAAATAGTTATTAGAACTTTAGATTATGGATCCTTGGATTAAATAACTATGCCCATGTAGAGCCCAAGATCGTGTGTGCTACAGGTATCTGAAAATGAAATCATTCTAATTAAAGCAGTATATATAGAACCTCTCTTGCCGTACACTTTCTCTACGGTATACTTGGCTTAGATGCAATGGCAGCAAGCGCGGCATCCAATCTTTATCACAGGCTAACTCAGGAGTCCAGTAGTCCTTACCAACATGGGGGACAAATGAGGAAGGCCGGTGGTGAAGACTAATATCAAATAAAGGAAGGGCTCTCACATCCTCGCCACTTCCCTAGGAGCTGTCATTACCCAACTCGAAGTCAATTGAGGCAGAAACAATATTGTGTGGCAATGTTCGTGGGTATACATCAACTTATCATCTCAGAAGCTATACTAGATCCCAATAGCCATGTCTTTTGACCTGTTCCTTATCTATGACACGCCATGGTGCCTGAAAAGAACTTTAAAATGTTAGAACACTGTGCCAACCCTAACATCAATCATCAATGCTTACCATAGGTGTCCTACCGTGTTCTGGAAACCGGACTTCCTCAACGACCATTATCTCCAGCAGCTCCGGGTATCTGACAATAAACTCTGACGTCAAACCCCACCCGCATCCGTTATTGAAGATATCGAAGAAATCCGGGCGAATTTGCAGTTCATCAAGCTGGTCACGTCCAAGAATCCCTTCGCCCCAAGGCCACCGCGCCTTCACACAGCAGCCTAGATAACCTGTCCATTCCCCGTAATCATACTTGTGCCAGTTTCCAGCCAGGTACGCACGCAGCTGCGGCCACAGTAGAAGGTCAATGCCAAAGGGATGCGCATGCTGGATCTGACCATAGTCGGATGCAGAAAGCTCGTGACGCACGCGAAGGTGGTGGGGCCTGGGTACACCCGCCATTTGATGTGGTTGTATGCTAGCTATCCCACTGCGAGACACTCCGCGTCACGGATGGCACGGGTCCGGATGGACTGGTGGATTGCGTCTGCCAGCCAGTTCAGCCGGGTTCCGTAGAGTAGAACCAATGGGGACAACTGGGGGGGACAAGTGGCAATCACTCCTGGGAGGGTGACCCAGAAGCATATGTGGGAGACGGAGGTGTTGTTCAAAGGCACCAGTGACCAGACAGAAGGAGCACTGGGTAGTGTCCCCCGGGCATGTGCGGGAGGTGGATGGTCGATCCCCGGTATTTCCTGCAGCCTTGCAGCGGTATCATTGCGCACGGAACTCGGATTTGTCGGTCCCGGCTGGCTAGCTTGCATTCCATCATCTTCGCCAGGCATGAGAGGCCTGACATCCGGGCTCCGCCTGCATCTTTCCCTCGAAGCGAGGTGATCGTCGTCGTCTCGCGAGCGGGGTATGTTTCGCAGAAATCATAGACGTGCGCTCAATTTCCCGTTCTCTTATCAGAGAGACTCCGTTTCATTTGGTCAGCGAGGATGAAACCTCTCACAGAAGGCTACTCTGTCTTCCAAAATTCGAATTCGCCGCTCTCGTTTGTCTCGCAAGGTTTGCTGGACATTTCTGTCCCGAAGACGCTTCGTCTCAGATGAGGTCAAAAGTACATTGTGTCTTTAATTGTCTGTGTCCATTTCACCATCCCGGTCCAGCCGCTGCACTGTTCGCTTTCTGCATGGAAAGTAAACGTTGCAGCAAGTGCTGCATCATGCAGCTGCAAATCAAGTGCTTATGTGGAGAAAATCAATGGGTTCAGGCTGCTTCGACATCATCCATGGGGAAACAATGATCCAAGATCTGCAACCACACATAGCTTGATTGGCTGAAGTGGTAGAGAAGTGGAGCGCTGATTCAGTGTCATCACTCAATATCCGCCATTAGAAAACGTTAAAGCCTCACCCGTGACGGGTCGGGCCCTATCCGTACCGCCGAGCTGGCCAATTTGAGATCATTGCATGTACATACATGTACCTGTTATTTCCCTGGACAACCTGATTCAGCTTGTGAAAGTGCCCCGCTCGATACCCCGCTTCTATTGACAAGAACACACCATGCTCGTTTCAAATCTGATATGCACGTACAGTGAAAATCATTCTCGCCTCGTAGGGATAGGCATCGGTCCTGGGCAAGCAATGCGGATGTGTTTGAGGAGTTAAATATCCGAGATGGCTGCGTGTCTTGTCCTGGCGTTTTTCATGACCTACAGCTTAAATATTGTTTACTGCGATCAATTCCAACAAATTCAATATGTTCCATCCTCTACTTATACCAGTAGCTCTTACAATTTTGATACTCTACTATTGCCTCAGCACCATATACTCACTTTTCCTTCACCCTTTGCGACATATCCCGGGACCTAAGCTGTGGCTTATCTTCCCCGTCATCCGGTACATATCAGCCATTCGAGGACGGCTAGATACTGATATATGTCACTTCCATGCACAATATGGCCCGGTGGTACGCCTCACTCATGACGAAGTCTCCTTTATCACGGCAGAAGCATGGAAAGAGATATACGGACACGGTCATCGCCAGTTGCCGAAAGTACTCAACTCAGCTTCCAACCCGAAGGACATCATCAGCTCCAACGACGCCGATCATAGTCGATTCCGCAAGGCTCTGTCTCACGCCTTCTCCGCCAAGGGCTTGCAAGCGCAGGAGCCCCTCATCAATAGCTATATCGACAAGTTGATTGCTAGACTGCAGGATATCGCCGAGTCTCAGCTCCCAGCCGATATGACCAAGTGGTACAACCTGGCCACATTCGACATCATCGGGGATCTCGCCTTCGGAGAACCCTTCGGCGGCCTCGAAAGCTCCAAGTATCACCACTGGGTCGCGACGGTATTCGAATCCGTAAAGCTGATCCCGTTCACCATGTTGAAAGACCAATATCCCATGATCTTCGGGCTCCTTTCTCTTTTCGTGCCTCAGACGCTTCTCGATGCACGCAAGCGGCAAGACGAGCACACCAGGATAACGGTGCAGAAACGGCTCCAGCATTCGTCGGCCGACGACCGCGCAGACTTCATGGACTCGATGCTGCGGCACCGTGGCGGCGAGAAGGAGGACGCTGCCTTGAGCGACGAAGAGCTCGTGGCCAATGCCAGCATCCTCATCATTGCCGGCAGCGAAACCACCGCCACGCTCCTTTCCGGCCTCACATACTGGCTCTTACGGAGCCCCGACGTCCTCGCAACCGTCACCGCCGAGGTTCGCTCCGTCATGAAGACAGAGGCCGAGATCACCTCCGCCGCCGTGGCTGCGAAGCTCCCCTACCTGCTTGCCTGCATCGAGGAGGCGTTGCGCATGTATCCTCCCGTGCCAACCGGACTGCAACGCATTACCCTCGACCCGATTTCCATCTCGGGCTACGACATTCCACCTGGTGTAAGTACACAGCGAATCTATTCTTGACATCATTAGCGAAGTAGTAGTAGTAGTCCAGCTAACAAGAGCCCATCTCCATCTCCACCTCCAGACCAAAGTATCAGTCCACCATATGTCCGCTTACAGATCCCCCATCAACTTCCACGCACCGGACCGCTTCATCCCGGAGCGATGGTTGCCAGACGCGAAGACCAATCCCAACTCGCCATTCTATTCGGATCGACGTGACGTCCTCCAGCCGTTCTCTGCGGGTCCCCGGAACTGTATCGGGCGGAATTTGGCTTTCGCCGAGATGAGAGTTATATTTGCGCGGGTGTTGTGGAGCTTTGACCTGCAGTTATGCGAGGAGAGTGTGCATTGGTGCGACCAGAAGACTTATACACTGTGGGAAAAGCATCCGTTGATGTGCAGGTTGTCTTTGAGGAGCTCGGATGCCCCATAGATGATGCTCTTGGAGGGGCTGTCGTTGGATTGAAGTAGCTTATGCAGTGGCTTGAGGAAGTTTATAGTGGGATAATCCGGGACTGAGCACGTATACCACTAACCGGCATCGTTGTTGTATTGCACGGAAAATATCCTTAGGGGGATTAGCTTCGTTTGATCGATTCTGAGTAGACGGATTGATAGACCAGACCATCCCGTACGTAGTCGTAATCAGTTCAATTCCGCTGGATTGGTGGCTCAGTGGGTTGATACAGTATCATTCCCCCAAATACTTACTCGGTCCACTCATGCCATCGGACTGATTCGAAGTTACCACATGCTCTATTGCCGCACGATGATATGTATGATGCTTGCCCAGAAGACTCAACTCGAGGTGCATCCTCGAGTGGCAGAGTTACTTTGTCCTGGGGGCCCGTCTGGATCGAGGTTGATAAGAGAGTGTTTTGTGTAGCGTACTGTACTGTATTTCCCCGCTAGCCAGCAATTTCGGCTAAAGCCTCAATCGCAAGTACAGTGAAGTTCAATAATCGATGTCAATGTATAATTATGTGAGCGACAATAGTGACCCTGGTACATCAAGTAATTCCTCCACAGTGTAGGCAAATGTTCATTGGAAGTGTTCTATATGCATATGTTCTCAGGCTGGAAATTCCCAGTCATTGAGTGTGTCAGAGCCTGGAGACTGTCGTCTATCGCTTAACCAGACTTGAATCCTTATCTCGGTGATTCATGGCACCCCACCCCCTTGACAGCCTATAGGAGGTTCTCCAGCACCCACAGAACGGAACAGCAATAAACCCGGAGCGGTAGCGAGAACAGGAGTTCTTGGGTCAAGTTTAGTGCGGGACTCCGATTCCGCTGGCTCGGCAGAAGAGACGCACTCGATGCCTGCCCCTACGTCAGAGCCAGGAGGTGCCAACAAAAAGGGAACAGGGTTAGAAATGCCTCAATCCAAGGCAATCCCATGTCTGCAAGCGAGACTGTCATTTGTGGAAGATACGGTCGAATAGATGAGATCTCCTGATCGAGTACGAGTATCAGATCTCTTGCGCGTGGCCATGAGGTATATTCTCATCCTCGCTCGATAGCGAGGGTTCCCGATGTGGCGTGCATACTAATGAGGGCTCTCGATTGGTGCATCTGGGTAGGATCAGCCCACATCAGATACCCGAGCGGGTGGGTGGGCTGTGTGCCTGGATGACGATGATGGTGAGGGTGTTGGTGATGGTTCTACTGAGTACTCGTACAACACTATGAAACCTACATTCTACGCACGGTGTAGTCTGAAACGACATCCCACCGATGTCCGTTGCCTGACACAACCCATCCTGGAATCCAGGTTGGTGCCAGTGCCGGTGCAAGCGAGCTGGACGAGCATCTGACAGCGGACATCGCCGGTGGTCCGGTGAGACACGTGACCTGGTTTGAGCGGTTTGCAGACCGGATACCCGAAAGGAGACAGAACAGAGTTGGCCGGGCCTCCAGGGGAAAAGCGAAAATGCGACCGCGCCCTCATCAGCCCTGCTTCTCTTCCCTTCCAGATCCTCATATACTGCCCGGTGTTGCGCGATCCTTGACCTGGTCGATTCTTCCTCCTCAGTCTCCCTGAAAAACCATCCAGCAACCAGCAACCAGCAACCAGCAACCATGGCTTCCACCTCAGGTGAGTGAGAGAACGTTTGGTAAACAAAGATGCCAAGAATAGCGTCCATCCTCAACGTGCACCTGCGAAATCGGCGACCGCCCGCCCATTCTGCCTTTTTCACCTCCATTTCCCTTTCTCCCTCCCCAGCTGAGCTTTGTCCTTGTCGTTGCACCTTGTGTCCGCGCTGCTGGTTTTATCCTCCAAGTTAAACCCAAAAATTGTTTGACGAGAGCTGGATCACGGCCGACGTGTATTTTCTCCTGGGTCGTTCCTGGTTACCGTCGGGGCATCAAGTGTGACTCAAACGCTGTTCCCCACCCACCCCAACAATGTCTTCCTCCATACACTGTTTCTCTTCCACCCTCACAAACCTCACCCGGCTTGCTCCTCGATCGCTACCCTCATATTCCACATCAAGCATGTCACAGCGTCTGGGAGCCAGCATGTTGCGTTCTTCTTTTTCCCGCGTCATGCGCCCCTCCTTCCAACCAGCCGCGGCTACCCGATGCCTCTCAACCACCAGGCGACAGGCCTGTGCTAACACGCCTGCTTCCCCCTCAGATCGCTTCATGTCCGCCCTGCACCAGAACAAGAACTGGGCCGCGAAGATTGCCAAGGAGGACCCCCAACTGTTCCCCACGCTCGCCGTAGGTCAGCAGCCCGAGATCCTGTGGATCGGGTGCTCCGACTCGCGATGCCCTGAAACCACCCTGCTGGGCCTTAAGCCCGGCGACGTATTCGTGCACCGCAACATCGCCAACGTGCTGCACGCCAGCGACCTCAGTTCGTCGGCCGTGATCGAATACGCGGTCAAGCACCTGCGCGTCAAGCACGTAGTGGTGTGCGGCCACACCAGCTGCGGTGGCGTCGCAGCCGCGCTGGACAACAAGCAGCTGGGCATCCTGGACCCGTGGCTCATGCCGCTGCGCCAGCTGCGCGAGCAGCACCTGGAACTGCTCAAATCCCTCTCCACCGACGAGGCCAACCTCAAGCTAGTCGAGCTGAACGTACACGAAGGTGTCAAGACGCTGAAGCAGAAGAGCGTCGTGCTGGACGCCATCCAGGAGCGGGGCCTGCGCGTCCACGGCCTGATCTATGATGTCGGCAGCGGCATGCTCCGCGAGCTGGATACCAACGAGCCCGAGGAGGCCATCAAGGCGCGTCTCACTTCGTTCAAGACCGATGTCTAGCGAGGATCGATAGGATGGACGGGGTGTTTATTGTGATGGTGGGGGGTTTCCGGTGTTGGGTTCTTTGTGTGTCTGGGTTCAGAGGAGTGTCGTGTGCGTCGTCGTGTTCATTTCAGCGAAATCCGTCGGATCTTGGAATTTTTGTTGTTGTATTCAATCGCACCTTATTGTCTGCTTCTCGTGAGCGAGACGGGACCTGCCTATATTTGGGTTAATCAAGCCTTCTTCTTGTTCTCCTGTTTAGACGATCATCCTGATGACTCACACTCATCGTAAATTGCACCAGACACGTCTGCGTCCAGCACAGATGGCACACACCATCTTGACCTCAGTGAGCATGACTCGCAGTAGAGTAGTAAGAGTCGAGCATGAATCCAAGTGAACCGGAGATCAAAAATCCAACCTGTATAGCATCGAAAGGAAAGAAGGAAACGAAGCAGCGTGAGAAACGAATTCGAAAATCCTGCAGAAGAAGCCGGAGAATGTGTGATCGGGCACAGCCTGAGACCCTAGGTGAGTGACTGACGGGGGGGATGGATTAGTTCATTAGTTAATAATGCGTGTGTTCCAGGCTGAATCAACTTCTCCGCAGCCTTAATCATCGTGGCCCATGTCCCAATCAGGCAGGCCCGGGCATTCGAGTGGAACTGTGCTGGCTGGATGGGGTTTAGACTCGGCCGAAGCGGCAGTTCTTCGGAGGTGGACTATTTGCAGTGGGTTTAGTATGACGAGGTCTTAGTATTCATACATTCAGGGTAATTTATTGGGGTTCTTCGAGTCTAGATACATTGAGTCATGATTCGAATTTGTATCAACAAGAGATGCTGTCTTGAATGTCTTTACTCTGTGAGATGGCCGGGAGGGTGTGCTCTGCTCGGAATTGCGAGTCATCGGTCGGGTAGTCAATGCAAGCACCCGACCCGCGCAGCCTAAGGCTGAAACAAACCTCAATGTACTGTACCGGTAGAGCAAACAACGTCTGAACTACGGTGTGAGTCTCTACAAAATGCATAAATACCCCCAATCCAATCTATCAAGAACGAGTCAACGTCAAGAGTCTATCTCTGACTCTTTCGGACCTTTAGACCCGCGACGTGACGGGTCATCTTCCTCCAGTTCGACAGGTGCAGCACCAGCACCAGCACCACCCCTCTCCACGGTATGCTTCCCCCCCAAAACACCCCGATAAACCTCCCTCTCCTCCCCCTTCAACCCCAACCCAGAGGGATCCCTACTCCTCAAGAACCGCTCAACCCTCTCATCCAGCCCGCCGCCCCCATTCTCCTTCTGCGCAGCAACCGTCTTCTCGCGCCGCGCATTGAGAAACTGTTCCGATTGCTCCGTAACCTCCCACAAGCGATCCTCATACCCGCCGCTCAACCGACTAATCCACGACGCCTGCAGCGCGCCACCCAGCAGCGTCAGCAGCACCAGAAACACCACGAAAGTTCGGTTGTCGACCATGTGCTGCTGGCGGCCGCGGTGGCGGTTGTGCCAGCGCTCCCAGTCCTCCCAGGTGGCGTTGGCGAAGATGGGGCCGTAGTCGCGGGAGCCGGGGCGCGCCCATGGCGGGATGTTCTCGTCTGTTGCTGGGGGAGTGTGTTCGGTGTGCGGGCGGTGGACGTTCCAGCCTGTTCCGAACTGGTCGTAGGCGGCGCGGCGGGACGGGTCGGAGAGGAGTTCGTGCGCGGCGACGAGGATGTGGTAGCGATGGATGCGCAGCTCTGGGGTTAGGTCCTTGCTGAGCGGGTGGTTATGGCTTGGTCGGTCCGGGTGGTAGATCTTCACGAGCTCGTAGTACCTGGTTTTCGTGTAGGGTGCGCTGCGGTCGAGGTGGAGGAGTTCGTACGGCGTGAAGGTTGGGGTTGTTGGCCATGTTAGGTCGGGGTGATGGTGGTGCTGGTAGTGGTTGTTGGTGCTATTGGTGCTGCTGTTGGCGTAGTAGCGCTGTCGCGGGATGGAAAGGTAGTGTGGTGGCGGCGTTGATGAAGAGCCGTAGCTTGCGTTCAGTAACTGTAGCCCGCCGAACCGGATCGCAACATAATTCCGGAGCATGGCGGCATGGTTTCGTCAGGAGAGGACGATAGAAGTCTTCTCTCCTCTACTGGTCTGCGGGGAATTCGGCGGTGGTGGAGTGATACAAAGCCTCCCCTCTCCGGGACGCTCGGCCATCGATGAAGCAAGCATAGCCCGAGCGGGAGGCCCCCGTCACGTGCAACTAGCTCATCAAGCTCCGATCACTCCAACTCGCGCACCACTCCCTCATCCTCATAAATTACTTCAATCAACCAGCACAAATGCCAGACTCACCAGACCACACCACCCGAAGACGCCACCGCTCCGCATCCGGCTCGCCCGCCCCGCCCCGCGATCGCCGCGAGCGAGCGCGCGATTCGTCGCGCGACAGCAGATCCCGCCGCCACGACAGCCACCGCAGCTCGCGACGAGACAGCTCGCGCCGACGAGAACGCCGACGGTCGTCCCGCAGCCCCACAGACCGACAGCGGAATCGAAGGGACGACGACCACCGGCGCAGAGACCGGGAAAGAAGCCCCAGGGAGGACCGGGACCGACGACGCAGACACCGTGACGAGGACGACGACAACGACTCTTACCGAGAATCCTCGCATCGCCGACGGCATCGCGATCGCGACGACGACCGCAACAAATCCTCTCGCCGACACCGCGATGGCGGCCGCTCACGCTCGCGAAGTCCCGCCCCAGTCCGCTCGGGCAAACCGCTCCCCTCACAACAAGACGCCTACACGTCATCCGATCTCGTGCCGCAAGACGGCAGCGCGCCGGTAGTCGAGAAGGAGAAAGCGAATTTCGGTCTGTCGGGCCGTCTGGCGGCGGAGAGTAACACCGTCAACGTGAACGGCGATGCCGTGGTCCTCAAGTACCACGAGCCGCCTGAGGCGCGGAAGCCGCCGGCCAAGGACGCCTGGCGGCTGTACGTGTTCAAGGGGCAGGAGATGTTGGAGGTGGTGGAGCTGAATGTGCGCAGTTGTTGGCTGGTGGGCCGCGAGCACTTGGTGGTTGACTTCCCGCTGGAACACCCCAGTTGTTCGAAGCAGCACGCCGCGATCCAGTTTCGCTACGTGGAGAAACGGAATGAGTATGGGGATAGGATCGGCCGGGTGAAGCCCTATATTATTGATTTGGAGAGCGCTAATGGCACGACCGTGAATGGCGATGCGATCCCGGCCGGACGTTTCGTCGAGATCAGGGACAAGGATGTGCTGCAGTTTGGCATGAGCTCGAGAGAATACGTCCTTATGCTGCCGAGCCCGGAGTAGGCCTATACCTGGACGATGATTGATCGACTCATTCTCATGAGGCTTCAATTTGAATCATCTGGAAATCCATCTCGGCGCTTTAACACTACTCTGGGTGGATTGGCACAGTCCCCTCACCCGCTCACACCCCTGCAGGCTGCAGCTTGCAGACCAGTTACAGCCAAGAGAGTGTCCAAAAATACTCACATTCTGTCCTCGCCTTGGGACAGGTGTATGATAACAGTCCAATGACCAAAGGCGGTGTATCAAAGCGCATCGAAGCCAACACAATGACACCGACGTACGCACAGGACTAGGGAAGCTACAAGGCCCAAGAAACAGATAGACAATGCCAAGCATGTATGAAATTAGCCAATGTATGCAACGAGATATCAATAACTCAGTAAACCTCCATGCCATGAATCGCCATGCACTAGGAAAATGGAAATCATAGGTATATGAAATTGGGTCACGAAGAACGGAGAGACCGCGGACCGCTCAGAGAAACACCACAATCTCTCCCCGCTCATTCATCTTGAGACGCAAGGTCCGCCACAGTTCCTTTTCGTCATCGATTCTCCGCTCGCGATCCGCGCGACTGCGACCCTGGTCGCGTCCCCGATCGCCATCGAACTCATCGGTGAAGTCCTTGTGGAATCGTTTCAGGACCTTGTTCACCGAGAACCCGCGCTGGCTCTCGGGGCCCTTGGTCACCAAAGACAAGAAGTGGGTCGCCATCTGCCGTTGCAAGCCATCCGGCACCGAACTCTTGGGGTAAATCGCCACCTGGCGGCCGTCCTCGTCGTGGTGGGAATCGGGGTTTTCAATCTGCTTCTGGCGTCGCGAGGGCCGGTCTCCCTCGGTCTGAGCGCTGCTCTTGCGCTTGGACTTCTGGGCGTCGGACGGCGCAGCGGTCTTGATATCGCCGTTTTCGCGGATCTTGTGGGTCTTCTTCGAGCGGCGGGTCTCCAGCTGGCCATTGGCACTGCTCCCAGAAACGGAGGAACCCCCAAGCATTGAGGAGACGAACCGTTCAGCACGATTCTTCATCGAAATTCCCAAGCCGGCGTCGGCATTGTTCTCCTTCGCGTCACGTCGAGAACGCTTGATGGGGGACGAGGTTTCTTGGTAACGCCGGCGAGAGTCACGCCCCTCCTCATCGTCCAGCGACGGGGATCGGAGCATCCGGTTCAAGCCTCCGGTCAGTCCGGAGTGGTTCAGCATCGGGGTGCCTGGGTGGTTGACAACGCTCGACGGGGCATCCAACATCGGGGTGTCCGCCTCAGGGTCGTGATCTTCGGTGCGGCGCTTGCGCTTCTTCTCGCTCGTAGCACCCTCAGCCTTGGAAGAGCGATCCTTCTTCTTCTTGGGTGCAGGGGTCATGAACTCCATTGAGAGATTGGGAGCCTTGTTGTCGTAAGGCGACTGGTTGATAGGACCAGAGCCGTACGAGAAGCCGTTCTCCTCGTACGCGACGTCGTATGCCTTGTTGTCGTCATCTCCATCTGTGTCGACGCGAGCCAGCGACTTAGTCGCCTCGAAGACCGAAGGCGCGTTGGCGACCATCTTCATCTGCTCTTTGTTCTCGTTCAGAGAGACCTTGGAGGCATTAGGAGTGCCTTCCGGGACAAGATAGTCGAAGACGTTGACCGGCTTGTCGGTCTTCCCTTCAGCGCGCGGAGTCTTCTCCACACCGGCTGGCGGAGGGCTGGGAGCCGGTGGCGGGAGGTTATCAGTGTCGGTCCCATCCTCCACGTAGGGCGCACGATGGCCTTGAGGGGTCTGGTTCGCGTTCTTGTTCTGGTGTTGGTTTTGGTTCTGGTTCTGTCTTCCGTTGTTCTGCCCTTTCCGTTGGTTGTTCTTGGCCGGCTTCTCTCTGTACAGGGCACCTTGATATTTCTGCGCCTCGGACATGCAGGACTACGGAATGGAAGTCAGTCTTGGGCAACACAAAATAAAATGCCAGTAGCTAATCCTCGACGAGAACGATGACAAAATATCATGGGAAGTTTCGACGTACCGTGTGCGATCTGTAGCTAGTGCCCTGGAAGTGGACCATGCAGTCGATACAAGTATAGGAAGCGCCGCGACATTGGTTGCGATGAGGGTCGAGCTTCTTCTTGGTGAGAATATCACCACACGCCTATTTTGGTGGTTGTCGCATGTTAGCAAACACGATTGGCCGTGATCGAAAAGGCACTCGCTCGATCAACGAAGTTTTCAGTGTCGCGCGACTCACCTCGCAGGAGAAGGAAACCATTTTCTCGAGTGTTACTGGATTGAACTGCGATCTGATCGGAAAGCCGTTGCGCGAGTTGAGAATGCGACGGTAGAGAAGGAAAAAAAGAAGAGGAAAATCAAAAATCCGTTGGATGGGTCCAGCACAATTAAGCTAGACTTTCGGAGGACCCGCACTGGACCTGACGGGGACTGGATCTGATTTGAAGACTTGAAGAAGGGAAGACTAAGGCCGGTAGACTAACAGAGGCGGCGCGCGATGAACCGCGGGTTGACTGACTGATTGATTGACTGACTGACTGTTGTCCGGGACAACAACAACGCGAAACACGAGGTCGTACTAAGATGACAGAAGATGGAAGAAGCAACGGAGGGGAGTCAAGCAATCGCGTGGGGAGAGAATCTGCAGAGAAACCCTGCGTTTGAGAATTCGAGGGCGTGGCAGCCTTGCGCAATGCTTTCGACCCCTTCCTTCTCTTTTCTTCCCCCGGCGCGTCTCTTGCAGCGGAACGAATTGAAGCCGATTGATTCAAAACAGGACAAGAAATTCCCAGTAACTTTCAACGTGCACTATTCCTCTCGGAGACTAGTCAGTGGCTGCCTTCCGATTCAGGCATCAATCATCCTTTCCCCCCTCAATGTAACAAGAAGAAGATGCAATGTACGGAGTAATGTTGTATAGTATCGACCAGAGACTCAAGTCCACCTTCGACACTCGCTCGAGGAAAACTCTGCATCTCATCAAGGCCTCCATTGCAGCCAGTCCGATGACCTGCCTTGAGTTAAGTAGTGAAGGAAGGACAAGGAGGTGTGGCGCTTGTGCATCGAAACACCAACACGGACTTGTCAGGAGACTGAGTGCTTTGCAGCCAGCCCGACTATTCAACCAGTCGCCGCTCTCCTCCACCCTTCCTCCCAACCTATTAGTGGGTATAGCGCCTGCGCGCGAAGGGCGCGACGCCATCCCCCGGACGATAAAAGATACTTAGCCAGAGAGATACGAAGTGGCCTCTTCTCGAGCGTGCTCTCAACCGCCCTTCTCATAAGATTGGTGTGCGGGGATCGCCGGTCTGGAGCGCATTTAAACTTCCAGCCCGAGGTCAAAGTCTACAGTGCAGCCCGCTAAGAGTCCAGAGACACAGTGCTCTGACTGGACATGGCAGATCGCTATATATAGCGCTCATCCACAAGAAAGTACCAGCAACAGGTGGTATGCGCCGCAAACATTCCGAAGCGGGTTTCAGCCTTGTCTTCTCAAACAGAAGCCATTGGGATCTGCCATCTGGACACTACACTTCTGATTGGAATTTATGCTGCGTACAAGCTCAGGAGAATCCTCTCACATCTAGGGGCGACCTTAAGGTGCATTGTACTTTTGCACGCATGGTCAGCCGTGCCTGTCATGAAGGTTCCATTCCAGTCATGCGCTCGAGTCTGCATACCCTTCACACCACTCATGCAGCTTCCACACCCCTCTACCCGCACCTGCGCACAACCTCGCTGCTATAGTGCGAAGTGTTGATGAACTCACTCAGGGTTTGTTTTCATCCAAAATTTGTCCGTGCACAGCTAGAAGCCATGCGTCTATGCCAGGGCAGCTATGCGCATCAGGAGTCAGACGGCCCGTACCCAGGCTACTTCGGCTACAGGGACCACAATGGCGTCATTGCTTCTGTTGTCCGCGTTGATGTCGGATAATAAACCTGTACTACACTGAATGCCCAAGGCTTTGGGCGGCGAGTGAAACAGCCACCACACGATCGTCACTGCAACGCCAGCCCCTCGACCAGAAGATCTTTGTGTCGGACAGCCCTCACGGGACCATGGTATATGCGAATTTTGGAATAATAAACACTAGAACAGTATATAGAGCAAAAGTTATGGTGCACGAACCGGCTCGATGCACCCAGCGATCCGGCACTGGTGGATTATGTGTAGTAGATGGTAAGTCACAAGGAAATGGAATGGGTCGGTGGTGTCAAGACTGGGGTGCACAGAGTTCATCCTCGAGTGGTCCTAGATGGATCTGGTCAGCAAGGCATCCATGATCATGGAATACGAGCGGAGCACCCACGGTTCCTTGTTAATCTCGACGGGGGGTGGTGTGCCATCGCCCTCGGCCTCCCTCCGGCCACTAGGCAGATCCTTGTTCGTAGTCGCCTCCTGGTCCTCGTCCTCTTCGTCCTTCGCACAACCGCAATCGTAGAAGTCGCCGATGTTGTTGCAGTCGAACTCCGGCTTCTCGAGCATGATGTTCACTTCGTTGTGGATGAAACACCCCCATCCGGCCGCTGCATTGCGTGACGACACCTGTGGGGGGTACTTTTTAAGGTGTCCTTGGAAGTGCGAGGCGCATTCGCCACTAGGAACGATGCAGTCAGTATGCGACGGCATGGGATGCTGGAGATACGAGTGGGTGGTACCAGGGGTAGAGTCGCGCAAAGAGATAGATGAAGGAGCGTAAGGTTTCCTGTTGCTCCTCGGTCGGGTCTTCGGGATACCGAGCCAGCATGGTATGGAAGTATTTCCACGTCGCACGGCCTAGTTCCGCCCTATAGTTTTCCACAAGTGATTAGCATCAACGAGATATGCAGGCTAGTTTCAAGCACGCTGGGAGTCATACTTTGCGGTCGCATTCCCTAGCTTGGGCATGACCACCTCCCCTTTGATCAAATCATCCTTCGAGGCCACGGCCGGCGCGGACTTGTCGAGGTGGCCGGGGGCACGAACGGCGGGACTCGGCGGGCCTTGAGGCTGGATAAAGAAGAGAAAGATTAGGAAGATCGTAATGAATGCGCCGGCAAGGAGTTGCCGGGTGATTTGGCGATGTGCCATCGTGGAGTGGCTGAACTGCGCCCACGATCCACTTGCACGTTGAAAGACGCATGAAATTGGGGAAGACAGATCGCCGCATGATTCTGGGATGATTGACAGCGGTCGGAGCCGGGACAGGGCTGACCGCCTTCACACGGCAGAATCAGGCTATGGGAGCCCCTTAAGACTACTATGATACTCGAGTAGGGTCGAGAAAAAGGCTTAGCTGGATGGTAGTAAGACCCACTCCAATTCGATATTTAGTTCATACAACCACGAACGAGGACGTAATTTTCCCGTACCTAGTAGTAGCTGGACGCCGCAAGTCAGCCAACGCCTTGCGACTATTGCTCGAGTTTGCAGAATCGCCGGCATCATTCGGGACAAACTCTTGTGGCCCGTCACCAGTACACGCTTCCTCTTCCTTGAATTTCTCCTCGGGCTACACCCTCTTCAGATGCCTCACTCCTTGTTTGAAGCGGGAAGCATTGAGTATCTCCGGCATCGTCTTGGGCTTGATGTTCTCAAATAGATTTTCGTCGTCCAATGATCTTCCCAGTAGTACTTCCCCTCCGATGTAATAATATACTCCATCTCTCCGAATAGAAGAAGGGGATTGAAAGAAGCAAACACAAGAGACTAAAAGGTACATTTTCATTTGTTGTCTCGGCGCTTAATGTATCCTGCGATGATTCACTCTTTGCTTCTACCGAGAATTACTGTTGCTGTTGATATCTTCACCCTCTTCCCATTTTCCTGCAATACCACCTCACTCCCTCGTACACATGATTCTCAGAACGCCCCACTGGTGGTTGCACGGGAATACTCGGTAGCCTCAGTTCACTGTCCTAGATTGTGACTGAGTACGTGGACGACCGGTATGAAACCGTTTCCCCAACCTAGCTGTGCTGGTAACCTTGTGCCGAACCGCGAAAACGAGGAATGAGGATTAGTGGGAGACAGACTCAGGAATCCGGGTGATGTCACGCTGGCGGTGAATTGGACTTTGACAGCTGATAGTAGAGAAGTATTGTCGTAGATGGCGCACGAAGAGACACAAACTGCAAGGAGGGCATAACCAGAGACTATGCTGTCAGCATTAGCCTCGGCTGTTGTGCTCTCTGACAGGCAATCAGCCGTCCCTATTGCGGTGACGGAAACAAGTGGCGGATTCTAGAAAGATGTTGATGGGCCATAATGTTGAGACGAATCGGCTACCGAGTCTTAAAGGCCACTCGGATCAGCTCAGTCGAGCCTTGCGTCATGGGACAGCTCTTAGTAGTCCAGCCTCACCGTAAGCCGATCAGGGTGGCATACGCCCCAAGACTCAGGGCTGTGAGTATCACCACCACGTTCCCGCTGGTCCTGAATTTGTGACGATTGATCCCGTCCTCGCCCACCTCGGAAAAGAATTGCCGATTGCCTTGCTGGCGACGGAACAGACCGATGATGAGTACGCCCGTCCCATAGATGGCAAACAGAGCCCCCGTGCTGTAGAATTCGCTGGTGAAGATCTTGAGCACGACCAGAGCGAAGGAGAACTGGGAGAGGGCGGTGCGGACGTAGGCACCTTCGAAGGTTCGTTGTGCAGCTCGAACTTCAACCATCTCGTCGGAGGTGAGTGCCACCGTGCGGGCCCGGTGCATTCGCAACCGGTAGCGATCTGCCGCGCGACGCTGCGGGAGGGGGTCAGTATGAAGTGTGAGACTGGCAAAACGGCCCGTTCAACATGGTAAAAGTATGAAGGGGTAGCGAGAGGCCTAGAAGAGCCATGCCGTTCGACGCACCTCGAACATCTTGCTGCGTCATACAGGTTTCTTATCAGTTTGTCCTATAAAAAGAGGATGAGCGGTGCGACCCCGCAGATGCAGAGTTGACGGCTTCCCAAAGCCACCGACCGAGTCGTCTCTAATGTTATCAGACCGATGTTTTCAGGAAAACTTGGAGAACATCTTCCTTGCTGCTTCTTGAAAATTGAGCGATCGAATGCAGAGAGGGAAAGAGAGAGTCAGCTGGTTGACCGCCCAGTTAGGTCATTTCTTTCTCTGTTTCCGCTCACGTGGACCAGCTGCAGCTGGAATTGGCTTAGTTTCTGGAAGCGATATCGCATCAGTCCATTGGACATGTCCCGCAACACATCGCGTGTTGACGATGTTTCTGCGAGTTCTGGCGAGTCTTGCGATGCCACACAGACTGTATGTAGGTATGCAGGTTACTAAAGCCGCGAGCCCCCACGTAAGATTTGTGGTTTGGAGTTGTGCTGAAAGTTGAAGTAAGGGGAAGTGAATTCCAACGATGCAATCAGCCAGCCAGCCTGGTTTCTCCACCAATGACGTTTCTTCTGTCTCTAATCCGCACTGTCAAAGCCCGTCGGCTATCGACATTCCCCAACTCGGGCGGAATCCACCGCCTCCCCCATCTTTTGAACGCTTATCAGCTCTCTCGGACTTGAAGCCGATCATCAACTTCTCCAGTTCTTTCCTGCTCGGTTACTAAAATGGGGGTCTAGGCATAGCAAGGCCTCACCCAATTTGCTTGGTCCGGCCACTGCATGCCGCCCCAACTCTCACTCCTGGGCTACTCTGCTTTTCTTCACTTTTCGTCTTCTCCTCTTCTCTTATCGCTCCTCCTCTTCCCTTCTCCCCCATTCTGCCCACTCCATTGTCTGTCATTCTCGATCGGTGGCTGAGCTCTGCGATCCGTCAACATGAGCAAAGTATTTGATGCGGCGGAAGGTACGTTGACTCCCTTCCCACTATCATACATTATACACTCAGTCTTGGGTAAACTATGCCGACCGGACTGATGGCTAATTTTCGCTTCAGTCGCAAAGCACAACACACCCGAGAGCTGTTGGGTAATTCTTTATGGTAAAGTCTACGATGTACGGGCGACCTTAAGCGATCTCCGCATGTCTCAACCCCCATACATAATTACTAACTTCACTCTTGCTACAGGTCACCGACTTCTTATCGGAGCACCCTGGCGGTGCTAAGATCATTCTCAAGCTTGCCGGCAAAGATGCCACCGAAGAATACGACCCCATTCATCCTCCAGGCATTCTAGAGGAGAATCTCAAGCCCGAAGCCATCCTCGGGACCGTCAACCCCGACACACTCCCTAAAGTACAAGCAGAGCCCGCGCCAGAAGCAGCAGAAGTGGAGGGTCCGCTACCGATGGAATCTCTTCTGAATATGGACGATTTCGAACAAGTCGCCACCAAAAACATCAGCAAAAAGGCCTGGGCCTACTACTACTCCGCCTCGGACGACAAGGTTACGAAGCATTTCAACACCGAAGTCTACCGGTCGATCATCCTCCGACCGAGGGTATTTGTTGACTGCACCAAGTGCGACCTGGATACCACCGTACTGGGTCACAACCTGGGGATGCCCATCTATGTATCCCCCGCCGCCATGGCTCGCCTGGGCCATCCTGCGGGTGAAGCCGGTATCGCGGAAGCGTGCCGGAGCTTTGGGGCCATGCAGATCATCTCCAACAATGCCTCCATGACGCCGGAGCAGATCGTGCAAGACGCCGCGCCGGACCAGGTCTTCGGATGGCAGCTGTACGTGCAGGTCGATCGCAAGAAGAGCGAGACGATGCTGGCGCGCATCAACAAGCTCAAAGCTATCAAGTTCATCGTTCTCACCCTGGACGCTCCGGTGCCCGGGAAGCGCGAGGATGATGAGCGTGGCAATGCAGTCGGGGCATCGGCACCGGTGGCCAGCGCCGCGATGGCGGCGGATAAGAAGGCCGCGGGGGAGTCGGCCCAGCTGGGCGGCGTGGGCCGGCAGCTGTTCGCCGGCACCGATCCCTCGCTGACGTGGCAGGAGACGCTGCCGTGGTTGGCAAAGCAGACTGATCTGCCCATCATCCTGAAGGGTCTGCAGACGCACGAGGACGCTTACATTGCGTCGCTTCACACCCCCCAGGTGAAGGGTATTATCCTGTCGAACCATGGCGGTCGCGCGCTGGACACAGCGCCTCCGGCGGTCCACACGTTGCTCGAAATCCGGAAATATTGCCCCGAGGTCTTTGACAGGCTGGAGGTCTGGGTGGATGGCGGTATCCGCCGTGGTACGGATGTTGTCAAGGCGCTCTGTCTCGGTGCTAGGGGAGTTGGTGTTGGCCGTCCGGCACTCTGGGGACTCGGTGCCGGTGGTGTTGAGGGTGTGAAGCGTACTCTGCAGGGTAAGTCCCTCACCGTCTTGGCTCAAATTGTTACTAATTTCATCTGTAGTTCTGTCCGATGAGACAAAGACTTGCATGCGCTTACTCGGTGTTGAAAGGGTCGAGGACCTGGGTCCTCAACACGTAAGTTTTCCTTCAGCTTGGTCCACATTCTCCTAGCTTACAATTGCAAAACAGATCAACACCCGTATCGTCGAGCAACAGATCTACGATGGCCCTTCGGGCTTAGATAGTGCACGGAAAGCATTCCGCGCGAAGTTGTAGCCAGATCACTTAATGCAGTACGATTTCTTTCCTATGATTTATCCTTTCATAGCCTCATCATGATGCGCTGGAAGGTTGCTTGATCACAAACCGGTTCAGATGAACATAGGGACCAGGCTGGGTGGCATTCGTGACTTTGTTATGCTACTGTCGATACCTTGAAACATTTCCGTAACAAAGCTTATTGTATTCCAATCTTTACCTTGTCATTAGCCGATCTTTTGGATACTCAAACAATCCATTTATCGACATTTTTCGAGCGTGATGCCTTTGTGCATGACCTGCTCTGCGGCCAAACTCGTTGGGGTGGCGTGACTGGGGTTCCTTTGTCAGGGAAAAGCGAAGTTCCATCGTCGAAGGAAGGAAAGCAACCTATCTTCCTTTTGTCGGTGCCCGTCGTTGAGTCTTTCACTTCTTTCACCTCCCAACGACAATACAAATACATTGTTTTGGGGGACAGATCGTTGACATCATATTTCCTCGAACCCGCAGCTTCCTTTGCCTTGAGGATGCAGCATGGCTGGCTTGCTTTGCCATCGTCGAGGCTTGGGGAGTGTCGTTGGGTTCGCGTGAAGGTGCGACCTCCCTGTTCATTTTTCCCAAGCTAACACCAGTCTCGTTCAGTCAAACTACCATGATTCGAGTGATAGAGCCCCCAAAGTGTTCTACCAGACGGCCTACAAGCAACAATGACGATGTCCTCGAAAACTTCCTTTCGACCGGACGAACGCCTCGTTCAAAGGACGATTGTCATTGTTTTTAGGAGCCTTGTGCTCATTCTTTCGACAAAGCATCTTTATCTCCATTGTTGAATTAACCTCACAAGGTGATTATCGACTCGAAAACGGGAGCCCAACCAGTTTCTGGAGACATTCAGATAAATTGAAGACGATATCCTGAACATGAACAGCAGTCTTCTCATACCTATATAGTAACAGAAAAACGTGTTTGATAGCACCTGGCCAACATAACCGTGCTACACAACACCCTGATACGACAAAATACAATAGCAACAAAACCATGTCAGAAGGAGAGAAAAGATCTAGTAGCCAAGCTGGCCTCACAGAGGACGAACATGGGGACAGCTTGGCCATCCACGTTGACGCTGACGTCAATAATCAAAATGGTAGTGGTGGTGACGACAGCGAAGTCGAGAGACAGCTAGTCTCCGCCTTGGGCGAGGTCAGCGGCAACCGGCAGAAGACCGTCCTCCCGCCTCCCGACGTCGGTGATGCAGGCATCTCCGACGAGGAAGTGCACGGGGCGGACGGCCACGAGTCGTCGGCTCATGAAGGGGACGATGAGAGAGAGACTACGCCGCCGCCGGGAGCTGAAGACGATGACAAGGAGGAGAATTGGCAGCCGACTGCGCAGGAGCAGACGGTGAATGCCGAGAAAAGAAAGGCTTCCGATGCGGAAGGAGAAGATGAAGAAGAAGAGGCAGCAGCAGCACCGCTGCAGGCCCCGAAAAGGAAGATCAAAAGGCGCAAGAAGTACGAGGCGGAGGCGGATCATTCCGCCGCGATTCGAGCCAGATACGAGAAGATGCGGGAGTCACGGACTCCCATTGCTTGCGACCGTTGTAAGAATCTCCGGAAGGAGTGCACAAGTGATATCGATGGCTGTCTCCAATGCAAAGCGGCGGGGAAGGAATGTATGCAAACCGACCCCGTCACTTTGCGAACGGAGAAGCGCGGAGATTCGCTCAGAAAAGATGAGTTGATTCACATACTGCGTGCGGAGAATCGCAAACTGCGCGAGGTCATTAGGCGGTTGGAATACCAGGTCCAGCTTCAAATGCGAGGCCAGATCAATGTAAGTTACTCTGCCGCTTCAATCATTCGCCCACAGTCTAACCCGAACGTGTTTGGTATGAAGCCTCTGGGCACTTACCAGTTTCAGCCACGCTACAGGAATCGCACTCCTAGTCCCCCCGGTAGCTCACCATGGAGCAATGCAACCCCAAGCAGTGCCGAGAAGGGATCGGGTTATCTCAGCAAGACTGGATTTTCTCCCGTGAACAACCGGGCGTTAACTAGGCCCGGGAAGCCGACGAATGCGGAGGATCCGAAAAAGACAGGCAGTCCAAGCGAGCGTCATGCAAATGCTCCCAAGTCCCGGGCTACGGGCAGCGAAGGTTCAGGCGGCTCTGGTGGCAATAGCACAAGGTTCCCACCGGCGGTGCCTGCTGAGGAGCTCGAACAAAGATTGAACCAGGGAGCCCGGGCACGGATCAACAATCAATTCGAGGCGCTCATGGCAAGGGACCCGGACTTCAACCAACGGGCTTACTCTGGGGCGGCGGGCTATGAGAGCCCTGGTCGGCCACGCCTCAATGGACCCGGGTACGCGAGCCCGTTTGTCAATGACTACATGGACTACAGCAGTAACAATCCCTACGCCGTCCCAGCCCGTGCCAGTAGCGGGATCCGCCCCCATTACGACGGTGGTTTCATCAACGAGCAGCCTGCGTACCGGTTTGGCTCCCCCGGTTATACTAACCATCCTCAGAGGCAAGGACCGCCGCCGTACCCCCGCGCGTACAACGATCGCCCCAACCAATTCGAGGACTTCGTTGACCCGCGCCTGCAGTTCGAGGATGACCGGCCACCCAAGGACTACCGCGCAGCTCCCGAGGCGACTAAGGACAGTTACTACGACCTGCCCGACACCGGGGACAGTTTGTTCGAGGAGCCGGACCTGGAATTTGCGTACAACAGCTACTTTCCGGATGAAGCCACTTCCGCTGCCGCTGCTGAGCAGGCCCGCGCAAGCAGAAGTCGTCTGAAGCCTATGCACCGGGCGTCGCCACGGGGTACTCCGCCACGGGGTACTCCCCCCTTCAACAGGCCCAAGAGATCGTAGCTTGTGAATATGATTTGACTCTTGTGATGCATGAGTGCATGTTTGCGTTTTGAATCTGGCTAGATGTGTTGTGGTTGGATTTCTTTTGCCATTTTATATATATATAAGTACGGATCGAGAATTGTTAAAAGGTATTCCGCTGATGGCTAACAGTCTTCCTTTTTCTCTTTAAAATAAAATTCCCCAGTCCATGACTTCTGCAGATCATATATGTCAATTTCTTAGGATTTCTTCGGGTTATTAGACTCATTAAGATTATCTAGAAATCTTAGTAGAATAAATCCATTATAGAATACCTTGTATATGTATATTCATACACATTTCTTACATTAGGGAGGCATTTGGGGAGCTTAAAGAAAAAGAAAAGAAATAATCTTTCGTATTGAACTAATTTAGCTTGAGTTTCAATTAGTCACAATGCTTGAATCGTTAATGCTTTGTCCAAAGAGGATAGAGCCCTACTGGTTATCAGCGTTGTATCAATAACAATTCTCTATACATACTACTAGTGGATCCAGTCTGTCAATTGATCTCGCGAAAACTTCCCCCCAGTGGAGACTTTCTCCAGCAGAAAGTGATTGATTTCATACAAGGACTCTATAGCTACGGAGTACTATGGGTACTAGGTGATCTTCAACACCTGCCCGCATGTAGCGGGCGACGCTTCCTTGTGTATGGGCGAGTAGGATGGTTAGTCACGTGCATCCGCGCGAACCTGCCCCCCACCGCCGCAAAACTTTCCATCCTACGAATACTTGGATCCCTTCAAGAAAGGCTACCAGAAACACACCAGACGCTCGTGCTCTGAACCGACACCTGCAGCCTCAAGGGGGACAATTTATCTCGACCCCAAAAACAGACATCCTACACGTTCTCCGCCTAAACCCAAATCCCCATCCGCTCACCACTCCCCTCCCTCCCCCTCCACCACAGAGCCAACCAACGGGCTCCAACGAGAACTACCATGGCGCAAAAACTGCACCTCACATTAACGACGACGCTCACGCTCCTCGAGCAATTCCAAACGGCCATCACCACCAGCACATCCACCTCCACCTCGACCCCGCCTCCGAGCTTCGCAACGGAGACAACCAGCAGCGCCCCCGAAATCAAACCCAAAGACGCCCTACCGCTCCTCAGCGCCTCAGCACTAACACTCAAATCGCAAATCACGAAACTCTCCCTCGTAACAATCACATCGCCGTTCACAGCCGCAGCAGTACAACCGGTGCTTACGGCACTCAACGAATCCGTGCTCCCGTCGCTGGTGACAGGCGCGCTCCTGATCACAGCGACGGAGCACACGGTCGCGTTCCGCACCGAGGCGCACGCGCTTACGAAGCTCGCGCTCACGGAACTCGCGGCCCTGTTGCACGAGGTGCAGACTATTTCCGAGAAGAAAACTACGGAGCTTGCGCAGGCGGAGAAGGACGCGGTGACGGTGGCGGCGGGGCGGGCGTGGGAGACGTGCGATGCGCTGATCGATCTTGCGGGCAAGGGGGTGGTGGGGTTTGTGATGCGGCGGGTTGAGCAGTGGCGGGATCTTGTGCGCGATGCCGTCGGAGAGATTGAGGAGTGGGATCCTGATGAGGAGGGGGATGAGTTTTTTGATGAGCTTTTGGGTGAGGATCATACTGGACACCAGGATGAGGGGGGGGATAGTGAGGATGAGGATGAGGATGGGGAAGAGTCGGCGGCGCTGCATGCGCAGAAGAAGGACACGCTGCGCGTGCTCAGGCCGATCGCGCAGGTGTATCCCGCTATCGTGACGCATCGGCTCAAGAAGACGGCTGATGCCGTGGCTGAGGTGCGCACGTTGGAGGCGCTGATGGGCTGTCTGCGCGAGATTCCGGAGCTGGTTGATGAGGTTGCGGGTGCGCTTTATGAGGCCAATCCTGAGAAGTCACTGCGCTTCTTGGGGCTTGCGAAGGAGAAGGCTGTTGCTGCTTTGCAGCTGGTTACGTTGCCTTGGCAGGGGGCTGGTGAGGATAAGTTCTCTGCTTGGGCGAAGACGTGGTTGAGGGTTATGAATGAGCTGAGTGCGTCGGTTTTTGGGGGGCAGGATTGAGGTGCCTGGGAAGCTGAAAGGAAGGGGGGGTTCGGGGGTTCTCCCCCGGAAACGCTTATTATACTACATGTATATGTGTGTAAGAGCCAGACGAGGCTGAAGAACATTTCCATGGACTGCATGTCTTCATGATACTTCGTTGCGGACAACCAATTGACGTGATAGTCCCAGAGTTCATTGATTATACATGAAGTGTAAGCTAGAATTACGGCGACACACAGGCGGTTCTAATGATTCGGGGCATGGCCTAGGATAGATGTAACGGATTGGAAGAGATGGCATTGTCTTGGTTTATCTGGATTGTAATAGTACTATTCCGGCAGGTAGAGTAGAAGGCATATCTACCACTGAATATATCTCACATGTACCCGGGCGACTGCAGAATAGCATAGGGCTGTTTGTAACCCATTCTTAGCACTTGATTTGTGCAATACTTCTCGCATTCTACCAATCTCACCTTCGTCACCATCTTTCGATTGCGCGCCCGATCTAAGAGTGTTGTGCGTAGGATATCGCTGCCTACAGTCATGCAAAGCAAGATTATAGAGTCTATGGACCAGTTTCAAACAGCACACGACAGGGGACACGTGCGCAGGCAGTGGTTCCTGCGGCAATCCCCTTGCTCGACCTTGGTTGGTATGTGCCTTGCGGAATGCCGCCCACAAGGACGCTGTCGCAAGACGTCAGAGTGCATGGCTCATTGAGTTGATGGATACGCGTTACGAGACACTTTACCTGAAAGAGATGCATAATCTTGGTCTTCATGGTTTGGCTGGTTGTGGCTTCTATCACGAGGGAGCGTGGAGAGTCGAGACCTGCTTGCTGCCTGGTTGCGCAGGAGTGGCGGCGAGGGCAGGGAGGCTCGGACGGATGATGTGCGCGATGAATTAGATTGAGGACCTTTACGATTGCTGGACTGCGGACGACAAGATAGGAAGTAACAGTCGTCAGCGAGCTGAGCCTGATGGCAGTTTGTCACTGAATAACTACCCCTGATCGGCCGTCCATTGCGGAAGATCAACAAATACATTGAGCCAAGCTTAACTTAGGGTTCTCCATCCCTGGCAGGACACTCACTGCCCTGCACTGCGGTATGCAGGCGCCCGCCCGCGAGATTCCTCCTAAACCTGGACAATCCTGTCTAGACTTAGTCTAGGTATGTAGGAACAATCACATAAATAGAGAGGGCCCATGTTTCTAGCCTCGAGGGCTGGTGTGCGACTCTCCGACGACTTCCCGACTGTGTACGCCCGCCATCCCTGGGCGAGATCCCAATGTTCGACTAGGCCTTTGTGTTTGTGAATTAGGTCTCGAGGGTTTGTATTTTCCGACTCGAGGGAGGTTGCACTCTTTTCTTCCCTGGATCGGTCCTGTCTTTTACCGTAGTTCGTTTGTGTATTTGGTATTCGACCCAAGCGTGCCAGCACAATGGCGCACTCGACATTCGTTTTAGTTTGTTTATCATGGTTGTCGCTTCTGTCCATGGTCTTCGCGAGGCCGCAAGATGGATGGCGCAAAAATGACTCAATGCCTGGGGTGAGAAGCTCAGTCGCTGCGCAACGATTGGCCCCCAATCCGACATTGAGCCTCCCTTCGAAGAGCTATCTCCCTGATCCTACGTGCGTTGTCGAGTTACCTCCTGAGAAAAACCCAGAATGTGTGCTCACAGTCACAGTGGAATTCCCTTCGTTATTCAGAATCGCACCGCGCAGCCTTGGGTGAGCCTCAACGGGCCCGCTGTTCATGAAACCCTCGCGTCGACATCCACCTCACTCTGCTCCAGCAGTAGTAGTAACTCCGGGAGGTACTGGTACGAGGAGATCGAGCACAACGGCGAATCATCGTTCCTTGACTCCGGACACAAAGAATCGTACAAAGTGTTTCGCAATGTGGTGGAAGACTACGGCGCCGACAATACAGGTCGGAAGGACGCGTCCGCTGCCATCCAGGCCGCAATCCAGGGTATGTGTTGTGTGCCCTCTCTCCCCCTGGCGCATCGATGATATGACAGTCACACTGACTCTCTTTGCGTGCACGCAGCCGGTCCATCGAACGGGCCTGATCGTGCATCGCACTCAATGGGCACCACCGGACAACCCGCCATCGTCTACCTACCGGGTGGAACCTACCTCCTTCAGAGCTCCCTGCAGTTCTTCGTTGGCACCGTCCTGATCGGAGACCCGACCAATCCCCCCGTGCTGAAAGCCGCGGCCAACTTTCCAGACGACCACATCATCTACGCCAAGGACCCCAATTTCGGCGGCACCATCAATTTCTACATCGGGATGAAGAACGTTGTGCTCGACTCGACGGCCGTGGGGTATGACAAGAACATCGCGCTGCTCGACTGGACCGTGAGCCAGGCGACTCAGTTGACCAACGTCGGGTTCAACATGCCGACGGGGACCGCAACTCATGTCGGTCTGACGACCCAATATGACTATAACAGCAATCTGATCATGGTATGTCTTGCCTGTTGTTGATGTAGAAACGCAGAGCTGACGGTCTGAAGAACGACCTCTGGTTCAAAGGCGGTGCGGTGGGAATGAAGCTCAATGGACAACAGTGGGTGTTCAAGAACCTCAGTTTCGTGGGGACCACCACCGGCGTGATCGCGGGGGGCACGGACATCACCTTCATGGGATGCCACTTCGAGCAATGCCAGACCGGAATCGACGCGCACGGAACATCGGGATCCTTAACCGTCATCGACACCAGTGCGATCAGCGTCGGCACCTTCATTACCTCGGGCACCTCGAACACCGCCGGCAACTCGATCGTGCTGGAGAACATCAGCAACTACGGTAACACGGTCAAGATCGGCAACACGATTGTGCTGAGTGGAGGCGTGTCGGACACCTGGGTACATGGACACTTGGTAAGCTCCACACCGCGATGCACTCACTGCCGGGTAGTGTTGATTGCTCATGCACGATCTAGTATACGGCGGGATCAAACCAGATGCAAAGCACGAATGGGCAGCTCGTCACCACCGTGCGTGCCTCGCCTCTGCTGTCAGGAAACAAGTACTTCACCAAGGCACCTCCGACGTATCAGGAGTACAGCGCCAGTCAGGTCCTGAACATCAAGAACGTCCCTGACAAGCCGGTGTACGGAGACGGAGACACGGACGACACGCACAACATCAATGCCATTCTTTCGAGCAACAAGGACTGCAAAGTCATCTACTTCCCGGCCGGCACCTACATCGTCACCGACACCATCCTCATCCCCAGCGGCAGCCGGATTATCGGCGACTCGTTCGCGTCGATGATCAGTGCGGTAGGCAGCAACTTTGAGAGCGAAGCCTCTCCTCGGGCGATGATCCAAGTGGGATACCCCGGGGATGTCGGTGTAGCCCAAATCAGCGACCTGGTGTTCACGGTGGCCGACATCCTGCCGGGTTGTCAACTCGTAAGTGTCCACCCCTTTCTTCCCCCTTGCATCCACCGCACCTCAACCCCACATCTAACCCACCTCCGCGTGCGCAACAGGTCGAAGTGAACATCGCCGGCAAGAACGCAGGGGACGTAGGGTTCTGGAACGCGCATTTCCGGATCGGCGGGGCGGTAGGCAGCCAGGTGGAGACGCAGTGCAGCGGGCGGGCGGAGGACTGCAAGGCGGCGTACGGACTGATACACCTGAGCAGCACGTCGTCGGCGTACATCGAGAACATGTGGGGGTGGACGGCGGACCACGACCTGGACGGGGACAACGCGCAGACGATCTCGACGGGCCGCGGGATGCTGGTGGAGGCGACGGCGGCGACCTGGCTGATCGGCACGGGCATGGAGCACAACACGCTGTACCAGTACAACTTCGAGTACGCGCGCAACGTCTTCTCGGCGCTGCAGCAGAGCGAGTCGCCCTACTGGCAGGGCGTCGGGAACACGCTGGCCCCGGCCCCCTGGCACGAGCATCTGATCAGCAGCGACCCGGACTTCTCGGGCTGCGACCCCGACGACGCGATCTGCCGCATGGCCCTCTTCGAGCGCATCCGCGGCTCCTCCGATCTGTTCCTGTACGGCGGCTGCAACTGGGTCTTCTTCAATGATAACGGCGACTGCAAGGCTGGCGATTGTCAGAAGAACGCCATCCAGATCGAGAGCTCCTCGTCCATCTACCTGTATGGCACTAACACCAAGAGTACCACCAACATGGTCCTCGAGGGCAATGTGCCCGTCGCCCGTCAGAGTGAGAATGCCGGCGGTTGGGGTGGCGTGATTGCCGCTTACCTGTATGATTCGTGAGCGCGGAGCAGAGGACGAGGTATATAGCTTTATTTCTTGGGGGTCTGAGACTCGATATCTGTGAATAATTGAGGCTTTCTGTATGACCTTTAATGAGATTTCGCGCTGGTTCTCTGCCGTGTATAGACTGCCGACCACCTGCTGCTTCACTGGCCGAGTTGCTGGGTGGGAAGAAGCCCTACATCTACGTCTCCTCCATTGCAAGTGCTGAGCCAGGAAGTTGTTGACCAAGTAACGCCACCCTCTACTCAGGAATCAAGCTCATATCAACACAAATTCAATACCATATATCATACATCACAGCATTTAATGGCCCTCTAAACTCAAACAGGCTCATACTTGACCTCCTCGGTCCGGTGGCCGCGCACACGCGCCACAGCCGCCTGCAAGAGAGGCTGGATGGTCCTCCAGCCGAGCGAGTAATACAGCAAGCCGAGCAAGGCGATGCCATAACCGAGCACCTGCAACGAGGTGACGGGCGAGCCCCAGATGACAATTGAGCAGACGATCAGCAGGATATTTTTGGGGACGCTGACTAGCGTCATAGTCAGACCGGAGGTCTTCCCGATCTAAACCATCGTTAGCCAGAACCACTGAACCCCTCTCATTCAAGGCAAAATAAAGACATTAGATGAAGAAGCAACATACCAGCACGAAAATCGAAACATTCAACATAAACCCGACCGCCGCATTCGCAACGAGGGTCCCCACGCCCGTTCGCCACACAACCTCCCACTCAAACGCAGGCAACTCACTGCACGCCGCGATCAGAAAATTAGTAGCTGCACACACCGGCGCGGAGTAGTACAGCGTGACGAGCGGGTCCATTTTCTGCGGGTGCGGACTCGGGCCCTGCTGATGGCGGTCCTCCGACAACAGCACCTGAATCATGACGAGACGATTCGCGTCGAACACCAGACTAGCCAGCTGGAAGAGCACGCCCGTCCACACGAACTGCACTTCGCCGGCGACGGCCAGCCCGACGCTGACGGCGATGACCAGGATGTTGACGAACGACTCCAGCGAGGGCCGCGCCACGCCCCACGCCCAGCTCGTCAGCAGCGTGACGATCGGCCCGCCGGCTTTCAGCATCTGGATGAAGCTGACCGGCAGGTACAGGTAGGTCATGTTGCTGGTGACCAGGCTGCCGCTGTAGAGGAGGCCGATCGGCACGATCTGTCGGGCGTAGGTGCTTGCGTTCATGTGCTGGCTGTGGCGGCTGTTCAGCAGGGGCGTCGTGCGCGCGAGGAGCTGCGTTGCGAGCGTGGCGAAGACGAGGTGCCATGTTGTCAGGATTATTGCTTTAGGGGGTGCGTTAGTGGTGTTTATGTCATTGGTGACGAGTGGCACTCACGATAGCCTGTGATATTGGTTAGTTAGTTAGGTAGGGGTGGTGGTTGTATACAGGCAGGCAGGAAGGATCACGTACGGAACTCGGTCGACTCAATCAACCACTTATTAAACAAAATGGTCAAGTTGGACCAGAACACCCACGCTCTAACAGCCACACATCAAGTCAATTTCTGCATCACCTCTATACCAGACAAGAACTGAGCGATGCGCCACTACATACAATACGCCCATCGCGATCGGCCAGACCTGCTTCTCCTTTGAAACAGTGGCGGCGACGGCCTCCAGGTATGCCATCTTGGGCTCGGGGTAATAGGCGACGACGGTCGGGGAGGCGGGAATGGAGGACCCCCAAGGTGCAGATGTAAGACGAGACGGAAAAGTCTCATGTTTTTCGATACTACATGGCCGCGAGGACATATATAACACAGACTGGGTTGCTGGTTCTGGTTGGCGGCGATCCTCCGATGCGGCTGTGTCTTCCCCTGTTTCTTCCTCTTCCTCTTCCTTTTCGTCGTCTTCTTGTTCTACACGCCAAGAACCGGGGCCGGGAACAGAGAGGGCACTGACACTGTCGCGCTTGTCTGGTCGGTGCGCAACGCCAGTCTGGCTGCGGCGATGGTTCTCCCTGCCGTTGTTCATAGAGGAAAACAAATCGAGAATATTATGCGACTGCAACCTGGGCCGCAAACGGTCCGGGCTCGGTTGCATTTATAAAGCCCCAGACGGTAGGGTTTCAAAAAAGAAAAGTGACAAAGACGGCGCGCCGGATTCGGGGGTGTGATTGTGGGGTCCAGAGCCAGGCACCAGCGTATTTTCAGGGCCCAAAGCTTGTTTGCGGTGAGACACGATTTCACTAATCCCTTAAGATATCAGCTAATATGACGCACTCCTTATAGGCTGGTGGTGGTAGGGGACCAGGGGTCCGTCCGCCTCGGATCGCGCGGATGGTCTGCGTTCATCTCCCGCATGATCGATCGACCCTTGCCCTAGTTTCTGTGTGGTAATAGTGGTGACAATGTACTGTACTCAAACAGCAAGAACAATTATTAATTATATTTTGATACAGTAGTAACATCATCACAAAACCCCAGAACTAAAGTCTCATCACCACGAATGCGTACAGTACGTAATGAAGTAACTCGGCCACGCCTCCACGTCGATGGCGCGTTTACACGCCTCGGGATCGAACTCGGGGTTACCGAACGCCGCCAAGCACGCCGGAAGATTACGGTCGTCCTCCCAGCTGTACGGGTAGATCTGCTGCCGGGGCAGGATCACCATCTTATCCTGCACCACCGGTCCGATCTCACTGCTGCTGCTGCTGCTTGTCTGCACTTCAGGTACATCGTCCTCGCGGCCCTCGGGCCCGCAGTACATCTCCCACCCGGGGGCCCAGCGTCGCACCTTCTGGCACACGTGTTTGCGCACCGTGTTCTCCTTGCCCCCGAAATCCTCGTAGTAGCGATGCAGCAGGAAGCTCAACGCCGTGGGGCCCGTCAGACTTTCCACGGACCCGTCGCCGTTGCCCTCGGGGTTCTCGATCACATGGATCACAGGCAGCAGCCAGAACGGATGGCCCGGCGGCGACGCCATCCACCCGTTGGGCACGGCCGCAGGCCCGTCCAGCCCGGCGGCGTGCGCCATGTGGCCCAGGAACGCCCGCTGCGTGATCGTAGAAGAGGCGGACTGCGTCTTGGTCCTGCCTGTCCAGGAGCCTAGGAGGCTGCTGGGCGCCCGGAGCGGTGTGTCGTGGCCGCTGAAGAGCCCGTCCACGGGTCGCAGGGCTTCGGTGTCGACGTCCGCGTACATTCTGTACAAATCCAACCATCAGCGAATTTCTCCAGCCCAAGACTTCCCTAGAGGTAAAAAGGGACTCGGCATCTCTTACCCGCCAAAGAGGAACATGTACAGGTTCCTGACCACATCCGCCCGGAGGATCTCCTTGGGCAGCCGCAGATAGTCCTGCAGGAACCAGGGGAAGTGCGTCTCCACGAGAAGCTGGTTCGTCTCGTCGTCCCAGAGCACGTACTCCCAGTCCGGGTTCTGCGCCCGCATGGTCTGCACCCAGAACTGCGCGTTCTCGCTCATGTTGCTCCCGGCTGGGAACCAGGTCTGGTGGATCAGCTTGGGGATGGAGACGAGGTCCGACGAGCGCCGCCGCGAGATGAGTTCCCGTGCGGACAGCGAGCGAGCGTACGAGGGCGACGTGAAGGGGATCTTGTGGTGGTGCGGAGTGTCGTTGTTGGCATCAATGGTCGTTCCCTGTCGGCTTGAGCCAGGGACGATGGTGTAGATGCAGGCTAGCACCACGGCGAAGGCGAGCGAGAGCTGCAGACGCCGCCGGGTAAACCATTGGCAGCCGGACCCTGAACGGATCATCGCTGCTGCGCTTTTGCTGTCGGGTTTTGTGTGCGCGGTGTTCAGGCGAATGGTGGTCTCCTGGTTTGGCCTGGGTGCTTGCTTTGCTATGGCGGGGATGGGGCACGGGTTGGTTTTGTTAGAGATTGAGTGTAGGTCTGCGATCACGCGAAGCATCGTCTTCGTGCAACCATCTCTCTCTCTTCCGGTGGAAGTCTGTTCATGGTTCGCACTCTGGTGGCATGCGTCGTTTACAGTGACCCGTCCTCTACTGTCTGGGTCAGGGCTCCGCAGTAGGATTCACCCGTCGGCCGGAAACGGCCATATGAAGCGCAACGCATCCCAGCAGTTGATGTGAGCATCGATTAGTCAGGCAGCCCATTTCGGGTGTCATGACCCGATGACTTGAGTCCAGCACGTAAGTCTATATGTAATGCGTGTCTCTGTGTCCCTGGTTAGGTAGTATCAGCTCCATGTAGGGTTAATCGACAGGGCGGGTGTCCCCATGGCTGTGGAATGCACGTGACCACTTACCGGTCGTCTGCTGGTGTGTTCCTCTGCTTGCCAAGCCATCATCCACCAGTCTCGAATCGTTGTCGGCCCTCTATCTCAGCCTCTATCGCTTGATGCCTGAGCGCCTCGGAGTAGCGGACTTTGCGACGCCTTCTGTCGGAGTTTCGCGATCCTGTTCGTGTTAGGCGCGCACTAATGCAGCAGCTGCCAACGACTCCCGTCCGCCAACCCTAAGCTGCCGCCATGGCCCCCAATACTCAATACTCCCAAGAACACCCTCAACCGCCATCAGCCTGGTGGGTGTCGCCATCAGGTCATACTCGCGGTGTAGATGTATAAATTCGAGGCCTGCTCGCGCAGACGACTCGAGAATTCTCAGAAGTCATGATTAAACAACACAGCTTGTCTGTTGAGCCAGGGTGTTTGCTTCCAATGCTCTTGTCACTATCTACTATACATAACTAGTCAACACTACATACATCTGAGGGTCACAGGATATCAGAGTCTTGAGTCTCTTTTCTCTTTATACAAACTCAACATCCATAGTCTCCAACTGCCACAATGTTCGACCTCTCCAAATTCCAAGATCACATCGGCCAACTGGCGGGCCTCAAGACCTACACACACCTATTACTCTCCTTCCCCATCGCAGACCGCCAGTCGCGGCGGGCAGCCATCGAAGCCCTCTACGCCGCCACGGAGGTCTTGATATCTGAGTTACCCTGGCTAGCAGCCGAGGTCGTGCACGAGGGCCAAGCGCCTGGACACTCAGGCACATTCCGGCTGCGATCGTGCCCAGAATACAGCCGACCAGAGAACCTCGTGATCGTGCGCGACGCCTCAGACATCTGCGCGTCGTACGAGGAGATCGTCGCCGCGCGAGGGCCCTGCTCAATGCTGCCGGTCAGCGCGCTGGGCCCGGTAGTGTCGTTCCCAGAGCGGTACGAGGACTCGCGCATCGAGCCAGCGCGGGCATTCATGATGCAGGCGAACTTCATCCGGGGCGGACTGCTACTGGACCTGGCGGGGCAGCACAACTTCATGGACGGCGGCGGGCTCTTCCAGTGCAGTCGCCTGCTCGCCAAGGCGCTGCGCGGCGAGCGGTTCTCACCAGCAGAGCTGAAGCAAGGCAACCGGGACCGCCGCAGACTGATCCCGCTCCTGGGCGCCGACGAGCCACTGCTGGACCACGCCCACCTCCTCCGCCGCCGCTGCCCTCCCTCCGCTCCGCTCAATAAGTCCTCCCGCCCCCCAGCCACATGGCACTTCTTCCAAGTCCCCGCGAGGCAAATGGCGAGTATCAAGCACCGCGCAGCCAGCGAACTGGCCTCCTTCCTGTCCACCTCCCCAGGCCCTCTCCCCAAAGACGCGATCAGATACATCAGCACCAACGACGCCCTCTGCGCCTTCCTCTGGAAACGCCTCTCCACCGCCCGCCGCCGCATCAGCCCCCTGCCCCCGCACCGCCTCACCAAATTCTCCCGCGCCGTCGACGCCCGCCGCGCGATGGCCATCCCAAAGGAGTATATGGGCCAAATGGGCTTCAACGCCTCCACGCGCCTCTCCTACGCCGTCCTCGATGCCCTTTCGCTGGGCCAGACCGCCGCCCTCCTCCGTGCGCAGGTCGCCGGTGCGAACACCGAGTACGCCGTGCGCAGCTGGGCCACCTTCATCGCGCAGGAGCCCGATAAATCGCGGATCATGTTCGGTGGGGAGTTTGATCCCGAGACGGATGTCGGGGTGTCATCGCTTGCGCATGTCGAGTTGTATTCCGAGGGGTTTGGGGGGCTGGGGAGGCCGTCGTTGGTGCGGAGGCCTACTTCGAGGCCGTTTGAGGGGTGCGTGTATTTTTGGTCTAGGACTGAGGGCGGCGATCTGGGCGTTATGGCTTGTTTGAATGAGCGGGATTTGGGGGCTCTTAGGGCTGATGAGGAGTGGGGGGAGAAGGTTGAGTATATTGGGTAGATATATTGGGGTGGGTTTGGGGGAAATGTGGGGTTTGAGATTGGGTGTTTAATTTGGGATTTGGTATTGGGTTACTTTGGTTGGGTTAGCGTGTGATATTTGGTTTGGGCTTGTGCTTGTGCTATTCTTGTGCTGGGTGGTGGTGCGGTGTTTGGTGTTCGGTGCGCTTTGGGATTTCTGCTTGGGTGCTTGGGTTTAGCGGGGGGCTCGGTGTATGTGTTTTTATATCTGGCTGGCGCAGTATGGACTTGTGTCTCGAGTTTGTTACTAACTCAACTATAAATCAACTCTATTACTTTTACTATCAGTTAGAGCTATAGAACAGTTCAGACGAGTTTGATATGCAGAGCATATCTCACCTCCTCTCCGCATCGCTTAAATGAGCTGAAATTCTGTAACAGTGAACACAGCACCGAAGCCAGCCATCAACACAAACCAACCCACACCAACCCATCTACACTCAAGACCCGCGATACGTCGAGTAATTCCACGGCCCCAACAGCACAGGCACATGGTAATGCCGCCACCCCTCCTGGCCCTCCCTCCCGCGTCCCTTAACCGTGAACTTGACCTCCACCTCAGGCCAGAAGCTCTCGACGTTCTGCGCCTCGTACCACGGGCCCACCTCGAACCGCAGCGCCCAGTTCGTCTTGCTCTCCGGCGTGGGGAGCGCGGCCAATATCCCGGGGACGGATTGTGCCTGCGAGGCGGTTACCGGGGTCCACGTCGCGACGCGGCCGTCGGCGTTGGTGGTTGCGTGGAAAGTGGTGGTGGTCGGTTGTTCTGCGCTGGTGGAACTGGGCAGGAGGGTCAATGTCACTGGGAGGTTGGCGGCGGGCGTGCCTGTCAGGGTGTTGAGGACATGGCAGGTGATCGGGTCGCGAGACATTGTTTTTATTGTTGCTGGTGCGCTCGTGGAGCTGGGGGGTGAGGGCTGTTCTTGTTCTTGGGTTGAGTGGGACAGTTGGTTTCGGTAGAGGTTGAGACGGCTTGTGGTTTTGTCGCGTGGGGTTGGGCCTGGTGATGGCTTTTGGGTGCTGTCCATGGACTCTCTTGGAAGACTGGATGTTGGAGAATGGTTCAATGGTAGGATGATGTAGAAAGAACAGGAGTTGGGCTTGGGCGTTCTTGACGCGAGGGGGACTTTAAGTCTTATCTAGCGATCGGAGAGCACCGATAACCGCCGGCGGATCCCACCAGCTGAATGTCGGTCACGGGCGGGGGAGCTTGTTCCCCGATCCAGTAAGCGGCCTTGGCGTCCCCCACATTCCACGGTCGCGTCCTCAGGCATCTTATTTCTTTTTGTCAATCAAACCACTGGTTCTATAAGACGTTCCGGGGGTTCTCCCCCGGGCCCCCCTTCTTTTTCGGCTTCCTGGCAACCGCAATAACATTGGTACTACTGGTCATAGACTGAGGATACCAGGAAGCTGAAAGAGAAGGGGGGTCCGGGGGTTCTCCCCCGGAATGCTTACTCTACTAGTAATAGGATTGCAGTGTATATCTCTGCTATAGTATCGAGGATACCAGGAAGCTGAAAGAAAAGGGGGGTCCGGGGGTCCTCCCCCGGGACGCTTACAGCTCAATCCGAGGCAGGTTGATGCAATATATACACTCCAGATTGATCACTGATGAGCGATAACCCTCTCCAAAAAGTCGAATCCCCGCCTCTGCAATTCCCACGTCGGAGATCCCACCTTCATGCTCATCGCAAACGTGTGGTCCTCCCCAGGCACCTCGATCATCTCACAGACCAACCCCTGCTCCTGCAGCACGCGAAACAATTCCCGACTCACATCGATCAGGACCTTTGTATCTGCGCCGCCATGCACGATACAAGTTGGCGGGAACTGCGCGTCGACGTGATGGACCGGGTCGATCTCGCTCGTGTTCCGACCGGGATAGCACGCCTGGATGACCGTCCCGTTGGCGACCTGCGTGAGCGCGAAGCCGTCGCGCGGGCGGCTGAAGTCCGGGCCTGGGACGACACCTACCTCCGTCTGGCCCTCCAGGGAGATCGAGCTATTAGTCGGGATGGGCTTCTCCTCGTAGATCTTGTTGAGGAATGCTGGGTCGAGAGGCGGCAGCTTGCTGGCGACCTCGGGAAGTGGCTGGGTCCAGAACGGGTGGGTGAAGTATGCTGGGGCGTAGAAGTCGAGGATCGCGGCGACTCTGCGGGGGACGTCCCAGCCCTTTATAAACAGTTTCAGCTTTGAGCTCATAAATGCGCGAGACGGGGTGGTGAAGGGTAAGTGGGAGGTGAGGCTTACCAATGACAAGGCCAACGTGCCGCCGGACGAGGTTCCGAAGGCCATGACCCGGTCCATGTCAACCCGGTACTGCTGGCCGGCGGAATCCCCGGCAAGAAACGCGTCCAAATGGCCGTCGTAGATCCAGGCCAGGAGGTCCCGGCAGTCGGCCATCGGGCCCTCCAGGATGTTCACCTGCGGGCAGAGCCGATGGTTGGGGCTGACCACAATCCATCCGCGGGCCAGACAGTCGTCCACCTGCGGCATGCAGACCATCTTAGAGTGGCCCAGCATGAAGGAGCCGCCATGAATATCGATTACTGTGGTTGGCAATTAGAATTTCTCGATGTAACTGGTAGACTGATGGGTTTATCTGAACATTCACTCACAAACAGGGTATCCCTTTGCTTGTCCATTGCTGGCTTCGGCTGGTGGTGGGAGGTAGATATCGGTATCGATCTTACTACCATCGATCTCTTTATATTGCACGGTGAGCGGCGATGGGGGCATATTGCCTAGTGTCTCTGTGCAATACTTGTACAAAGAGTTCTATCGCTTGGGATAAGGCTGATTGAGTGAAGGTCACTGCGAGCCAAATCACGTCTGTATTTTACAGCACAGGGATGTCAGTGAGAGACTAGCGGATAGGAGGTGATGCGGATTGTAGATTGAAACTCAGGCGATCGCAAGTTGACTCCGAACTGTAAGATAATATAGGCCGTTGGCGGGTTCGGATAATCCGGATTACGAGGGAGGAAAATCCGGTTAAGGGGATCCGGACCCAGAATCGCCTTTGCCGAGGATGTCACTTCCTACTTTCTGCTACCAATCACCGCGTCAGATGACTTAAGGGCAAGGTATAAGGGCGAGGAAAAATCCCCAGCTTATAGTAGATTTAGGCTGTAGGTCTGGATCAAGCCATAGCTTGCTTGGCCGAGAACTAAGGTTTCAGTAGAAGGTCTCACTGCCTCGCTCTTGGTGGGAGATGCTTAACTTAAGGGGAGGTGCTTAGTGAGAGTCCTTGCTGCCTCACTTGCTCGCTTACTCGCTTGCTTGCTTAGTTACTCGGCAAGAGGTGTTTGGTTAAAGATACTTGGTAATAGGCCTTGCTACCTTACTCACTTACTTGCTTAGTTGCTTAGTGCGAGGCGCTTGGTGAAGGGCCTTACTTCCTCGCTCGCTCACTTACTCGTATACCTACTCGCTTGTTTGGTTGCTGGGTGGAAGGTACTTGGTGAGAGGCCTCGCTGCCTTGCTTAGTTAGTTGGTTGGTAAGAGGTGCTTACAAAGATAATTATGAAGGTATGCTTCTAATTCGCGTGTTGCACGCCTGTGTAGCATTCGGTCCTTCTCTGAAGGAGTCAAGCGAGAATAAACAGGACCTAGTATTTAGGACATGGAGAACTATGTACATACACTGGCAACGCAGGCGGGCGAGTGAGTCACCTGATCCAGAAACCACCATTGATGACGCGCCTGAGAGGCGTAAACGTCCTGGAATAGAGCTATCAACATGGGCAACTTAGGGCGGCGAGCGATCTACCCAACTTAGAAGCAGGGAACGCAGGGGCTCTGTCGATATACAGATCGCAACCGTCCGCAGCGAACTGCACTCGGCTCTTCTCTCTTCCCTTCCACTGAAGACAAGGGGATCTGCGCTTTCGAGGTTTTTTTCTGTACTTCTCCACACGGAGAGAATACTCTGAAATCTCAGCATCCGATGACACTGGCATCTTTGCACAGCAGGATTTCACCGGTCGCGTCTTCCGTCCATTGCTTGCTGCTTTGGTCATCCTTGCGGAACATCTGAAACGAGGCTCGATGTCATTATTCGTTCATGTCAGTGTCTCGGAATAATGATCCGCAGAATGATGACATTAAACTGCTTATTTCTTCTGACCTCGCTTCTCTTTTTTCCCTTCTCACCCCACTTCCATGTTGTGAGCCAAGATCCCGGTTTGGAGATCTTAAAGCCATGTTTCGATGATCAAATGTACGCAATACATTTTGAGAAACGTCGTGATCCTATGTGAGAAAGGCAAGAAGTCAGCCGGAGCTAAGCATCATCAGACCCTGTTGATCATCGTCGACCTAGGTATCAGACACGGGAGCGGAATTACTTACCTCCACAACGAAATGTGTCACCATACTATGAGAAGTGCTGTACTTCTGTTCAAGACAAGCAGAACTCAGCCGGAGATGAGCATCATCGGACCCTGTTGATCATAACCGACCTAGGCCTCAGAAACGGAAGTTGAATCACTTGCCTCAATGATGAACTGTGTACAAAACACTCTGAGACGTGTCATAGTCCTGCTCAAAAGATGTCAGCCGGAGCTGAGCATCATCGCGAGTCTTCTCAGCATTGGTCCTAGCCACAGATCGTAACAAGAAATCACATGCTTCGATGATGAACAGCATGCAATATACTGAGAAGCACTGTGAACCTGTCCCAAGCAAGAAGCCAGCAGGAGCTGAGCATCATCGGACCCTGCTGATCATCATCGACCTAGGTCCCAGACACGGACGTTGAATAAATTGCCTCAAAGCTCAACCGTATACAGTACACCGAGGAAATCTGCGAGCCTATCCAAGCAAAAATCGACCGGAGCTGAGCGTTAGCCCCAAACTGTTGACACAGATATGTGTGTCCAAAGAAAGCAAGTCAAATGACTAGCCTAGTCGACACCAGCCGTTATCGAACTGCTTGGGTCATGTGAGTTAACAAGACAAGAGAATTGCGACAAGGACATAACGAGGAGTGTCGATTGGGAGAAATAGGGCCCGACAACAAGAAGAGCAACTACACCGTCTAGTCCGTCAAATTCGAGAGAGCTGCTACGAAATAGACACAGCATGAATGTCATCCGCTCTTACTCCAATATATCTTCGTATGTCTATACACTAGGCTTGAATAGCTTGGCGGTAACCGAACAGGATGTGCAGTTTCCTGCTGCAGACCTCTGACTCTCTTTAATACGTGGCTTATAGCATCAGCACAATCATGTAATAGTGTGGAGAAATGCGGTCAGAGCCGTGGGGTGCGATTTGGTGGTTTGCTTGTTTGCTGTTTCTGAGACTACCATGCATCACGCCTAGTTCCTCCACTATCGGTGATTTTATGTTTGTGGTTAGAGCTTGTACTAGTCGTGCTTGGAGCATTTGTCCACAGTGTGATTGAACGATGGATCTCCATGATTTGACGGGAAGATTATATATTTTGTTTTTACCAGGCTTTTTTATAGCTAAACGGAATATTACTAGCCAGCTATTCAGAGTACTTTAGTACCGGCTAGCTAATCAATACAGTTCAGATGTCCTCTGTGGAACATGATTTAGTATAGGGCTCCGCGCTTACACGCGTCGCGATCATCTCTTCCCCTTCTCCAAAGCGCCATTCGTAGTGCCCACAAAGAGTTCTTCCTGATGTGTTGTATGTCAACTTTTTTTGTGAGTCTACAAATCTATCATATAGCCGGGGAAGGATCGGCCCATGAAGATATGCTTTACCAAGGATTTATCAGTGGCATTATCTCGGGCAGTATCGATGTTACATTTTATCCAAATATTCGGGAAATGAATTGAACTCGCTAATTTCTGTTTCTGGGCACCTACTTGTGAAGGAATTCATTAACTACTTGGGTAAAAGCAGGGGCGTTCTCGACCATGGGCAAATGTCCAGCTTTGGGAATAAGCTTGAGCTCAGCATCACCCTTCAGGTCGGCTGCCATCTGCTGCATGGTCTTAGGAAGGACACCATCGCCCTCGCCAGCGACAAAGAGACCCGGAACTTGCGCCTGCGCCATCTGTTCCCGGACATCATATGCGCACAGAGCCTGTACGCTCTTGCGGAAGCCTTCGAGGCTGTTGGTGCGCACCAGCTCCTTCACCTGGGCGGGGAGATGAGGCTGGGTCTCGTAGGACTCGGGCACGAACCACCGACGAACGGTGACCTCGGCAAGCTCCTCACCGACAATCGTCTGCTGAGTGGTAGCAGAGACGGCACCCTCACGCTCGGCCATTGCCACGCGATCGTTCCATGCCTTGCGGTTGGACTCTGGGCTGGAGCTGTTGGTGTCGCAGGCGATGAACCGCGTCACGCGGGTAGGATAGCGTAGCGCGGTGTTGAGCACTGTTACACCTCCCATGCTGACACCGATCAGGGTGGCTTGGGGAATGCGCAAGGCGTCTAGCAGGGCAATGATATCCGAGGCGAGGACGTTAATATTGATCGGCTGCTCGCCGCACGCCTGCAGACGACCACGGGTGGAGTAACGCAAGATACGGAAGCCCTGATTGCGGGGATCCGCGAGGAAGGCGTTGACGAAATCATCCCAGATAGCGTAATCAACCAGAATGGAGTTACTTAGGACGATGACTGGGCTGTGAGGGTCAGTGCTGCCTTCCAATCGGTAGGGGAGATCGACACCGTCGGGGGTGGTAACAAATGACTCGACAGCGGGGCGCGTGGGAGAGGGGAAAGTACGGGTGCGGCCGTCGTTCGATGACCACGGTCCAGCAACGTCCTTGGAGGCAAGGGAAGACAGCTCGCGGGGAGCAGGACCGAAGGTATAAGCCCACTCGAAGACTCGACGGCGATGGCCGGTGATCGTGTCGTTCACAATGCGAGTGCGCCAAGGGGTATCCATAGCAGCCTTGTGCTCCGGACCACCCAGGCCGTTGGCGGCCTTGTATTCGTGGAGGGTCAAGTATTCGCGAGGGGCATTGGGGTCGATGGCAGCTGTCACGAAGCGGCGGGAGCAGCGCCAGCCGGGAACCCGCGAGAGCATAGGGATGTGTTCTTCGGTGTACCAACGGTTGTAGTCTTCTTCTTTGGCAGCGTCGGCGACGAGAGTGGTGGAGACAGCGACAAGCACCGAGCCGGCCGCAGTGGTATCAGGCTGGTCCTCGAGCGGAGTGTAATCGGCGGCTTTTTGTTCACCCAGGAAGTCGTAGAGGCGGCGATCGACGGCAATTTGGGCCATAGTCGCCTTCTCCCTCGGAGTCTTGATACCGTCTCCCCGGAGAGCCAGATAGGTCTCGCGCGTCAACTCATCCATGTCCGTAATGTCATACCAAGCCACCCACTCCGGCTCCTCGCCATCAACAGCACGGTAGCGAAAGCCGTTGGTGACGAAAGGCAAGCGCAGGCGCAAGGGCCCATGTTCCGTATTGTACCAATCGTGGAATTGGGCGGCGGGGAGGGAAGGACGCGGGTGCATCGTCACGTAGAGCAAGCCGGGAGTCGCCATCTTGAAGGAGTTGGGGATGCGACACGGGTCGATGTCAATGTCAATGCAGCAATTGAGTCGAGGAGAAGGAAGACACGGGGTAGAAGACCCTGCAAGAACCAAATCAAGGAGGGGTATATCGAAATGAAATGGAGGGGTGCCCCGCGGACATCATTTTATTGTGACTTTGCCGCCCTCCGACTCGACTGCCGAAGACACAGCCGATGAGCGACGGGGTAAAGCCATTTACCGGAGCTTCGATCTTTCCCCGGAGGAAAATCGCCAATAGTCCTGCCGAGTCTGCACGTGATGAGAACTGCACGGACTGCACCTGTTTGTACTGTTTGCTAGAAGTCACGGGTGTGTCTTCCACCCCACGATTCTTCCCCCACATATTCTAATATTGTAGATAGTTCTGGGTCTATGCGGGTCTGGCTCAACACGGCAGAAATGAGGCCAGCGTTTTGTGGCCATGTCCTTCAGCAGAGCTGTCCCCAAAAATGCCTCGCCCCGATCTGGCTTGTACCTGCATTGCGGTAAATCGATCGAGGGATGAAGACATTTCTGTTCTCGGCTCCATCCCTTCGTCTCAGCCGAAAACGGCAATCCTCAACCGCGCCCCTGGAGGGCTGAAGTAACATCAGAGTGCAACCAGGGAGAATGTTTCCCTGGATAAGGCCTTTGGATCCTGTCCCGGCGAGGGCATCTTCAAGCCTGCATGCTTTCGTCCAAGTCACGCCTTTGCAGGGTCCCGCGGTCGTATCGACCTGGTGCTGGCGTCATGCTCCCCGCAAAGAAGACTCTACATGTGGGTACAATGGCCTGCTGGATTTATTCTGTCGCATTGAAAACCTTTAGTCGTCAGTGTCAGCTCGTAGGTCTTTCAGTGATGTCCTGAACCCCAGCAGCTTCAGTTACGCAGCAATCCGCGTCTCGTCCTTCCAAAATGGCCACCACAGCACCCAAATCAGATGAGCGGAAGGATGAGGGAAAGAATCAGCAGGGGAGCTTGGTCCATGAGCTTTCCTCCTCCTCTACCACTGCTTCATCACCCGACCACACGCAGTCGGAGGTCGTCTACACGGTTGACGAGGAGAAGAGGGAGGATGAGGCTTCAGAGGGTCAATCGGGGTCAAACTTTCGTCTCCTAGTATGGATGACAATCAACGTTGTGTCTACAGTGGCCATTGTAAGTCGTGTACATGTTCCTTGCTGAAGCAAAAGGGGGCTCACCCTCATATCACAGGTCTTTACCAATAAGTCGGTCCTCTCGCATGCTATGCTGCGGAATTCCCAGGTGTCATTCGCTGCCTATCACTTCACTATCACTGGCCTGACCCTCTGGGTCGCTTCTCGAACCTGGTGTGGATGGTTCGAGCCTAAACATGTCTCTCCATATCGCATTATCCACCTTGTTGCCGCTATGTGTATTCAGGTGATTTTTCAGAATCTCGCACTCGCACACTCCTCAGTGATCTTTCACCAGCTGGCGCGACTGCTTCTTACACCTGCAACTGCATTGCTCAACTACATTCTATACCAATCCAGCATCCCTCGTGCAGCGCTCCTCCCGCTTATCGTGCTCTGCACTGGCGTAGGGGTTGTCTCCTACTATGACTCCTTACCGACCTCACATAGCACTGAATCAACCTCAACCCAGGGCGTCTTCTTTGCTTTCTCTGGAGTGTGTGCTAGTGCACTATACACCGTGCTGGTAGGTCGATACCACACAAAGCTGCAGATGAGCAGCATGCAGCTTCTCCTCAACCAGGCTCCTGTCAGCGCAGCCGTTTTGCTCTGCGTCGCCCCTTGGATGGAGACTTTCCCTACGATCTCATCTGTGCCGGAGTCCTTATGGATATCTATTTTGGCGGTGAGTCTCTCTTCTCGCAGGGGTCTCTTGAGCATATCAGCTAATCGATGGACTTGCAGAGCGGGATCATGGCATGTCTGGTCAATCTTTCCCAGTTCTATATCATTGATGCAGCAGGACCGGTGACCAGTACCGTCATCGGGCAGTTGAAGACCTGCATTATTGTAGGTCTAGGATGGGTACTATCCGATCACGTCGTTTCGCATCAAAGCGTGGCAGGCATATTGATGGCCTTGACGGGAATGAGCTTGTAAGTTCACCTCCACCTCCTCTGTCAGTTGGCGATTCAGAACTCATGCCCTCATTAGATATATGAAGATCATCATAAAGCATCAGAAGTGATATCTGCTGGCTATAGTTATAGTGCATGTGGATTGGTGAGCGGAGGTCCTGTATACTAGTAAAATTATTCCCAGCGGCGTATATGATTGAATTATATTAAACAGTTGTGTTTTTTCCCCAAGGCCCGCTTTCGCCTCAGAACATACTGTTAGTGTCATAGTCTACGCTATGATTATCAAGCTGAGCCATGAATATTTCAAGTCAACTGTAACCAGCCGGACACAAACTCCCAAGGAGAGATTTGGGTGAGCTGGAATTGGTGAACGAGTGGCGGAGTAAATAATGAGGTTGAAGAACAGACCTCGGCCGGACCCCACGTGCCCGAGATTCCCGCCAATGTTTGTCTCAATTGCCTGACGCCTTCCCTTCCGCGCCTCCGCGTTTCACTCCTTCAACACCCGTGTTGTTCGCGTTCGTGGCACCAAAATGACTGCACTCTGAAACCACCACCACCAACCCCCTCATTGGATATTGAATCGCGTCAGTCTCGCGTCTCTCGGTTGCTTGTATTGTAACCGCGCGATATGACTGGCCAAATTCGAAAGCCAGGCAACTTTGCATGATGATGTCACCTAAAATTGCACTACAAGACTCCGATGACGATTTGAGTCTAATTGAAGAAGCTCAGCACCTGCTGGCGCAGTTCATGGGCCCTACGAACCATATCAAATGCAAAACGAGACAGTCTCCGCCCCGGAACGAGACCCCAATCGTCGAAGATAATTCAACCATCGAAAGCACTCGTTCCATGATCCTCCCGCGTACTCCAGAATCTTTGAGACCAAGATCGTCGCAAGACAAGCTTCCTATCGCACGGAATACACATATTTCAGACACGGTCAAAACGGCGCGGACACGACGGTCGGGTCGCCCACGGAGAGGCCCTGGTAATTACTATGACAAGTCACAATACGAAGGCTTTGGGTCGGAGGGTGAAGTGAGCGAAAGTGGAAGCTATGAAGGAACGGGTTTAAGGTCTCTTCGACGGAGACGAAATCGCAGCGATAGCATCGCCCCGAAGTCTGCTCGACGCAGCAGGGCCCGCAGTCAAGCTTCATCGCCATGTGTCAACAACGAGTCGGACATCGTAAGACCGTCTATGGCTACACCGAAGTCCGCATGTTCAGCAACGTTACCGTCGCGCGGCAAACAGCCATGTGCACGCAGGCATTCATCAGAGACATTGACGGCACTTTTACAACAACGTCAGCTGGGGATTCCAACTACACAACGGATCCGCTCGAAGGCCTCAAACAACCTGGAATTATGCAGAACCTGGAGAGGTGCTTCAGGGGATGTGATTGTTCTGGGCTGGTCGCCCGATGGTACTAGGTTTGCAGCCGGCGCAGCCGCCCAGTGTGATCACCACAACATGGCATACAACCGCAATAATAATTTGCTGGTTGGAGATTTAACCAAGAATTCTCTAGAGGAGCTGCCATATCACTGGGTACGTCGACCTCCGACCAGAGCTGCAGCTAATCCAAATCTACACGACGCTCGTCTGTTTATGAGTGTGACGGCTGTTGAGTGGTGGGATGACGCTCTATTCACTGCGAGCTACGATAACACTGTCAAGCTATGGCAACCGACAAGCAGGAGTGCGGAAAATCACAAACGCCTGTGGCATGATTCCAGGGTAGAAGTGATGGCTCGCTCAAGCTATACACCAAATTTACTAGCCACAGGGACTCGTTCCATTGGCCTCTGGCGACTAGAAGAAATGGACTATCAGCCTCTTGAAGCCCGCGAACGTCGATCGAATAAGGCTATAGAGATGGTACCGTCCTCTTTGGCATGGGGTAACACTCAAGCAACGGGGAATATTCTCCTGGCCGGCATGTCAGAAAAAGGCCACGAGAGTCTCACACCAGATGGTCAGTTAGCAGGTTGGCATGTAGGCGAAGCTTCAATAACGCCTCTCAGCCTCTCGCCCAGCTCACAGAACGTGTATGACATCAAGTGGCATCCCTCATTACCGTATGCTGCAGTAGCAAACTATATAGGCCACTCGATAAGCAAAGCCTACAAGGAAAGCAGATCATCTGTTCGCCTTTATCAGCCGCTGTCATCAAAGGTGACATACATGGAATTTGAGTGTCCTGCCTTGGACATCAACGATGTGACATTTTGTCCCATGAATACCAACTACGTCACTGCCAGTTGCACCGACGGCGCAACATATGTCTGGGACTTTCGCAATCCGGCAAGAATTCTCCACGAGCTCCGACATGGCGAACCGCTGAATCCATGGGATGAGAATCTTGGCCGGGAACAAGCAGATGTTGGAGTGAGGGCAGCCCTATGGGGCAGTACGATTGGCGAGTTCTACAGCGGGGGTTCGGACGGTGTTCTGAAGAGGTGGAATATTCTTCGAGCCCCAGAAGATGCTCTGGACCAAGACGTCGCGAATTTCAATGAGGAAATCATGAGTCTATCTTTCTCACCAGACAAGTCCAATCTCCTAGTAGGGGATGCTGCTGGCGGGGTTCACATTTTATCCTCTGGGCCCTTCTCGCGCACAGAGCAGTGTTCAATCGACTACAAACCTGCATCTCCGCCACCAGAGAGCATGCCCTTCGAGGACACTGAATCAGGAATCGCAGCCGGTGCCGAGCTACTGCGGTCTGGCCAGCTTGAACGGCACCCACTTTTCGGGGTCGGACAAGGCCCGTACTACGACGGTCCATTCGCAGCATGGGCCCGCCCAGAAGGCACTCCGCTGGACGAGATCGCATACACGATGCTGGCGGACGAATGCCAGGCCCGCCAGATCGATGGACTGGATCCTAAATACCGACTCGGGTTGACCGAGGAAGAAAAACAGCAGGTTGCTGCTCAGAGGAGGCTAGCACAGATCCGGAACCAGCGGGCTGGTTACAAGAAGAGGATCCGTGAAGACACCACGAGCGTAATAAATCTGTGCAGCGACGATGACGTCAAGCCCCCCACATCCCCCGACAACTCCAAGCGGCGATTAGCGAAGCCCAAAATAACAGTTTCGGAGATCGAAGTGATCGATCTGACTGGAGATCCGGTGCAGCTTCCCGATCGTCCAGTCTCGGCTAGGCCGATGCCCACTCGCCTGTGGAGTCTTGTGGATGAAGATCTGGCAGAAACGCTGGAGGAAGATCATTGGTGGCCACCTAATGAAACTGTTGATGCGAACATTCAGGACATGGACTGTATATGATATTGATGCTAGGGGTGGGTGTCATACGGCTGGCTGGCTGGCCATATCCTGCGTACGGGACCATATCATGTCAAGTAGCATCATTTACGACGTGAAGCTGTATTTAATAAGGATCATCGCGAAAGCACAGCGGCTTTCAGTACCTATGCTTTAGTATGCCTCAGAAGAGACAATAGCATCCGCACAAGAAACGCCCACTGGAGCAAACGATCAGCCATCGCGTTACATAGCATACCTAGCCCCTGGTAGGTCCCAGCTTCCATGTTGCGGGTTGCGGATTGCAAGCAAAGCCAGGCAGGAAGAGAAAGACCGCGTCAAACAGCACCCATGGCCATCGTATACTCCGTAAACACAAAGTAGACATTTTCCTGCGGCTGCAAAAACCGATCAATATAATCCTTCCGCCACTCATCCTCATACCAGATAGTTTAGGCCGCTTTGCAATACTCCCAGTAATCCGGATACCAACCCGACTGCTGCCAGTCCACGATGACCACGCGAACCGGACTGGTGGAAGGGACCATGATATTGCGCCGGTTCAGGTCCGCATGAGTCAGCTTGATCTCCCCAGTATCCGGGATAAACATCGGTTAGGGTCGTCGTATCTGTGCTCAAAACGTAGTTGATGTAAAGCAGCAAACCAGTCATTGAAGGCGCTTACGCTCAAGAACGGGCCTGTTTTCGGCTGGTCGATGAACACGTAGTCCAATAGATGCTCTCGGTTTATGGATCCTGAACAGGCGTAAGTCATTGATTCTCGTCCTTCCCCCTGACGTCTTCAACCATACCAATAAACCGCTCCGAGGGGTCCTGCGCGAGGGTGCGTAACTTCCCCATGATACCGCAGAGCTGGTCATTGATGGTCCTTCTTTGTAGAGCATCAAGAGAGTCCCAGCACTCCTCGAGGGTCGGGCCCCCGATCAGTTCCATATATATGAAAGTAAACCCATCTTGATCCACGCGCCAGCCAAATACCTCTGGTACAGGAATGTCGTCGCCAAAAGTCTTCTTGATCGTCCAGAGATTCAGTGCCTCGGTGGTCGTGACGTAACGGCCGAACTTCACCAGTAGGCCCAGCTCTGCAAATTTGACCGCTGCGGGTCGCGGACATGTATTGATACCTTTGGACAAAGCTCTCACTTGCGTTGGCGTCGGAAGCTGTCGGTTTGCACCATCGGTGGTGAAAAATGATGTGTCGGTGAACTTTATCTCTTTTTGATTGGTGTCGGGTAAAGGCAGAGTGAAATGGGCCTTTCGTCGAGCCAATATAGAACCATTTGGGATGGATGAGTAGGCCTTGATAATATGATAGGAGGCGATTCCTCGGTAAGGTAGAGGGTATCAGGAGGATATCTGCAGGTTTATAAGATTCCCAAGATTACGGGAAATGAGGGAAACACGTGCTCTAAAGTCAAACTTGATCAAGTGAAATATACCAGGCTGTTGCAACTGTGTATGTACACGTTCTCTTGCGATATCCAAGGGATGTGTTTGTTCTTTGTGCGGGTCTTCTTCTGACATCTCCGCATATCACCGACAGAGCTGTCGGAAAAGGCGGCCGGAAAAGCCAGGCCCGGGGTCACTTACCCCGCAATATCCGGACTAAGTACATAGTACATATAAACACCCAACTTGAAGAGTCAAGTCCCTCCGTTTAACTAGTCACACCAGCAAGACGGTACTTCCGACACAACAAACTAAGAAAAAAAACAATGAGCAGCATCCCCTTCGAATCCCTCCCGCTGGACCCGACGGGCTCGCCCGGCAACGCCTGGGGCCGCTTCGGCCGCGACGACCAGCTGGGCACCTTGAATCTCCTGACCCCGGAAGTGATCGTGGAAGCAGCCAAGGAGATCCGGACGGGGGTGCGCATCTCGCTCGACTGGCCCCTGAGCATGCCCACTTACCCCAGCTTCGAGCGCGACCCGTTCCAGCAGCAGATCGTGCACCGGCGGCCCAACTGCATCAACGATGATATCCTCACCTTTAATACGCAGGGGTCGACCCAGTGGGATGGTTTCCGACATTACGGTGCGTGTGTACTTGCGCTTGCGCCTGTCTACTCTATGCCACTGGGCCCCATTCTCTTCAGGCTATGTACATCCACTATGGCCCAGCTGACACGCGGGGAGGAGCCATGTCCGTGATGTAGCGCACCAGCAATCCAAGCGTTTCTACAACGGCCATACGCAGGAAGAGATTGAGTCCTCGGATGTCCTCGGCTTACACGGTACGTGATGGCGCGCAATCAACAGATCAGGATGGGTTTATTCTGACACCCCCGGCGCAACCGGCACAGTGGTCACCGAAGCGGGCGGCATCACGGGCCGCGGCATTCTGCTCGACTACGCTGGCTGGGCGGACGAGCACGACATCGCGTTGTCGCCGCTGACGTCGAGCAGCATCCCCATCGCGCACCTGACGCAGCTCATGCACGACCACGCCATCCGCCCGCGCCCCGCCGACATCCTTTTCATCCGCAGCGGGTTCACGCGCGCCTACCACGCCCTCTCCGACGCCGACCGCCACGCCCTCGCCCGCCGACCCTCGCCGGACTTTATCGGCCTCGAGGCCTCTGAGGCTGCCGTGCGCTGGCTGTGGGAGCACCAGTTCGCCGCCGTGGCGGGCGATGCGCCAAGCTTCGAGCGCGCCCCCATCCGCGGCGCCCACGCCGACAAGCGGTTCAACCTGCATGAGTGGGTGTTGGCCGGGTGGGGCTGTCCCATCGGCGAGCTGTTCGATCTTGAGCGCTTGGCCGCGCATTGTCGGGAGACTGGGCGATACGAATTCTTCTTGGCGAGTGTGCCGTTGAAGGTAAGAGAAGTCCTCTGTGCAGGCCGGCGGAAAAGGTGTAATTGAACGTCTGGTTGGGTTTGTGGCTTGTCCGCTAATGTGTGGTGTGGCTTTTGCTGTTCTAGGTTGTTGGGGGAGTGGCAACTCCGCCGAACTCGGTGGCTATTTTCTGATGCGAGGGGAAGGATGGACATGGGTTCCTTCTTTGGGCTACTGCTTGAACGCGCAACGTGAGTTCCAAGCGTCTATTGTCATGATCGTGCATGTGAATATTAGATCTTATGGATATATGAAAGGAGTGCAAGGGAATGCAGATGCAAGATGCATCACAATAGTACATATTCCAGCAACAATGTCATTGCTGTCGTCGCTTGACTTCGTTGAAAGTGCAGCACGGTTCGATATAGCCCTCTGAGTCGTTCGGTGAATCCTGCCCCGTACTTGAGAGCCTGTAGCCCTGTAACCCGAAATACCGGAGGAGAGAAGCTGCGAGTCTCGAGTCTGTCTTTTCGTTGACTTGGCCCTCTGGGGCCACACCTTGCCCGGGAACAAGGCCGTGTCGTACTCTGCACGCGGATTTCTCAATAGCTTTAGTGCTGGGAGCCATCGCTTGGAGTTCGTATGCTTCCACGCCCTGCGTTTGAGCTAGACCCACGACCAGGGCTGCAATGAGCTTGGGTCGGCTGGATCTGCAGAATCAAACTCGTTCAGTAATGCTGAGGCCGCTCAAGACGCTATACTCCACGCGCGACGCTGTACTCCGCGCGCAGCGCATTGCAGTATCGTTGTATAATCATCAGACCATGCTTTGCATAGAAAGAAGTCCAGATTGAGACCCTTGAGTGTTCCAGACTAGGACCTCGAGCCTGCAAGAGCCCCTCGCCGACCGATAATTGGGTTGGCGACCGGCGTGACAAGGTCTGAAAAGGTAGGTGCTTGAAAGAGCCCTTGTTGTTGGGACGAGGCTGACGTCGAATTGCGAATCGTTACCTGCAAACATGGCTGCGACGGCTGTTGCCACCGCCGGTCGCGTCTCTGCCCAGCCGCGGTCTGTTTCACTTCAACCCCACTTCAAGCACTTCAAGAATAGCGAACACTATCTCTGTGCCGCGTTGGGGTGCCCGAGGTGCTGGAGGACGGTTCGTATGCGCTCTCAGTTGTAACCTCGATCGTTGTGTGCTGCAAGACAACGCCCATGGGGGCCAGCTCAAGGCCTCCCTTGCCGATCATCTCCTCCGTGGAATCGCTTCGGCCGCGAGTGATGGTCGTTGATGTCGGACCTTTCGGGTCCGCACTCATGGCATATTGCTGCGCGGCCGATGATTTATTTCGACGGCTGCTAGAGAGCTTTTTGCTGCTTCCCCTCGCCTCAGATTCGACCACAACACTTCTACGGGTCACAACATACATGAATGCATCGCAGAACCCGGAGCATGCCATGAAAGAACCCGCAATACAGAAATAGAGTACGCTTGGCGAGTGCGAGCCAGCAGAAGCCATGCGACCGGCTGCCAACGGTAGGGTCAAACAGATGTAGACGACTGGATAAACGGCCATGTGAAGAATCACTCGTTTTAACCGGCGCAGACTCTCGGAATTATGCTCCCCAAGAACAGACGCTTCGGACATCTTCTGGCGTAGTTGAATGAACATGATCGCGTAAAGTGAGACAGTGAAAAACTCGGAGGCAAAGATCCAGACATAGTGAGTCCACAATCGCATGTTCTCGTATTCAGGGGTCATCCAGCACTGCGGGAACGGAACGAAGTTAGCGAATTTCAATGGGCTGACGGAAAAGCTCGAAACATACCCAGGCCACCGCGGGATACCACACATATCGCCCGTGCGCAGCGATAGGAATAATGGTCATCACAACCCCAAATGCCCAGAGGCCGATAATCATGCTCACAAACACTCTGTGTTCCATCTGATAGTTGAGGCTGACATGTAGGAACGTGTGCACTGCAATAGCAAGAACAAAAAGGCCACTCATTGGGTCGCCAATCTGCAGCCCCACACCCTGCAAAAAACATGCGACGTCTGTCGCTCGTACCGCGTCAATCGCAATCCAGCGGAGAGAAATGATAAACCCGAAACTCTGCAGGAAATCGGCCAAAACCAGATTGAACATAAGCACGACATACTGATTGTAACCTATGTATCGTCGATAGTACTTGCGCCAGAAGATGAAACGATAAGTAAGGAAGCTCAAAAGGGAGAAGGTCGTGAACATAGAGAGAAGAGCGAGCGTGGAAATGACGATCAGGCCTTTTTGCTGTAGGTCCGACAAGGGACTAATCACTGCAGAGCCTTCTTCTCCACGCGAATGAAGGGGCCTGCCGTCCCTGGCCGTGTCAGCCGCCAGAAGCGACTCAAGTGCAAAGGTAAGCATAGCAAAAGACGTTGAAGGGTCGAAATTGTCAGCTGTAAAATCCGAGGCGAGTTTTGGGCTATATAATCGAAGATTTGCCCCCTGTTACTTGGCGATGGTCATGGCGCCTTGTGGTGGATACGTAGTATGAGCTTCACATACAGCAATGATCGGAGGCATAGTGCGCCATAGTAAGCTTGTCCAGCCCACATGTCGTTGTGTGCAATTGCCCCTACGGGTTCGGGCATGAACCAAAAAAAGTTATCATCCGCGACGTTCTGAGCGTGGGGTTTCCACCGCATCCGCCTTCATGTTACTTTTGACCCATATGGCGGCGTTAGCCTCCATGATAAGGCGAATGGGGAGCGAAAGAAGTCAACCTAAGCTTTGAACTTGCCAGTTCGGGAACCTCGTCTCTGGAACAGTCGCCATCCTGACGAAAATTGGCAACGGTGTGCCGGCACGCAGCACGCTCTCCTCGCTCACTAGTATATTTTAGCCAACGCCACGCGGCTTGCTTTGAAAAGCTTGACAAAGCCCTTGTTGATCCTCGGGTCCATAGATAGCGCGGGAGTGCTTAGAGTCAATTTGACTGGAGGTCCCGTGTTCATGAAACATGACTCGGTCAGGGGCAACGTGCCCAGTGTTATTGGAGGGTTTCTACTAGCAGGCTGTGCGTAAGTTCCAAGACAAGAAACTAGTGCGTTGTCCGCGGAGATCACTCACGGAGAACTTATCACCGTAATCCGTATGCATGCCTCACGCCGCCCGAGGAGCACGTTGACTTAGCAGACTCTCACTCCTTTCTAGAAAGCCCAGCGCACTCCACATGCGGGGCGCCCGCCAAGGTGGCTTGTGGTTTGGCGCCAGCACAGCGGCACCATCTTCAGCCGTCTTCATTTGGAGTCCAAAGATCCTGCCTAGACGGCAATCAGCTTGCCTCGATTCAGCAGGTCGGATTGTTCCTTTCAATATCGTAGCATACGCAGGACGTGGCAGGGAATTTGGAGTGACTGGCTGAAGGAAAGAAGTAAATGGGGGACGATTCGAGTGGAGTGTTTGGAGTAGTTTCAAGTTGGTAAGTGCTCTGCCCCCAGTTACCGCCTTTACTGGCCGTACTGGAATTTCGCTACACAAACAACCCAGATTGTCCTCTGACAATCATCATGTACAGAGGCTGTTCGCTTTTTTGACCATCCCCCTCTTTATCCATGAGCGAGCTATCAGTCTGGCTGCGATTATAGCTCTCTCTGAGTATGACGAAGAAGTAGATCCACATGACCCGTTCAAAGGGCGATTTCACCGCGCACGCAAAAGGAAAAGGAGAAACCTCGTCACGAGATGGCAACAGGTTAAAAAGGAGTCGGCTTTGCATGATTGCCCTCCGCTACGATAAAACCCCTATTGCACTAGCAGAGCCGGGAAAGACTAATCTGTCGATCTTATCGCCGCGACGGGAACTCCGGACAATGGCATCGTCGCCGCACCACAGCGCTCGAAGCGATTGCATTGAGTGTAGTGTGGTCGATGGACATGGCTAGGTACAGGTGGAGTCATGTATAGCCATGCAGGTACGTGGAGTCATGTATACAAGGTTTCGTTCCTCCATGATGCTTCCCAGATTTCTCACATGGACCACCCGCCTCAGCCCTACCAAGATCCCACCCAGTGTGCCGAGCCATGCCACTGTTCCACGGAACCGCTGCCGAACCGAGTCAGCTTCAACGAGACCAGGAAATGTTGGATTCGACACCGACCGCATGCCAAGACACAAAGCGGAGAAAAGAACTATGGGCACATGACCTTCCTATTCCGTCGCCATCCACGATGCGTGTGGAACTAGGATCGCGCGCCCTATGGTCTACCTACTATCGATCTTGTACAGTACATGTCTCCATTCATCAAGATCCTTGCGGTCGTTGTCTAAGCTTTTGACCTCAGCGTCCGCGGCTAGGTTTAGGACCGACAGTTCAAGGGGCCGGTACTATAGCTATATCAAGAACCCTGCAAGCACTTTTACAGCTATCTTGATAGCCATGGCTCGTGGCAGTGAGTATGCTGATTACGGTCGAATGGGCAGGGATTTTCGCAACGGGTTCAAAGAACTTGAATGACAGGAGTACAAAAAGGATCTTAAGATCTCTTTGCCTCGTCTCCAATCTGTAAAAGCTTTATTGTCTTCTCGCAAAAGCATTGTTCTCAGTACCCAAGACATGTTATTGTCTGCTCACGTGATTGCGACGTGTGTACATGTCGAGAAGACAACGGAAGTCAAACTACCAAGGGCTGGAACAATAGAAGAAGATGGGATGATAGGTGAAAAGGGTCATCAACCCTGTCAGCCTAGAGACCTCCGCCGGGCACAGTATACTCGTTACTATGCTGGGCCATCGCCTTCAGGACCCTGAACTACGTGCTGATTGGCTGGTATAGTGGGACTACGATGAAGGCTTGGCTAGGCGAATGCACGTGTTCTGCGGATTGCAAGAGCACCACGATGCAGTAATAGGATCTCCGGCTCCAAGATCGTGTACCAGACTTGATGAGCCATGGGCGTGTTGCCTTTTCCCTTTGATCAGAGTGATACGGTCATTTTTACGTTTTGTTGCTGAAGTAGTCATCACCCTGCCATTCCCAATAAATCCCACTATACTCCGTACTCGCCCCTTATCTCTGGATTTCTATAAGGAAGTGATGGCGCTGAGTATGACCCTTTGCCAGGGCTTATTGAGCGTACAAAAACTTGGTGCATGCTGCCGAAGAAATCCACGAGTAAGAATCATAATTGCGAGCATGGGCTTCGAGGCAGGAAGCGTATAGTAAGTCAAAGACCATGGCCCAATGAGGACAAAGGGGAAAGGGCAAAAAACGACAGCAGTCGGATTTGAACCGACGCCTCCGAAGAGAATAGATTTCTAGTCTATCGCCTTAGACCGCTCGGCCATACTGTCTTATCTGGTAAATCTATATCAACTTTGAAAATATAATGCCGCGCAACTTCTAGCACAGTCCCTGATAGTCCTGATAGATCTAAGTCTGGACTTCAATCCCGATGTGTGCTGTCTATCTACCCCGCAGCCCTACTGAACTACGGCAAATTTTGCAGGCACAGGCTTGTGCAAGCGCTGGCTTGACGCGAAAATGCGCCGTGTCATGTGATGAGCCCGCGTCCCTCCCTTCGGGCCTCGGCAGGTAAAAAGACCCAAAATCGCAACTCCAACCTGAAGCGGAACGGAGGACCAAAATCGAGGGCAATCTTTAATGGGTCTCAGGCCTCCTCTTCCTCCTCCCTCTGCATGCCTCTAGTCAGGCAGACAACTCTTTAATGCCCCAAAAATGGCTTAATCAATCCTTCAGCCACCCAACGGCCCAATCTAAAGTACTGTGGCTTTTATCGTGACCGTGTCATCAATACATATGGCTAGCGATCATGGCAACCAACTTGATTGGGCCCGGTATGGCCTCCATGATCAAGCTCAAATAGACTTTCGACTTGAGGACTGAGATCGTCGGCGGTACCACTTTCTTGTCCTCTTAAATCCAACCCAAGCAACCGAGGGTGGTGATCTCCAAATCGCAATGGTTGCCCGTTTGGGCGAATGCGAGGGCATGTGAATCGGGGACAGGATCTCTTTTTATGACCCTGTCTGGCCGCTGAGGTAGACTTCGTTCACCAAAGAACACCACAACCTGCACCCTTACTATGACCCTGCAGCACTCGATCACTCTCGTCCAATCCTGGACTCAGTCGCTTTCGGTTCAGCTCCCCGAACCCGTGCGATCCGCCCTCGACCGCCATCCCTTCATTCCCCTGGTCTTCAACTCTTTGCTCGCCATCGCTTTCCTGCGGTATCTGAATCGCGCCCTCACATCCTGGTCGCTGGGAAATTGCTCCGTTAACCGATGGAACAAGGATCGCGAGCTTGTTCTCATCACTGGCGGCAGCAGTGGCATCGGCCAGCATGTCGTCCTACAGCTAGCCGTGCGAGGCGTGAGGTGTATTATCCTCGACATCCAAGCACCGTCCTATACCCTGCGTAATTGACCCCCTGCCCGATCACCAGCCCTCATTGAGTGCTGCCAGCTAACAATGCTCCAGCCAAGTCTGCACATTTCTACAAAACGGACATCACGTCTACCGACGCACTGCATGCAACGGCTGAACAGGTTCGCGCCGACCACGGCAACCCCACTGTGCTCGTTAACAACGCCGGTGTGGGCCATGACGGCACCATCCTTGCCGAGCCCGAGAGCAAGATCCGACAGACCTTCGAGGTCAACACGCTGGCGCATTTCCTGACGGTGCGCGAGTTCCTGCCGGCGATGCTGGAGCGCAACCACGGGCATGTGATCACGGTGGCAAGTATGGCGAGCTTCGTCGCGCTCGGCGAGATGGTGGACTACTGCTGCTCCAAGGCCAGTGCGTTGGCGTTTCATGAAGGGCTGGGTCAGGAGATCCGACACTGGTATAAACGGCCCGGTGTGAAGACGAGGTATGTGGATTATCTCTCTCGCGCCCCGTCCCTGTCCGTCGCTACTGACATCGCGCGTACAGCGTCATTCATCCGTATTGGGTCCGCACTCCGATGATTCAGCAGTTGACAGATGCTGGAGATTTGTTCAAGCAGCCTGTCTTGACGGTGGAGCGCGTCGCTGCGGCAATTACGCGCCAGGTCGTTTCGGGAAAGAGTGGACAGATTTTCCTCCCTGAGGGCTACTCGGTGGTCAGTATGGTGAGGGCATTGCCTACCTGGTTGCAGGAGCATGTGCGAGGACTCTCTTCCAAAGATATTCGACGACTCCGAGAAGTGCAGAAGTGAGGGTTGAATTGCTGGTCAATTGCCGCCTCGGGGAGAATTGGGATTTTCGATTGTATATTCTGTCAAGCAAACTGTGTTTCTTTACTTCATATTCGTATAATAGGAGTCTAAATCCACATTGATTTTTGGTGAAGTTGGTGAAACAATACGAAGGCGGTGTCCAACGGGGCTGGGGGGATAACCACTGATTGCCTAATCAGGCCATGATCGGTTCTTCTCTCCGTTGAGCATGACGACGAATTCCAGTTGGGTTTCACCTGGTTCCTTCCCTGACTACCCACATACTCAAATGCATCCGACATCGTAGATCTATTCATCTATTCTACACCGTTCGCATGTTTTATTGTGCCGTGTATTTCCAGAACCAATCTAGCCGCCATGGCCAGTAAAGATTATTCGTTATCAGGGGATGATTTAAGCCGATACGCCGGGACCACCACACAACTCCCCAAAATAGAAGTGGATGATGGACTTCACCACGCAGGCCCGCCACCACCCCCGGGCGCTGGCGAAGGTTTTCGACGAAATCATGCGCCCATCGTCCGCGCCTGGTACGACCCTCGTGGGTGGTCATCGCGCAAGAGATTGATCGTTGCGGCGGGCATCCTCATTATCGTCATTGTCGCCGTGGTGGTGGGCGCCGTCGAGGGGACCAAGAAACCCAGTTATCCTGACTATTCTCGCCTAAACTACGAATTGGCAGACACGTATTCGGGGACCTCGTTCTTCGATCGCTTCGACTACTATTCGGGCCAGGATCCCACCGATGGCTTTGTCCAGTAGGCTTTCCCTTCGCCTTCGACTGCGCTATGGTCGTGGCTGCTGACAGGCGCCCCTACAGATACGTCAACCGGTCCACGGCGCAATCACTCAACCTGACCTACGCCACAGAGTCGTCGGTCGTGCTCCGAGTCGACACTTCCGACCGCAACGCGACACACGGCCGCCGCTCCGTGCGCCTCGAGTCCACCACCAGCTACGACACGGGGCTCTTCCTCTTCGACATCCTGCACACGCCGTACGGCTGCGGGCTGTGGCCTGCGCTGTGGCTGACAGACACGTACAACTGGCCGGTCAACGGAGAGATCGATGTGGTCGAGACCAACAACCTGGCCACCGAGGGCAACGCCGTCACGCTGCACACGACGGGCGGCTGCAAGATGAACGTCCAGCGCAAGGAGACGGGCACCCCGAACTTTCTAACCTGCGATAACAGCACGCACAGCAACGCCGGCTGCGGCGTACAGGGTCCGCCCAGCACCTACGGGCAGGAGTTGAACGAGAACGGCGGAGGGGTAAGCACAACTCCCCCGATCTGCCCACTCAGTGCTTCCTCGTCCCCACTTGCTAACCTCACGGCCATCAGGTATACGCCCTGGAACTGCGCGACGCAGGCATCCGGACATGGTTCTTCGCCCGCGACGCTCTCCCCGACGACCTCTCCAACGCGAGCGCCACCCCCGACCCCTCGGCCTGGGGCACCCCGCTGGCCGACTTTCCCAGCACGCACTGCGACATCGCTGCTCACTTCAAGAACCAAAGCATCATCGCCAACATCGACCTGTGCGGCGAGCTGGGCGCTCAGAAGCAGTTCTACACCGACCTCTACCGCTGTCCCGGCACTTGCTCCAGCTTCGTGCGCTTCAACCCCGCCAATTTCACCCAGGCCTACTGGGAGTTTGCGAGCTTCAAGGTTTTTCGGGCTTCTTGAGGGGCGTGGAGTATATATACACAGTTTAGAATAAGGATCTCTGATTAGCGGGTTAGGGTTTTATTCCTTTTGGCATTCGCTCTTTTGCTTACCAGATAGTGCGCCACGGGGCTTGGCTGTTACGCCATTCGTGTTCGTTTAAACTCATGTATTCCAGCGTTCGGCCGTTCTAGAAGACTACTAGATAGAGCTACGATACGCATCCTCGATAGTCACGTGATAATATTAGAAGGGCGGTGCATTAGAACAGGGCTATATTCTCGAAGTAGTGCAGGTCAGAAATTTACATCAGATCATTCATACATCATGGCAGACAGCCTCCACACCAAATTCTACCTCTACCCCAGATCATACCCCGCATACCCGGATCCCGCCGGGACAATTGAGGAGTAGCCGGGCATGTACGCGCCCGCGCCCGCGCCCGCGCCCGTCAGATATGCGGGGGGTGAGGAGATCAGCCGGCGCTGGATGGACTCAGACAGGCGCTGCAACTCCTCGAAAACGGGGTCGGGGCCCCACTTGCGCAGGCCGAAACGCAGGATGCAGTGGATGTCGGACAGGCAGGCGGTGGCGCGAGCGTAAAAGTTGAGGCAGTCCTCGCTGTCGAGAACGAGGGCAGCCGGCGTCTCAGGCGGGATAGGCGGCAGCACCGGCGCCGAGGGGCTGAGCGGCAGGTCGTGGTTCTCGGTCAGTTCGCGCGTGAAGCGGCGGGTCGCCTGCACCGCGCGGTGCATGTCCCAGAACGTGATGAACGAGGTCCACGCCGGGTTGCGCAGCGCCTCCTGTATCTGGCTCAGATACTGCATGCTGCGCTCGAAGAGGACCACGTTGCGGTAGTCTCCGACGGCGGCGGCCGGGGGTTCGTCGGTCGGCGCGAGGATCATCACTACCGTGTACAGGAGTTCCAGCTTGTACAGGACCGCGAAGTGGCTCGGCGCCGTGGTCGGCCTGCTCTCGAACCACTCATAGGCTTCTGCGCCGAGCGCCCACGTGGATTTCGCGGTCAGCGAGCATGTCTCGTGGCCGTGGAAGTACTTTCTTGAGTATGCTTCCGAGAGGATCTGGCGGATCTTAACCAGGTGCCACGCGGGCTCGGAGCTGCGCAGGAAGAGGTGGCTTTGCTCGCTGAGCGTGGTGCCTGCGCTCGTGGAAGGGAGGGCGACGTTGACTGATTGGTCGGAGAAGGAGAATGGCTGTTCGAAGACGGTGCTTGCGCCTCTGTCGGCGCGGTCAATGGCTGTTGCCTGTGAGGGCTGGGTGCGGTACGAACCTGTCTAACGAGTAGAGACAATGTAATATGCGGCGACGCAGGTCGAGTTGTTTGGTCGAGGATTGCACCTCTACTGGAGGGTCCTGGTGCAGACCTAGATCGACCATGACTCTGACAGCCATACCGACCAGGAACCAACTGCGGAAGTGTTGTGGATCGAATAGCGAATATTGAGCGAGAAGCATGATCGCCTGGATACCAAAGATGGATCCCGGCCGAAGCACATCTTCCGCCCTCTGCAGGGCCTGGGCGACGTATGACACAGCATCCTGGTGGCTCTCATCGCCTGTCTCGTAGGATAACGACGCGGAGGACGTGGCCAACACCGTATATACTATCCAATGGTCGAACGGCTTGGCGAACCGACCGCCGGACTGATACACCGCATCGACCGCGGTCCAAAAGCTGGTTTCTGCGAAAAATGGAAGTTGGACATAGATCGTGTCGAAGTAATGCTGGAGGAGGTGGGTTATCTCGTGGCGTGGTGGTAACGGTCGTAAGGATTGTTTGGGTAGCGGTTCGGCGAGTGAGAGGGAGAGGAGGAGGTTCGCGAAAGAGGTGCTCGAAGTGATTCCGTGGAAGTCTCTCGAGGTGGCATTCACTGACCTAACCGCGACGAACCGGTTAGTAGGTGGGTAGAGAACATGAGGGAGAAAAACTTACAGGAATCCGAAGTCTCCGACCAGATCATCAATATCCGAGACTTCTTTGTTCGGACCCTGGACCGCGGATTCCGACGATGTTATTGAGGTGATAGAGTTCTGGTGTGCGATTCCCCTATTGTCGACGGAGAGCGATGTCTTCAGATGGCGGAGCTCCGCGATCTTCTTCTCCAGCCTTTCACAGTACCCCTCCAGGGAGGCAACATAGCTTCGCTCTTTACCGCGAGCGAACTCATCACTTGCGCCGGAGCAGGTGTCGGACTTGCCCACTCTTTCACATGCGGAGCAGGCAGGGAGCTTCCCGTCGCACTTGATCTTGGCTGTTCGACATCGCGAGCAGGCAGCTACCGGGCGACTGACCTTGAGGAGTGGCTTGTCGAGGAATAGCGTAGCCGACATCTTATCCGTACATGTTACACCGACATAGGACTGGCAGGTAGGAGGAGGTCTGCGACGAAGGAACGGATCGAGTATATAGTCTGCTACGAGCCACCTTGATGATGAAGCAAGGGTGAGCGGCGTTACACAGGTTGAGAGGATGGTTGAGCGATGCTTACCGAGAGAATTTTGGGTAAGGGTGGACTGCTGCCGTAGCTGAGGCTATGCGAAGGGAGGGTATTCCATATACAGGTGTTGAGACGAGGCGTCAAACTGTGCCCTTCGCTGGCTAACAATCGGCCATTGACAGACACTGATAAGACATGGATTGGCATGATCGAGGCGGCGACCGCGGCTGTCGAGCTGGTGTTTACACTGTTTGCATTTTCACGTGACCATACAGTGAACAGCCTGGAGACCTCTCCAAGTTGCCTGTCCGTATCGCAGCTACAATCGTCCCCTTCTTCTTTTCGATAAGAATTTCTCCACAGCCCATTTTGGCAGCACTATGACTCTAAACAACTTGAAACCTTAGTCATGCCTCCATGATTGTTGAGGCATCTAAATCCCATCCCTTTCGGCTGTCGGAGAATTGCCGAGGGATTCATTGGCCGCCCGAGTGGAACATCTCCCTCCCCGCCTCAAGATCCATCCATCTTCTTCCTGCCTATCAGATCCTCTCCATCATTTCCCCAGAACAAAACCCCCCAGTCTAGTGAGTCGCTAGTCAGTGCGGTGTGTGACTGCCCACTGCCCACTGCCCAGTCTGCCATCCATCGTCTTCGTCTCCCCCACATCCCATGCTGTTCACGATTTCTTCGTCATTCGTATTCTTCTCAATTACACAATCTGTGCCTATGAAAATCATGCGTGCTTTCGCTGCCTCTACACCAGACACTGGGTGATCGCATATCTCGCACTTGGCTCTATCCTTGCCTCGGTCGCTATCGCCCAGCGTTTAGAAGACGAACTGGTCCTACCGTACCTCCCCCGCACGACTTTTGCGTCATTCCGACCGACCGATTCAGAAAGCATGCAGCCTCACCAGCCAGAGAGGCCCAAGAGGGCTCCTCGAAAGCACGTCACCACAGCTTGTGTCGCCTGTCGTGAGAGTAAAATTAGGGTCGGTGATTCCCAGGCGATCGCACGTTTTCAGCGCATTGTTTTCATTTGCGCTGATAGATTTCCGCTTAGTGTGACGGCTCTACTCCGCATTGCCAGAACTGCCAAAGGAAAGGCAAGGAATGCAAATACCAGCATGGGGACGACAAGCGCAAGTATGTCCTCCTCATGCGCCCACCCCTCTCCATCTAGAATTCCGGATACTGGCGAAATGTGATCATTAGTGATTCACTTGCCTACACCAAGGAACACACAAATGGCCATGCTTCTATCAGCACAACCTAGTCAGACTGACCATTTCTATTGCCAGAGTGTCCCTACGTGCTGCGACAGAGCTTTTCTCCGCCAGAATCGATCAATTGTGCCAGTTCATTTACGATAACGGGCTGGAGCCGCCCCCAATGAAGGAGGAGGATGAGTCTGGCATGAATCGAGTCCTGGATACGCTTCAGATCCCCCGTGCACCTACGAAAAGGAGGAGCTCGATCGCAACCACTATACAGAACACTCTGGCCCTACCGACTGCCGCCCGTTCACCTGGTCAATCTCCGACCTCTCCTCAATCAACGTCGAACCACCAGTTAGAAACCGATAATGCACCTGAAATATCACCACCCTCACAGATCAGACTTCACCAGACATCTCTCCCCCTTCCAGAAAATAGTCAAGGGGTCCTAGGTCAATCCAGCATGAATTTGGCCTTGCCTAATAACATTAAAACCCCATCAAATTGGGGATTCACTCTTCCAACAGCGGAAAGTCTGGATGCTCTGTACGCCAACATAGATGGTCGATCGAACGGGTCACATGACACTAGTCTGAGTCCGGATAGCTTGCATTTGTCGCAAGACATCGCACAGCAGCCTGGGGTGCTCCTAAACCAGGCTTGGAACGATCGCGATGTGGACTCGAACAGTGGTGAGGAAGATGAAGCCGAGAAGGATGTCATTGAACAGATTTCGCACCGCATTGGGACCCTCAAACTTTCGGGTGACGGCCATCTACGTTTCTTCGGCGCAACCTCGAATCTCAACTTGGTGGATGTTTCAGCGACTCAACAACATCAGCGTCCGGACGCTCGAACAGTTCGTCATGACGGACAAGACATTCTGAACCACTTGCGGGTGGGCCAACCCGTCAGTCAAGCGCTGGAAGACCATCTTGTTGAACTCTACTTCACTTGGCAGAACCCCAGCACGTATGTGGTTGACAAGGAGATGTATCTAAGCGCTCGGTCCGAGTGGAGAAACGACTTGATCGATACTCCCTTCTATTCGGAGGTTCTCACGAATGCTATGTATGTTTGCTCTTTCGGGTCGCTGTTACGACATATCCCTGACAATATCTCAGGTGCGCTATTGGAAGTGCTTTCGAAGCTCGGTATCACCCTACCTTCATTACATTTCCCAAGTCGCTCTCAGAATTTTTCGCCGACAGAGCGAAAGCTCTTCTGGAGATTGAACTAGACTCTCCTTGTGTTGCTACTGTCCAGGCCCTTGTCATACTGAGTTCCCATGAGGGCTCATCAAATCGTGATGCTAGAGGCTGGCTTTACAGCGGTATGTCGAGCAGGCATTTCACGAAGAAATAAAAATGATCTGACTGGACCAGGCATGTCGATGAGACTCGCATTTGACCTCGGACTGCATCTTGATATGACGCCGTACGTCGAGAAAGGTGACATTAGTGTCCACGAAGCCGATGTTCGCAAGATAGCCTTTTGGGGGAGCTACACCGCAGATCAGTAAGTGACCTTGATTAGTATTCTGGATGAGCCTGTTCTGACTATCGGGTAGCTTCTGGGGCTTCTATCTCGGGAGGCCTTTCCGGATGAGTACTGGGGATATTACAGTGCCTAAGCCTGCTTCTGACTTAGGTGCCGAGAAAGAAGGCATGTGGCATCCGTACGGCTTGCCGATGAAATCGGAAGCACTTATGAGCGGGTTGAAGAATCCCAACGAGCTGGTTAGCCGGCAGTTTGCTGTACTATGGGAGATTATTTCTCCCGTGGGCCATATTCTGTGAGTCTTTAGTGTCCTGATAGTTGCGCGTAGTTGCTGACTTCTGGAAGATATGGATGCTCGGATATTTCCCGCCATGATCTGCAGAGACTATGCCACCGTGTAACAGATGATCTCTTTGCTTGGAAGGCCAACCTACCCTCTAATCTGGACATTGATATGTTGAATGACACTGTTCCGAAGCTGCCCCATCTCCTCGTACTACAGTAAGGCTTTCCGGCATGCGCTACAAGGCAAAGAGAAGCTAACGATTGCTGCGCAGCATGCAATATCATCAGATCGTCATCTTTACTCACCGCCCATGGGTTTCGAAAAGCTACATTCAACCACGCAGTCCTCGCCAAGGACCCGGGTACCATCACGCAAGAAGAATGTGTATTGAGTCTTCTACGGCCATCGCGCAGCTTCTCCACATTTACGAGAAATATTATACCTTCCGTCGCATGAACAGTCAAGTTGTGGCTATGATTTTCAGCGCCGCCCTGATCCTTCTCTACGTTACGATTTCCAATTCTCGCCCTGGCAGCGACACTGGCAGCAATGCTGAAATGGTTGCGTATCTTAATCTCTGCTTTCGTGCTTTGGATGAAATCGGCCAGTCGTTCGAGAACGCCAAGCGAACCCGAGACTTCCTCGTCAGTCTGCAGCGGCGGTGGCAAGCGCATATGCGTCGCTCGGGGTCCGCAGTCAAGCGCCAGATGAGCCAGCGAGGACCATCGCAGAAACCCGCCGGGCGAACATTAGACGCAGACGCATCGAGGAAGAAAACGCGGACCACAGCGCCTCGGAACCAGGCCACCATGCCTCTGTCGCTGCCGACGGCGCACTCACTCGCTGCCACCGGCCTACCGCTCGGTGAACCGCAACTCCAAACTCGATCAGCACAGCATCAACAACCAGTGGATCCTGTCCAGTCCTTGACCACATGTCAGCCAGGGGATTTCGACTGGATCCGCGATTCGGACCTGCAATTGCTCTCCGACAATCTGGGCGAGGACGGGTTTCCGCCCCTGGGCAATACGAATCTGTACGCGGAGGATGCCACCCTGCCTTCATTGAATGACATTGAATCCTGGTGGGACTCGCCGGAGGGAAATACGTTCGGGGGTACCTCGTTATGACCGCAAACTAGTCATGATTTCAAAGAGGTAATCCCTGATCTCGATTCTTGGCTTTCCGATACTTAACGTTACAGTCAGCATGGATAGAATATTTCACAATACGGATTCACGAGGGGACAGATAGCGATGACATTCCAGCATGAAAGCGCATGATTCCCATAGTTAGACCCTCTTACCCCATGAAACCCCCTAATCTCTCAAGCGTAGAATTTATGCATTCCCGGGGGAGAACCCCCGGACCCCCCTTCCTTTCAGCTTCCCAGCTTGACTTAATTCTATAACTTAGAGCCAAGGACAACACAGCGCGAGAGTACCAGAGGGTATCCGGTGTAGGGCTTTGTAGGTGACGTCGATGAAAGTAAAGTCTTCCAGTAAGACAAAGGCCAGTTCGGAAGTATACGAGTTCTCTGCTATAGCCGGGTGGAAAGAAGCGGAAATTGGCGGGGGAGCGAAGCTCGGGAGGGGCCGCGGAAATGTTCCGTCATCGATCCCGTATACTCAACATTACGCAGAATGGCAAAAGAGGAAGCACCGCCAGTGCCTCTAAGAACTAGAAACCTACCGAGTCAAGACCGCTCCCTGTACACCATAAGCTACCCATGTCTATAGCCCTGGTCGTGTGACAATGTGACGACAATCCGCATGTCCGCGACTACCCTTTTGTGGTGCGGGAACCATGCTTGAAATATATGTCAACTCGACTCCTACCAAGCAACCTACAGGTAGTACTGCATCTCACCCACTCCTCATTCACCACCCAGAATAATACCCCAGTACACAACACGAACCCCCTGAAAATGCCGGAAACAAGTATAACTCTCTACACATACTTTCGGTCCTCGTGCTCAGCCCGCCTGCGCATCGCCCTGAACCTCAAATCCCTCCCCTACACCTCCATCCCCATCAACCTCCTCGCCAACGAGCAACACACGCCCGCCAACCTCGCGCGCAACCCGTCCGGCACCGTGCCCACCCTCGTCCTCACCTCATCAAATGGGGCTTCATCCATAAAAATCACGCAATCCCTCGCCGCCCTCGAATACCTCGACGAGGCCTTCCCAGACACCCCCCCGCTCCTACCGCGAGACCCGGCGACGAGGGCCATCGTCCGCACCCTTGCGGCCATCATCGCGTGCGATGTGCAGCCTGTGACTAATTTGAAGATTCTGAAGAGGGTTGCTGAGCTTGGGGCTCAGCGGGAGGAGTGGGCGCGGGGGTTGATTGAGCAGGGGTTACGGGCTTATGAGGGTGTTATTTCTGGTTCTGCGGGGGTGTATAGTGTTGGTGATGCCGTGACTATGGCCGATGTGTGTCTTGTGCCTGCTGTTTGGGGGGCTGAGAGATTCGGGGTCGATGTGCATCGGGAGTTTCCGGTGATTGCGGGGGTGGTTGCGCGGTTGGAGGGGTTGGAAGCATTTACGAGGGCGCATTGGGCTAGGCAATTGGATACTCCTGCCGAGTTGAGGATTGATTGATTCTGTTTTATGCCGGAAGATGGAAGAAGGGGATCCCCGGGTTCTCCTCGGGAATACTTGTATCTTCAGTCAGAGGATTGAGGTGCTTGGGAAGCTGAAAGAGAAGGGGGGTCCGGGGGTTCTCCCCCGGAATACATTTATTCTAGTTCTAAGAATGAATGTGGCTGGGAAGCTGAAAGCAAGGGGAGTCCGGGGTTTCTCCCCCGGAATACACTTATTCTGGTTATAAGGTTGAGTACGGCTAGGAAGCTGAAAGAAAGGGGGGTCCGGGGTTTCTCCCTCGGAATGCTTATTGAAGAGGAGAGGACTGTGCAGAGGGCAGGGATTGGGTTTTGTTTGGTGGTTTGTTTGTGATTGTGAAGGTAGGGAGGGTTGATTCATTCTGTGGATAGGTACGGTACAATTCGATTTGGATCATTACACGTCTAGCTTATGCAAAGTCCAGCTGCACTGCAGGAAGGATCTTGGCCGAACAGTCGCCAAAGCCCACATAGTTGCCCTCAGTGCCGGCCTTGCCGCGCAGCACCACCGTGTCGCCGTCCTCCAGGAAGACACGGCTCGAGCCATCGGCCAGCTGGATCGGGTCCTTGCCCTTGGTCTGCTCGATCAGACTGCCCTCGGTGCCGGGCTCCTTGCCGGAGATGGTGCCGCTGCCCAGCAGATCGCCGGTGCGCAGATTACAGCCGGTGATTGTGTGATGGGCCAGCATCTGCGGGAACGAGAAGAGCAGGTTCTTGGCGTTGCTGCGCGAGATGGTCGTGGGCTGGCCGCCCTCGTTGGTGATCTCGAACTCGAGCGGGATGTCGAAGACGTTGTCGGTGCGCTTCTCGCGCAGGTACGGCAGCACCTTCTGGTTGTTCTCGGGTTCCAGGCTGGCGGTGCGGAAGGGCTCCAGCGCGTCCAGCAGCACCACCCAGGGCGAGATGGTCGTCGCCCAGTTCTTAGCGTTGAACGGGCCCAGCGGCACGTATTCCCAGGCCTGCACGTCGCGCGCCGACCAGTCGTTCATCAGTACCAAACCGAAGATGTGGTCCTCGGCTTCCTGGATGGATACGGGCTTGCCCAGGTCGTTGGGGACGCTGACGAACGCCGCCAATTCGAGCTCGATGTCCAGCCGCTTGCAGGTCGTGAAGATCGGCACCTTGGGGGTGGCGGTGGGATTGGCGAGGATTTGGCCGTTCGGGCGGTGGACCGGGGTGCCGGATGGGACGATCGACGAGGCCCGCCCGTGGTATGCGACTGGGAGGTGCTTGTAGTTGGGCTGCAGGGCGTTATCGGGTCCGCGCAGGAGGACCCCGAGGTTGTGGGCGTGGTTGATCCCGGCGTAGAAGTCCGTGTAGTCACCGATCTGCAGGGGGACGTGGTTGGTCACTTCGGACAACGGCAGGAGCGCCTCTTCTTGGAGGGACGCATTGTCCTTGAGAATCTGTGGGAAGGGCGTGTCGGCGCGGAAGACGGACTGGATGTATTCGCGGACCTGGCGGTGCACTGGTCGTCCCAGGGCGGCGAATGCGTTCAGAGTCGGTTGGCTGAAGACGTTGAGGTGGGGCTCAAAAGACGGCAGCTGAGAGAAACCACCGGACGAGGCGAATGCATTCAGGTTCAATGCATAGTCGCCGATGGCAATGGCAGGGACCCGCGAGGCAGTCTTGGCGGTGGTGATGATTCCGAAGGGGATGTTCGCCAACGAGAAGGGCGAGTTCTTGGGGATCTGTAGCCACGAAACCATTGTGTGTGAGGGAGAGGGAGAGGGCAGGGTGGAGTTGTTGAGGGATGAGAGCAGGAAGATGAAGAAGAGAGACTGGAGAGAAGCTAGAAGGATATAATATCGATGTCCGTTCTCTTATTGCGATGATGGATGGCGGGGTCGAGCGCCAACGCGCGGAACCAAGTCCGCACCCGCTTAGCCCCGGCAATTTGACTGGATTGACTTCCTCCCCGCCCAGCGCCAATTCCGCGTCTTTCCCCCGCAGAGCGTCTACGGGCGTCAACTCCGACGTCGCTTCCTTCCGCTGCCTCCTTCCCTCCATCCCAATCCCAGACAATATCGTCGACTGTACAGACCAGACTTCATTGCGTCTCTATCCACGGATCCTGAAGGCTGTTGACATTCACGTACAGCACCTTCTCTTAGTCGGTTCAATTGGTCCACCTCGACATTGAACACTAACCCAAGATGAATGCCCCTTCAGACCTTCGATCCGCTCTCTAGTGTCGAAGAAAGGCGGAGCACAGGTTTTTGGATAATACGAACCAATACACCATTGAATACCACACCAGAATGGGACCAGAGAGATCGAAGAATGACAATCTAGCTGGGTCGGCACGGGAGCCGGCCAGGTCAATGCTTGGATAGCCGCCGCAGCACGAGCTTTGACACCGACAAAGGGGCCATGAACCAGACCTGAAATAGCTACCCAAGAGCCTCACAGCTTCTTCTTGCTTCCCCTCGGGTTCTGCCAACTGAGCGGCTAACATTCATTTTCAGATTGAAACCATTATTGGCTGAAATTGGTCCTAGTGAAAGCCCGTGATCGAATGTCAGCGCGCTACGATTCAGTGGTACACTTCCTAGTGTCAAAAAGGCCTTGCCTACATTTTAGCCCCAGCAAGGCTGTCAAGCGCCACAAGGTCTTTTCAACATCACATTTGAAGCCATCAAGTCATCATGACTGAGCGTGAGGTTGTGCCGCCAAAGCATAAAAGGTTTAGAACGAGATCGAGAACAGGTTGCCGTACCTCCCGGTAGGTATACTACACCATCACTCGAAACCGTGGCCGATCGTTCTCTGTAGAACGCAGCGGATCCGATGCGATCAGTTCCCGGGGCTTGCAACAATTGCAGCAATACCAATCGGAGCTGCGAGTATAACGTCCACAGGCTCCCAATTAACGCCCAGGGACCCTTGCACGAACGCTCTTGATTTACGCGCATGCGTGGACTTTGGCTCCGGACGTAAAACGCTGTTTCTCCTACTTTCGACATCACACGATCCCAGGTCTGGTAGATCTGGTCGATTCACCATAGGAGAGACGCGTTCGTCAACTTAGCTTGATCGAGCCTGCGGTCTGCCATGCGGTCAATATGCTGAGTGCGGTCAAATCAGATGCGGCTTTCAGCCACTCGGCCGACTGATTCCTACTCAAGCTTTGCTCTGGAGCAGTCGGCACGATCCTACGGCCTTCCAAGACGAAGGAAATGATTTCAACGACCCACAACTGTACCAGTTTTGATTTGCTGCCTTCTCTTTGCTATGGGAGAATGTCTATGCGGATATTATGACACTGCGATTCTGCTCATTCACCATGAGGTTCAGCTTGTGAATGAAGTGCGCCCTCAGGTGCTGCAGTTAGATGAATTCCTTCTCGCCATGTTCGACCACCCCAACTTTAATCGGCCTGATATACCACCGGTGGACCTATTAAGTACGTTGAGGATATGGGTGAACCCAAGTGGGTAAGAGAACCATGCCCGAGCGTCGTTCGTAGCATTGGCGAAGCACGAGATACTTTGTGGGCATTCTTAGCTACTAAATCTTGTTAATCGCTCATATCTGGCGCTAAACGAAAGTCGAAACGATGGCAGAATAACGAAGACTTGTGGCTTACTATGCAAAGGCTGATAACACGCTACGAGCTGCTTACTCACTTGGTACTTTCTGTCAGAAACGCTACGCCACGTTTACTCAACGCGGAGCAGATGTGCTCCGCCACAGCGTCCTGGTACAGATCAGAATGATGAGACTTTCGCTCCCAGAAAGCTTCAGCTATGACCGGATAATCGCTGATTGCACCGCAGTGCTCTCAAGCAGTATCGCTGTTATAAATAGAATCTCCAAGAGCACGACATACCCTGTGGTCATTCCGGGTCTATACGCCATGGCTACGCAATGCCCATAATTTCATATTCGCATTCAGGCCATCGAAGCCTTGCGCGCCTGGCCACACATCGAGGGCATCATCAGTTCCGAGGTCAGTGTCTCCCTCGTGATCAAGGCGCTAAAGCGGATACGCAAAGGAAGGCTGTGGACGAACAAAGCCGGATTGTTCTCGAGTATCCCGAGGAGACGGATCAGTTCTTTGTTGAAGTCCTTCAGTCGAGTCAGAATGCTGCTCATTAGGTACCTGTTCGCTATCCTGGTATTGAATTCGATGACGCGGTGCTCCAAACGGGCTCGGAAATGGTTCCCGTCAATGAAGTACAGTCTATCATTCATGGGAGATGGAATGGTCAGGGTCATTTTACCTGCAGTTAGAGTTAATAGCTCCCAATTGAACGCAGGACTTCTGTTCCACGGCCTTCACGCAGCTCGATTCTTCTTTCTCGATAATTCCGTCTGATGTCGACGGCATTGTTGCACATGGTCGTGTCGTGAATACATCAAGAGTCACAGCGTAAGTTGGTTCTCCGGAAATGTAACTCCGGTGGCATGACGTTCGATGCGGTTTGTATGCTGACGACGAGCCCTCGGACTTTGGGACAGGTCAACAAATGATGAGCGAATGGTTCCATGATGTTGGCATCTATGGATGACTCCCTTTGAGTCACTCGTCCCCTATTTAAGCCATCCATCGCCTGCTGCCGTCTTTCGATCTTCTGTAGTCTTTTAATCTTCTATTTTGATCACGTCCTGCAATCTACTATCACTACTATCGAACAGCCATCATCCTCGTCTCATTTTTTACTGCCATCAACCCACTTGCATCTTCTCTCGACATTCACCATGAGCGGCCAAGCAGGTGAAGGCATCCCCCCTCCGGCGACAGCCACCACCAAACCCTCCCAGGGTAGATGGAGATGGCTACGCTGGGCCATCCCAGTGGGAGTGTGTCTCCTTGCCCTGATCATCCTGGGCGTTTGTCTGGGGACTCTGCTGCCTAAGCACCTGAAGTCGCCCATCCAGCTCCCCAATTCGGGAGGAAGCAATGGCACCGGTGAGTTTCCCACCAGCACACCAACCGTCTTCCCTACCGGCCACACGGGCAGCACTTCGAGCGACGGGTACGCCTATCATCCAACAGGGCCGCGCGACCACGGCCACCCGCACAACCCGACGCAGCCGCAGCCGCAGCCCACGGACTTCAGCCCTACCACCCCCGTCAACCCCGTCAACCCCTACCCAAACCAACCCCCCGCCACACCACCACAAGTGCCACAAACCCCTGCCAACCCACCCACAGGACACCCCCCGAACGTCCCCTGCGCCATCGTCCCCAAAGTCTCCTACACCTTCTACGGCTACCCGGACAACGACCCCCCGGGCGCCGACATCGCCTACGACTGCGGCCGCGGCTACACGGCCGGCGGCATCGGCACCTACGCCAACCCCCTGACCTTCGCCACCGCCCCCGGGGAGTTCGCCATGTGCGAGCTCGTCTACTCGCCCTACCTCCGCAAGTATCTGTTGCATGAGGATTACTGCGAGAGCTGCACCCGCGACTGGGCCGACCGCCACCACCCAGTCTGGCATGTGGACATCTGGCTGGGTAGGAACTCGACCACCGAGGCGCACGAGCAGCTGTCGTGCGAGAATCGGTTGACGCCCGATGGGCAGAGCCAGGTTGTCATTCGCAACCCGGAGAGGAACTTGCCCGTCGACGGTATGTTTGTCTTTTTCTTTTTGTCTCGGTCTTTTGGTCATGATCTTGGGTGGATGGATGGATGGATATAAGTGTGGAGGTTGACGTGACGCTAACTTTCTGGTGCGTGATGTTTCTAGAGATGACGTTTTACGCTGGCGGCAAGGCGAGTTGTGGGGTTGAGCATGTGTATCCGCAGTATGCGGTGCAGGAGTTTTGTTAAATTTGGGTTGGAATTTGAGGTGCTTCTGTTTTTTGGGGTCGCTTTTTGGGGGGGGTGTTAGGCTTTAGGGTGCTTGCTTTCCTCTGTTTTCTCTGGGATCACGTTCCTTGCTTTCTTCTTCGCGGTGATACCCTTGCTTAAGTTTTTGTTGGTTAGCATCGAGGCTTTTGTTCTTGTTTGAGTCCTTGGTGTTTTGCTATATTTTGCTATACCTTTTTTTTGTTGGGTTGCCAATGACGTGGTGATTTGATGATCCAATTTAGGGTGTTGAGGTTGCAGTAGGCTTGAGATAATATGAGTAACTGTATCGTCTGCTCGTACGGTAGCCACACGATTTGGACTGGTTGTATTGTAGTAGTATAACATTGGGCAAGCTGAAGTGCGTGAACCAGTACTAGCAGGCAGCAGTCAGTCGTGGTGTCATGTGAACAAAACACCACCGCACACTCCGCTCCTTCCTCCGTGCGACAATTTTCTGTATAAACAAACCAGAAATCTATTCTCTAAACATACCTACTTCTAACCACAATCGCATTACCAGACTATACAGTCGAAGCTCCGGTCATCAAATGACGCAACCTAAAACACCCCCTCATCCAACAACGACTTCCCACCCTCAACACAACAACCCACCACCTCCTTAACCGTCTCAACCACCAACCCCAACAACATCTTGACCTCCTCTTCCTCGGACCCAACAACCCCAAGATGCAAGCGCCCCGCCTTAACAAACGAAACCACCTTGACCGGATACGCCGCATCGCCATGCGGGTTGAGGATATCGACGCCGCACTGCCCTCCCGCGAAAGGCATGGAATCAAAGTCCTCGAAATCCTGATGATGAACGAGCGAGTCGAACGACTGCACCCCATGCCAGGCGGGGGCGCAGTCGCGCGCGATCCTGTTGAAGCCCACGAAGTCATGGGCGGCGGATTCGGCGCTCTGGCGCTGCACGGCGCGCAGAAGGTCCGCGGCCGTCCAGTCGCGGCGGAAGCGCACGCGCACCGGCGTCAGCTGGTAGCAGGGGCCGACCACGGACTCGATGCCCGGGAAGTCGAGCGTGCGGCCCGTCGTCACGCCGCCGAAGGTGATGTCGGCGGTTTTGAGCAGGCGGGCTAGCGTCAGCGCCCAGGATGCCGTCAGGAGCGTGGCTGTCGTTGTGGCTGTTGTTTCTTGCAGGGTGGTTAGGTCCAGGTCTTCTAGTGCTTGCGTGTGGAAGACGGATTGTGAGGTTGTGGGTTTCGGGCCGCTGGATGTTGGGAGCACTGTTAGTGTGGAGTCGTGCAGGAGGTTCTTCCAGTAGGATAGCGCTGGGGCTTGGGTCTTTGGGTCTGTGATGTGTGCCATGTATGCGGGGAAGGGGATGTGTTCTGTGGGCTGGGTGCCTGTGTAGAGCGTTTCGAGGTCGCGGAGCAGCTGCGGGAGGGATTCGCCGTCGTATTGCGCGTGCGAGAGGCTGAGGACGAGGGCTTCGCGGCCGTCGAGGGCGGTGATGTGGAAGAATTGGACGAAGGATGACCCTAGTGGGAAGTCCGACTCGATGTGCGTGTTGCACAGCTCGCTGATGTATTGTTGCAGGTCTTCTTTGTCGGCTGTGTGCTGGGTCAGAGGCGTCGCGAGCTCGTGGAGCACGACCTGATAGAAGCATGAGTCGTGCTCGACGAAGACAGTCCGCAGGATGTCGTGGGTCTTGACGAGGTCGCTGCACGCGCGGAGCAGTCGCCCGCCATCGATCGCCCCCTGTTCGAAGGTGAGCATGGTGTATTGGATCGAGGTGCGCGGGGCGTGCACGGTCGCGCGGATATCCAGCGCTTGAGAATCGGTCACAGGTAGGACATCCTTGATGGACCAGGAGGAGTCGGCGAGTTGGGGACGGACGGTCTGGGACAGGAACGTCTCGACATCTGAGCGGCCGAGGGTAGAGAAGGGCTTGTAGGGCTGAGCTTGCTTAGCTTTAGAGGCCTGATTGACCTTTAAGACGCGCGCCGCATCACCCAAACGCATGTGCTGGAAGATATCTGCTACCGACAGATTGTGGCCCTGGACGCGCAGGCTGGAAACCAGCTTCATTGCCAGCACGGAATCACCACCCAGGCGGAAGAAGTTGTCGTCCACGTCAATCTCATCCTCCGGCAGTCGGAGGATCTTGGCCCACGCAGACCGTAGGATTCTCTCAGGAGCTGTGAGATTGGTTTGAGCAGCGGTCTTTGCCCATGCCTCTTTGATACCCCTGCAGAGTTCAGCTAGAGTCTCTTGGGGAATGTTGGAGGCGAGCTCGTTGAGCAGAGTGTGGTCACTTTGTTCGCCCTGCGCAGGCAACTTGTCAACCACAATGTATGCGGATGGAGACATGTAAGATGGAAGCGAGTCACGGATGAACTTGTCGAGCTTTTTGAGGACGACAGCGACGCTGACGGGAATCTTAGCACTGAGGGTGGTGGCAGACTCGCCCTCTATTTCCTGCGTGGCGGGCAGGATGGAAACACTCTCTTCGTCGGAAGCCGGCTTTTCAACCAGAACGACCAGCTCAGGCTCCGTCTTTTCGGTGTCATTCAGTGACTGGCGGATAGCAGCGGCAGCACGAATTGTGGCGGGGAGCTGTCGGTTCAAGTGCAATTCAATATCGGCAATATCAACAGCGTGTCCCTGGATAGAAACAACATTTTCCTTGCGACCAACGAAGACCAGACACCCATCTTCACGAAGCTGTACCATGTCTCCAGTCGATTGCACTGTACCGCTGCGGCCAGGACAGGTTTGACTTCCAGCAACGAGCCAGGCTGGGGAGTCGACAGTTTCGCCAGTGACGAAGGCACCTTCGAGCCAGAGCTCTCCGACGCATCCGATCGGCGACAACAGAGCTGGGTTGCGGGCATTGACCACCCAAGGCACCACTGCCGAGGGATACTTGGAACCGTGCTTGATGGTGGCATCGGCACGAAGTCTTCCTGAAGACTCATCTCGGGAGAGGGGAGGGGTCTGGTTCCATTGCCAGATCTGGTTCAGCTCAACCTCGGGCAGACACGAGATGTCTTCGATACGCCGCTGCAGACCCTTGGTCAACTCGACACAGGCCACTTCCAGCTGCACAAGCATCCGCTTCATCTGCGCAACTTCGATCAAGCTGCCATCGAAACTAGCACAAATCCGGAAGCCACCCTTGCGCACAGCGCATCCCAGCATGAGCGGATAGGGATTGAAGTGGAGGGCTTCTCGAACGACATCTCCCACTTGGAAGCCTAGATCACTACCCACATATTCCGGTTCTAGCTGAACAACCAAGCCAGTACCGGCCTCGCATGCGTGCTGGGCATCATGGCTGACCTTGCGGATGTTCTGCATGCCCATATGTTGATAGGGGACACGAGCCAAAATTGTCTGTTGCACAGCTTGAAGATAGGATTCAACTGTGCTCGTACGACTGACGTGGATGCGAACGGGAAGTGTCGCGATCAAAGGACCGATAATGCTCTCAACGCCCGGCAGAGCAATATCGCGACCAGTGAGCGTCTCACCGAAGACAACATCGTCACTTCCAGAGTACTGCGCGGCCACAAGCGCCCAGGCACCGCGGATCAGAGTAGCCATGGTGAACGGCCATTTATCGGCAGTCTTCAGCGGAATTATATGCTCGATAAAAGCATCGGGTGTGGGCATGAAGTCTCTGGAGGGCAGACGGGGGAACTGAGGACCAACGGCGCCCTGCAACTCCCGCTTCCAGAATTCGTTCATAGCAGTTGCATCCGTATCGTGCACGTACTTGACGAAATCACGCATCTGTGCCTGTGGCTCGATCTGCTTAGCGCTCAGCGCATCGCTGACATCCTTCAACACCAGTGGCTCGGACCAACCATCGTACACAACGTGGTGGATCGTCCAGACCATGTGTCTGCCCTCATTGGCGTCGTCCACAATTGCGTAGCGTGCCAGACTTTCTCCCAGATTCATTCTCTCCTCACGGTCGTCTTCCAGGTACTGTTTTAGGTCTGTCGCATGCTTCCAGGTAATGTTTCCCTTAAGCACCACTTGCTGGAGACCGGGATCTTGCAGCTGCACCAACCGCGTACGCAGGATGGGTTTGGCAGCCACGGCTTCCTCCCAGGCCTTCTTCCAAGAATCGAGGTCGATGTGTGACGGGATGCGGGCAACTCTCTGTGCAACGTACAGCTTGACTGATTTCAGCGAGAATGTAAACAGAGACTCCTGGGTGGGTGTGCATGGATAAATATCTTCAACCGCAGCCGCATCAACCCCGCACGCAGCAGATGCTTCGCGACAGGCGCTCTCGACATCCTGCGAAATCATCGAAAACGGCGGCAACTCCGTGCGTGCTTGTGTGTCGCAGATTTGAACAACCTCTGCCATTGCGGCAAGGGTAGGGTGGCCGAAAGTGTTGGCCACGGTGAGGTCGAGGCCATGGTCGCGACAGACGGATACCAGTCTCATCGCCTTAACAGAGTCGCCTCCAAGAGCAAAGAAATTGTCCTCGGCCCGAATGCTTTCTGCCTCCTGTGTCAATACCACACTCCAAGCCTGGCGCAAGCGCTGTTCAAGGTCCGTCAACTCCCGACTAGCGCCGTTCGTCTGCGCGCCTTGGTCCAGCTGCCGAATGTCTACCGTGGTGCCAAATTGTCGGAGTCTCTTGCGATCCGTCTTGCTGGAGATCAATACTGGGATGTAGTTCACGGGGATATAGACAGTGGGCACCATGTACCGCGGCAGGACCTTGGCCACATCGGCGTTGGCCTCGGAAAGCGTCTTTTGTTGCTCATCCGTCAGCTCCACCAGGCTCAGGTCACTCTGCTCCTGTCCTTTGGGGGACTGGAACGCCACGAACGCGACCAATGTAGCCTGGCCTCCCGATCCCTGCGGTACGATCACCTCAGCGATCACATTGGCCTCCGAAGGAAGCCTGTCCTTGAGCTGACTCTCGATCTCGCCGAGCTCAACGCGCTGCCCACGTAATTTGACTTGCGTGTCTTTGCGTCCGACAAAGACAATGCCACCCGAGCCGTCTGGATCGTACCGCCCCAAATCGCCCGTCTTGTACAGACGGCCGTGGCGACCAGCGTAACCGTTGTGACCCGCAACAAGCCACTTAGGATCCTCGATGAAGACTGTGGCCGTCTTCTCTTGATCGTTGAGGTAGCCTTGACCGACAATGGGACCCTCAACAAGTAGCTCACCGACAGCGCCGACGGGCATGAGAGTGTCGTGGTCGTTGGGATCCGTGATCCACATCGCGGCACCGTTGCCAGGTCCAATCGAGATGTAGTCTCTGCCGGTGGCCGCGCTGCTGTTCACCGTGCATCCAATTGTACATTCGCATGGTCCGTAACCGATGATGATGCGGGTGTCCTGTCCCCACAGCTTCACATCCCGCGCGGAGACGGCCTCGCCACCTAGGCCGAGACCACTCAGTGACGAAATCACATCTGCATCCAGAATTCGCGCCACCGACGGGGTCAAACCCGCATAGTTGATTCGCATCCGTCGGAACGCTCCGTTAATATCGTTGAGTCGGTCTTCATCCGAGGGAATGCATAGACAGCCACCGTTGCTCAAAGTCAACAGCATACTATCGATACTGACGTCGAAGGCGTAGGAGGCGAAATCCAGCACGCGGGATTCCTCAGTATATCCCACGGCTTTGGCACGGGGAATGGCACTGCTCGTGTAGGTCTGGTGGGAGATCGTGACACCCTTTGGAGTACCCGTACTGCCGGAGGTGAAGATGATATACATGAGCGTGGTCGGGGGAACCGTTGGTAGTGCGGGAAGATCCTGATTGAGATCAAAGTTCCGGAAAGTGTCCTCCTCCACGACAAGAACAGGCCCTCCCGGCAGAATTGAGGTCGCCAAATCATGCTGCTTGCGGGAAGACAGCATCATCTTGCCGCCCACCTGCTGGGCCATATTCTGGAGACGAGCCAGGGGGAGTGTGGGATCCATGAGCGCGAAGGTCGCACCGGCCTTCATGGCCGCTAACACTGCCACAATCGTCCAGCGGGACTTCTCGAAGCAAATGGGCAGGATGTCGTCCAGTTGGAGGCCCATCTCCTTGAGTTTCCACGCCACGTGCGTGGAGTACCGGTCGACCTGGGCATAGGTCAGGTTGCCGTCCCAAGAGGCAATGGCCTCGCTTTCCGGGGCTTTCTGTGCCCATTCCGTCACCATCTCGTGTGTGCAGAAGCTGTAGGTGGGTGGTAACTCGTGGTTCCAGTGCCAGATCTCGTCCAGATCGGATGTGGTCGCCCGGAGACAATCCTCAATGGAGCTTTCGGGGTGGTTGAGGCATCGTTGGATCAGCTCGGCCAATTTCGTGACATGTAATTTCACCGTGAAGTCTAGCACATTCGCCGATTGCCATACGGGTCGGATTTTGAGGTTTCCGCTCTCGAAACCGAGTTCAATGTGAATCAGGCCCTGATGTCGACCAAGGTTAGCCAGTGCGCAGCGTCTCAGTGCGTGGAGCATTTGAACATACATCATCCTTAACATCTTCCGACGTCTGTGACAACGAGCCAGTGCTTAGTAAGAGAGATGCAGGTGCTGACGGCGTTTGACCTGACGTGGCTTTGGCGATATGTTGGGCGATAGCAGCGGAAACCTGGCCGACAGGAGTCTGCAATCCCGGCATTACTTGCTCTGTCGACAGTGATGATGGCCCAGCGCCTGCATAGGACCATTGGAAGCAGACTCGGCCCTCTTCGCAGGATTGCAGCAGCAGGATTATCCATGATGCTAGTACGATCTCCTCTCTTGTGCCCGTTGGGTTTGTTATGGTGGGGGATTCCAGGCCGGCAACCTGGAAAAGGTGAAAGCCGTCGCTGTCGATTTGCGGTTGGGACATCATGACTCTGAATTATCGACACTTGCGAATATTGGGAGGATATGGGAGAAAGGGGGTCATGAATCGTCTTCGTTCTCCTTGCAGTCCAGCTGGTGATAATGTGTTGTTTGGCGGGAGGAGGGAATCCACGGATCGCGGGGAGGAGGAGTGGATTTAATAAAGATTGGATCCAAAAAAGTCACCGCTTGCGCCAGTTCGGGCCCTCCGACCAAAGTGGTATGGTGTCAATGATACACTCAGTATAGTCATGCAGCCAAGGTTGGCGGATGGAGCAAAAAACGTGAAAACATGAATTGAATTCCCCACCAGTGCAGAACCAGCCGCGCAGGTGGTGGTGAAGGTCTCTTCCTCTTTCATTGCGACGGGGTCCTGCAGATTCATGCACGCTAAACTCGCCAGACCCGGACATGGCGGGTAGCGGTAGACCGGCATAGGCACGATTATCTCTTCTTCTTCTTCTTCTTCTTCTTCTTCTTCTTCTTCTTCTTCTTCATCCTCATCTCTGATGATGGTGTGCACCAACCAGTTTTATGATTGCAGGCTGTAAGCTGCGGGAAAGGTACCCGACCGACCCTGTCAAACTGACAGTACGAGGGGCTGGGAATGGAGTCCAGTTGCTGCTACCTATTCATGAACTACGTACGTATATTGTTGTATGTAATTTCACCCAACCTACAACCCACACCTACATAAAGCCCAACCGATACCCCCACCATCTCTCAGAGTGCACGCACGACGGAGCAAGCAGCAGGCTAGCATCCGACGTTCGGCGGCAAGTGGCGGGGCGGAGGAGATTGATAAGGACTCGTCTGACTCCATTTTTGTCTTGTGGTCGTCCTTTTTGACAGTATGACTCCTTGAGGTAATTCTGTTATCAATCTGGGTTCAGTGCGCTGGGTTTGCGACCCAGTTTCTACCACAGCCTGTCCACTCTCGGTTAGCTCTCATGCTGCGAAGTAAGTGGAAGAATAAAATTTTTTTTGGTTTCACTGCGGGGTTTCGCTTTTCTTTTCTTTTCTTTTTTTTACCCGAGATGGGTTGTTGTGGGTTGTTATCAATCAGTGATAAGATTGGATTGGATTGTTTTGCTTTTGCTGTTTGCGCCCAATACTGTACCGTACTTGATGGTTGGTGGGGGTGGTTGGTATCGTACTGTACTGTATGGTATATTGAGGGGCCTCGGAGGGGTTCGGGTAGGTATGTTGGGATTTGTCTGGAGGGGATGGGAGGGGGAAGTCTTCGAAGGTGGGTGTTTGGCAATTGGGAAGATGTTAATGGGTTTTGATTTTGTAGCAGCATGATCGTAAAGTCAAGTACATTGTTCTTAAGGTGACGAGGAAGGAGTTATGTCGGTTGGAGACACCATGAATACTCTCATCATGCTGTTAGTTATCTGGCAATTAAGACGCCAAAATGCTATGGGACATCATGTAACTGAAATCTACAGTCTCATAGAAGGGAATATTTCTGAAATTGCACGCTAAATTACATCACGACTGCTTCTCCAACTGTTCCAGATAGCCCCGCACCCTCTCGGCCAGCCACTGCCTGGGCGGGCCCTGATCGTCATTACTCAGGGCGTGCGAGGCATTAGGGATGATGCCACTGAAGGTGTAATCCCAGAGCTGGACCTGGCCATTGTGATCGGTAGCGTTGGCCCAGCGCTTCAACAGCTTCTCCTTATCGATCCAGTCCGGCACGGCCTGGTCGGCGCCGGAGAACAGCACCATCAGCTTACTCTTCAGCAGGCCGCGGTCCTTGATCATGCCGAAGGTCGTCTTCAGGTGCTCGTCCGACAGATCGGAGCTGAACAGGTCGTCCTCCTGCGGCGAGCCGGGGCTGTCGGGGCTGACGAGGCTCAGAAACCGGCGGGCGCTGATGGGCACGTTGGCGCCGTAGCAGATGTTGGCGGTGACCTCCAGCGGCAGGATGGTGTCGAACTTGGGGTCCTTGTCGCGCACGGCCTCGCGCGCCATCGCCTCCGCCTTCTCGTACACGGCCCGCACCTGCTCCGGCGTCTTGCCGCCGAACCCCCAGTGCAGCACCCATTGGATTGCCTCGCGGTCGGAGACGGGCGCCTGCATGATCGCCCCGTCCAGCGGCATGCGCTCCAGGTGCTCCAGGTCCGAGTCGAAGGCGTGTGTGGCCGTAAATGGGTTCGGCCGGTACAGGTAGTGCAGCACGCACTGGCTGCCTGTCGAGTGGCCCATCAGCACGATCTTGTTGTTCGGCCCGTACTTCTCCGTCTTGTATGCCTTGATGTAGTTCAGGCATTGCGTGATCTCGTTTGTGTCGCGGTCCAGGTGGCCCAGCCCCCACGAGTTGTAGGAGGAAGTGAGGTTGAGTGTGAAGAGCGAGTAGTCTTGTGGGAGGAGTTTCACTAGGTCAGCGACGTAGGAGGTCGTGGCCAGCCCATCGCCGAGACCACCCACGAAAAGGATGCTGTTGGGTTGGCGGACGTGGCTGGTGTGTTCGAAGGCGACGAGGGTTTCGGTCTGTGAGGATTAAGACAGATTGTCAGTGTGCCTGTCCATCTCTCTCTCACTCGAAGTAGTTGGGAAGAAGGAGGGGTAGGACGTACGTAGTGGTGCAGAATGCCCGGGAGACCTCCCCGGGGCCAGAACTTGGAATACATCTTTCTTGAAATGTGATGCTAGAGAGAATGGGAATATTAAGTGTATAGTATTGGGCACAGAGGAATGATTGAGTTTCCAGAAACTTTGCAGAAGCTTCAATGTTGGTGCTGGCGCTGGTGCTGGCGATGACGGTGTGATGCGGCGGTGGCCTTTAAGAAAACCACGCTCGTTATCGCGTAATTGTGGAGAAGGATCAAAGACCACGTTCTGCTTTTCCCTCGGCTCGATGTATTTCTGAGACCGGCAGTTACTGTGTGGGTGTCTCTAACCTCTTCCTTGTCTGGACCACATTTCCTGGTACTGGCGGTGTCTGGTCCAAATCCGAGCTAATCCGACGACCCATTTGCGAGGTCCGGTTCCAGGTGCAATCACTTATCAATCAGTACACATTTTCGAAACCATGGTAGTCTACCCAAACTCTGACCGAACATGCCGGGAGACGAAACCTTGGTAGCCCGAAATGGCGGTGATTTTCGCACCAACCTACCTAGACTAGTACCCAAAGGTGCCGAACTGTCTGTAATGCTCGCACCCACAAATTACAACAATAATTCCAGCTGCGCCCGTATCGATCTGTTCTGAAACTAGCCCATTACAGCATTGATACGCCTCCAAAATAGCGGATTTCAGGCTGGGTCGGGTTGGTGGCTCTTTCTTCGCGCACTAAACAAGTCAACTTGTGAGTTCCGTCCTTCAGAGACGATCTAATCAGATTCTCCGGCTCAGGAAAAGACAAAAGCCACCAGAGCTAGACTATCAGATCCGCTTTGTCTAATCAGATCAAAGCCTCCGTTTCCGCTCGGACTTGCACTAGCGTGCGTGCGTGCATATCAGTGCCTCATGTTCAAACAATTCCGAAGTTCATTGGTTATTTGAGTCTTCTTGGGGATGAAATCTCTTCATTAATTGTGAGTGTGGACTGATGGTTGGAGTGTTTGTATTGATGCATGCCTAGGTAGCATATATTTTACGTACCCGCAGAATTTGTGCTATACGAAGACGAGACGTGTCCCGACATCGGTACCTGCATCGTGCTAACTAACAGGCTTGGAAGGCCACCTATTCAATGCTCGGAGCACGGAGCTACTCGTAGCTAGAGTCGCGCGAATCCATGTAATCAGAGCCCGCATTTCTCGCCTGCGCCGATTGTTGCCTTGGCATTGTGCTGAATGGTGTCGCCTTGCGAGAGTCCAGTGAGGCAGGAACATTGCCGGAGGTTGGAATAAAGTGTGGTTCGATGGGACATTCAATGAACTAGGTTCTCCATAATCACCTGTGCAAGCTACATAGACAGGGACTCGGAGTGCAGACTGCCAAGTAAGTACTCCTACTCTGTGCGCGAATCGTTAGGGGCGATTGCCTACTAATTCACAAACAAGACAAACATGGTCCATGGGAACAACCGGCAGGCACGGACCAACAGTGTATGTAAACATTGCAAACATAGCCAAGGCATTCGCACCTCAGGCATACTATACAAGCGCTTCACGCCTTTGCGGTCTACTGCGCTAGATTACTTTTATCGGAAAATCACCACAACAGGCATATCAAAGGCAGAAAATCCCATATTACACGATCATACATCGGACTTAAAAGCGTGGTGTATACCCCAGACAAATGATTTGTACTCTATCCTCCAAAGCTCTAGAATCTCCTGTGCCGATGACCCCTTTCCCACTGAAGATGACGGTATCTAGATAAAGCTCACTGTGGCGATCGATTAGAGTTCTTCCCACTCAGAACGTGAGGAACTCACCTGCCTCGAGTTTGATTTGTTCCAGGAAGACCGTAAACCGCCGGAGGGCGGTATCAACCACCGACTCGCACGGATGCAGCACAGCATGTCCGGGTGGAAACGCAGGCTCGATATCCTTCCCCAACGACTGGAGCAGCTTCTGCAAGCTTTCCAACAATCCTAGAAACTGTTTGGCGTCGCGGCCTATCAGCGTTCGGACCAGAAGCGTGGCTTCCTTCTCGTCGAGCTCCATCTGACCCAGCTGCGATGGGCTGCGTAGGCAAATGTACTGTGACAGAGGCTGTTCGAACGTTAGGACCGTGGGGTCCAGCAGCGTGTTGGTACTTGTGATGTTGTAGGCTAGGCATCCGGCCTCGAGAAGGGTCAGACACTGCTCCGCCAGCGCGGGCAGCATCGCAAAGGACGAGTGAGGGTCGTTGCGGCAGCCCTTGCATTTGACCATCGCTTTCCCCTGGAGGACAACCCGATGGACAAGGTCTAGGATGGTGGCCAGCTCTACGACCGGCTGCAGGTTCCGACATTCATTCATGATCTGCAGCAGACGTATCGAGCATGAACATCCGCTGTCCATCACTGCAAGGAGGTGCTCGTAAAGTGGACTGCAGCGCGAGAGGGAATAAAGCAGAATGCGATATATTCGGCCCTATCGTTACTGGACACAGGGTCATTGCTGCATTGAGAAAGGTAAGATGGCGACCCGTTTCCTGTGGAGGAGCTCGCGCCAGTTGAGATCACGATTCGCGCATGCCGCCGCAGCAGGGCTGGTCTCATGTCTGCACTCTTTGTACCCTGCACCTGCATTCACATGCATTGTGGCGACCTGGCACCTGCAGCCCAATCACGAAGCCGTGTCGCTGAGGTACCAGAACAGCCTCAGCTTATATCACTCCCGGGGGAAAGGCTCTGTTGGTCTGTTCTCTGGACACGCCAGTTCACTGTACGACGTAGCATGATATGGGATCCGCTCCCCGTCACACGGCTGACACTCCGCCATGCTCCAGGGCGCAGGCAGCAACCCTGGTGCTCTTACTCTCTTCGGTCTAGTATGCTCCATATGCTACCGTCCAAATATGGTACCAAGACAGCTTTTCTCGTACGTCATCTTGCACGCATTGTGGCGAGTTCGAAAATCAATTTCTGGAAGCGTCTTATCACGTGTAACTCTGAGCTGCGATTGAGAATATCGGAGATGAGCCGAGGGTCTAATCATGACCGTGCTAGCAACTTGGTTTTCATCATGACCAGCTCCAACCTTTGATCTGTCTCCATTATCATCACCAGCCTGCCCCGGGCAGCAGGAACAGCCAAAAATTCTTGAGTACATAAACGAATGCGACGCACGGTCATCTGCAACTCCGACAGGCGGAGGTAGAGGACCTGCGTGATAAAAAGAAATTTCTCTTCAAATGGAACATAGAACCCTCCTACCACCAACGGACACGCATCAACCTGGGTGTTGAGATAGAGGTCGTTCGCTCGATATCGCCTCAAGTTGGCGTTGGCAACATTGTCGGGCTTGGTGCTGGGAGAGAGGGGCTCAGAATACTCTCCGAACAACCGCTCTGCAAGCCCACTGTCCAGCGATATGATAGCTTCTAGAGCTGTCACCAGGCTGTCAATGCTGATAATGACCATCATGAGGAGGTTGATCCAAGTACGGGAGCATATGTTGCATTGAAGAATGGTGTGCGAAAGTTGCTGCAGCACACGTTGGCAGTTCAGGATCGAGTCGATAGTAGCTGCAGGCCCGGCACGCGAGGCGAAGTTGTTAACCTGGATCAATTCGCGTATGGTAGGTTCGTGACATTGACACTGATATTGACGCCCACTCATGTTGGCATTGGCCTTGAAGTTTCCAGGCACGTAGTTGTAGGTGGTATCGCGCTTTGCAGCCCTGACGGGATTGAAGCTGCTGGAAGGTTCTGCCATCGTCATGGGTTTTGTTACTGTCGGCGGGATCCCGTCTGTCGATGATGTGACCGGTTGCAGCCAGGCAAGAGTGTCTTTCTTCAAGACTTCGGAATCAGAGGTCCGACTATTCTCTACCCCATGTGTGCCGTTGACAGGGGAGTGGCCGTGACTGGGGAAGTTGCTTGGTGCTAGATAATAGCACTCAGGGGCTTGATCATGACACTCCGTAGTAAGGAAACTCCGTGATGGACTCGTAAAGTGGCTCGAATGAGAAGGACTGATATCGTTGACACTCTCGGCTTTAGTGGTGCTGAAGCCCAGAGAGTCCAGCAGCTCGCGTTCTTGTTCGAAATCAGTAACAGGGTTAGACATGAATTCCTGCAACCAGTTGTCTGACGAAAGGTCGTTGCCGTCGGAAACTTGTTCAAGTCATGTAAGCATGTGGCAGTTTATGATGAATTGATAAATAACCACGGGAACTCATACTATTAGGATCCATGAAGCAGTCTTGGTGCAGACTTGCATCATCAGGAACAAGACTATCCAAGTTATCGCTTGCCGTGTTGTCCAGCACTGTTCCCTCATCAACACACTTGTAACTTGATAAGCTCGCTCTGGGCTCTTGCATCGGCTCCTCTATGATTCTCTTTCTCCTGGGATACCCACGGAACCTCTTATCCAAAGGACCCCGGCCATGTTTCTGATTTGAATGCAGGGAATTGTCATTCGTTGTAGTGTCTTTTTTCTTGGCTGGTCTTCCCAATCGTCGAGAGATGCTATAAATACAGCTGTAGTTATGCTTTTGACATCTTAAACAGGACGGTTTTTCATGGCTGCATCGTATCTTCGCCTGCTGGCAAGCATTGCACGTTGTTCGAACCTTGACACTTTTGGGAAGGGGACCAGTTGCAATTTGGGATGATTTGTCTTGATTCATCATGATTACCATAGTATCCAGGGTAAAGGTGGTGCTGCTGATGTCGAGTCTTCGTTTCATAGGCAAAGACAAGTAATTGCGAGGATTTAAAGGGGTTCCGTGTCTTGAGAACGGGGTAAACAACTGTATAGTACATCCGCGTCTGCTACCTCAATACTACTGTGTAGGTTCAACAGCATATAGGCCGAGGCAGAGAGTCCAAGGTAACCATGATGTTGTAGGTTACATAGCCATGTTTCACGGCTTAGTCGGGAGCATTGACCTGTCAGCTTATCATCGCGTCTTCCCTAGACTAGAGTTCCAGGCCGGCGAATCGCGCAATATGGCCCCGAATATCGTAAGACCATGTCGGAGGTTTGAGGGTTGTCACTGAAATGGCCATTGATAGATGCGTCAACGCAGTCTTAGAGGCAGACAGAGGATCTATCCACTCAATGCCGAGAAGCAAAGCTGTTCGGATCCGAAAGGGGAAATTCGAGCCCTATCCGCCTGTGATCGTCATGTTCAGCGCCAGTTGACCGACTCGCTCGCTAGAGGGCTAAATTCGTGCTACATACCTAATTGGTGTCCTCAGCCCCAGATCCACAGTCCCCAGAGTCAAAGCTGTCGGCACCACTTACTCGCAAGGCGCCTCCCTACTATGTTCCTCCGCGGTAGACTCCGTCGGAAATCTGTCATACGCAAAGAGGATCATATCACCCGCCACCGGCGCCCCGAGCCATCTTGTGAAAGACTCAAACATACGGATTCTGTGTGACACCAGGTGGCAAAGAGGGAAGTATAAGCATGCGCGGCGCGGCCCTCAATCAGAGTCCCGAGATCATCCGCCCTGTTTCCGATGCTGCGGTCAGCCGCTGGTTCCAAGGGCATCCTTCTCTTCAGGAGCCGCCTTTCAAGGCGTGACTTATTGTCTCCGTACATATGGGGACTGTAGCTACTCTAACTCTTAGAATCTCAAATTCATCTTCTGATGATCATATGTTAGTTATAGTATCAGCCTTGGCATGTGTAGAGGATCAAATCAAAGCAAAGACATACTGGACAACGCCATGAACGTTTTTGGAATGATTCCGATGACATGAGGTTGTAAATTATAGCTTGAAAGCGACCCACTCTATGGGAATCTGGAGCGGAGGCAGTAGTTGCAATGTGTTGATGCCCGGGGGTTTGGGACCTGATAGTCCAACAGGTAGCGAAAGCGGTTGTCCGGCTGAATATCGATTGAGCACATGGCTCGGCTGCTAAGCCTCAACCAGTTTCGTTGAAGAGCAAGAGAAAGCCCTATTGAAATTCAATTTGCAGGGAAGAAGCGAAGGGGAGAGAGAGAGAGTGTGTGTGGGTGTATGTTTGTGTGTATATGTGTGTGCTCTCAACACTAAGGAATACTGCCAGTTATCCATATTAGGCAAGAGCAGTGATTTGCGGCGATAAGCGATGATAACAGCCTGGGAGGGGTGCAATGACGTAATTTATGCAAACGAATCCGGCCGGGCACTACTCTGCTGACTCACCTTCCATAACGTAATCGGTAAGCGAGTCGGCCACGTAAGCGAGTCGGCCACCGCAGTCTTGGCAAGCAGCCGGTTATGCCACCCATATCGGAATTTTGATTTACATACAAAAAATGCAGTATTCTTAAACGTTTATATAGCTGTTTAAACGCCTGCAATTATGCTTAATCCTTCCTTGTTAAACACCTCGTACGTGTATATCCAAGAACACCACACATGCTGCAGCGAGGCGGCGCGCGGCGGCGAGGTTGACCCTCTGCAGGCCCTGTATCACCGGCTGCTTCCTCTGCAGCCTGGGCGTTTGCAAAGGCTTCACGGGCTTCC